CTCGCAGGCGATGCCCAGGCCCCGGCGGGACTCGTTGGGGATGGGCGGGCACGGCAGGTTCGACGACCGCCGCGCGAGCTCGACGGAGACGATCGCCTGCTGCTCCCGGAACTGCGCCGTCCGCTCGGCCCGCGACCACCAGAGGTCCTTCGGCAGCGGGGCGCCGCCGCCGTCGGACGCGTAGGCGACGAGGTCGTCGGCGAAGCGCACGCGGTCCGGCGGCTTGTAGCGCGCGGTCGCCGCGGCGGCGGTATCTTCCGCCGTCGCCGCGGAGAACTCGCTCCCGTGCCAGGACGACTCGCCGGCGTTGAAGGCGGAGCAGTCGCTCCCGTGGACGGACCCGCTGGGCGAGACGTCGACGGAGCCCGAGGGGCGCCGCGTGCCGTAGTGCTGCGCGTCCATCGCGTCGCCCTCCTCCTCGGCGCCGTCGTCGCCGAACGAGCCCACGCGCGTCTTCCGCCGCTTCAGCGGGCTCGCGAGGCGGAAGAGGCGCTTGATGCGGTCCAAAGACCGGCTCGCGACGGCGGTGGCCATCGCGGCGGCGGCGGGGGGGTGGTCTGCGGCGCGGGCAGCAGGTAGGGACGGCGAATTGGTGAAGTCGGCGCCTCGTCCACCCGGTTTCTTCGCCTAGGCCTCACCGGTGGGCCCAGGCGACGGCGGGGGCGTCGCCGCGGCGTGCGATTGGGCGTGGGTGGCGCTGCGTGGCCGTAGACAAGGGAAACTCAATACGCGCAGGACATCCTGTGTCTCGTCACAGGCTGCTACAGACGATCTTGAAGCGCTTGAATAAGTTGACGCCGCGCGCGAAAAGACCTGCAAACTTTTTGAAAAAACAGGGGCACCAAGAGTATGCCCTCGGCGTAGAAAACGAAACCTCGCCATTTAAACAGGCGCTCTCGCGCCGGTAGAAGGGCCGCACCATGCAGTCACCCGTGGTGGAAGATGTCGTACATCTCCTGGTTGTTGTTCCGCTGGTTGCTGCCGCCGCCGCGGCCCAGCTTCGTCGCGGGGTCGACGTAGTTTTCCTCGAGTTCGCACCACTTGAGCGGGTTGCCGCCGCCCTTGGCCTTCTCCTGCGACGCGCGAGAATGACAAGCGGGCGAGAGAAAAACGAGGCGCGGGCCGACGCGCGATGTTCAAAAGCGACGTGCGCCTCGTCTCCTTGTAGGCCATGTCGTTGAGGTGGCTGTCGACGCCGACGATGCCCGCGGACGTGCGCGTGCGCGGCTTGGCGACGACGGACGCGGCCTGCTCGAGGATTTTCGACGCGCCGCGCGACCGCGAGAGGCCCATGGCGCCGGTCTCGCGGGCGAACTTGTAGGCGTCGACCTGCTCCTCGACGGTGTAGGTGCCGCACTCGGACAGCGCCTTCTTCGAGCCCTCGTGCGTGAAGGTGCCGCCGACGGCGAAGGGCGCGGCGCGCCGCGGCGGGATGCAGGGCGGCGGCCGCGGGTCCAACGCTTCCTTGCCGATGGCCTCCTCGGGCCACGGGTCGCCCCTTCGCGCCATGGTGCCGGCCGGGCCGCCCAACTTGAGTGGCGCCTGAACTTGCGCCGTGGCGGAGAGCGGGCCGAAGAGGGGGCTGCCTCTCGAAACTGGCGGCTGCCTCTCGAGCTGGATACCTGCGATTATTGAAGCTAGTAAAAGCCGGCCGGTAGGGCAGCTATGCGCGCCGCGCGCGAGCTGCGCGCGCATCCGGGCGAGCCCGACGTCGCCGGGGTGCTCATCCAGCTCGACCGCATCCCCGACGCGGACACGGCCGAGCTCGAGCGCCTCGAGAGCGGCGTCGCGCGCCTCCTGGCGTCGCAGCCGGGCCTCGCGTCGTCGGCGCTCGGCAAGTACGCGGCGAAGCAGCAGCAGTGCGTGCGCGCCGAGCTCGACGAGCGGCGCGCCCGGGCGCGCGTCCTCGAGCTGCTCACGGACCCGGAGGCCGCGGAGCGGCGGCGGCGGGAGGCCGCCGCGGAGCGGGTCGAGGCCGCGGCGGCGCCGCCGCCCGCCGCGGCGTCGCCGCCGTCCTGGCACGTGCCGCTGCCGTCGCAGATCCAGGAGCCGGAGCGGCCGCGGCCGCCGCGGCGCCCGCGGTCCCCGCCGCCGCCCGACGACGACGACGACGACCGCTCGCGGCGGTCCGCGGCGTCGACGGCGCGGTCGTCGACGTCGACGGCGCCGCTGCCCGAGGACGCGCCGTCCTCGGCCGCCGGCGCCTGGCGCCAGGACGGCGTCGAGTTCGTGCCGGCGCCCGCGGCGCCCAAGGTCCGCGCGCGCGTCGGCTCGCGGCGCGAGCCCGCGTCGTCGCGGCGGCGCCAGTCCGCGGAGTATCGCAACTGGGGCTCGACGGCCATGGTCTCCGGCGGCGGCGGCGGCATCTTCAAGCGCAACAAGGTCAAGAAAAAAAAGGCCGAGGAGAGCGACGACGCGGCGCTCGACCGCGCGCGCCGCGAGCGCCGCGCGGCCGCGAACGAGCGGCTGAGACTGATGCGGCTCAAGCGCGAGGAGGCGCTCCGGCGGAAGCGCGCGCAGCAGACGCTCCGGCGGGAGCGCGACCGCGCCGCGGCGGCGAAGCGCGACGACGCGAGCTCCGCGAGCGAGTCCGTCTCCGGCGGCGACTCGGACGACGACGACGACGACGCGACGGCGGCGGCCGTCGTCCCGCTCGACGAGCTCCACGCGTCGGCCCTCGACGCCGCGCGCGCGGACGATGCACCGGAGGAGCCGGTTCCGGCGGAGGAGCCCGTCGAGGCACCCGTCGCGCCGGAGCCCGTCGAGGCGGCTTCGGCGCCGCCGGCCGGGCACGAGACCTTCGCGATGCGCCTCGCGCGGCGGACGACGTCGTCCGCGGACCTCGCCGCGGAGGAGGCGCCGCGCGACGACGGGTGGGGCGGCGCGAGCTACGCGGCCGCGGCGCCCGGGGCCGCGACGCCGCGCGAGCCGGCGAGCGCCGCGCCCCGCGCCGCGGCCGCGCCGCCGGCCCGAGCGCCGTCGGCCGACGCGGCCGACGCGGCCGCTCCGACGGACGCGACCGCCGGCTCGACCGCCGCTCCCGAGCCGTCGCCGAGACCCGCGGCGGCGCCGTCGCCCGAGGCGCCGACCGCGTCCCGCGCTCCCGAAGCGTCGCCTCTGCTCGCCGCGCTGGACGCTCCGCCCGCCGAGCCTCGGCGACCGGCGCCGGACGCCGCCGCGAGCGCGTCGCCTCGGGAAAGGCGCGTCGACGAGGGCGAAGAGCCGCGACGACCGACGAGCGACGAAGCGGCGCCCTCGGCCGACGCGGAGCCGGCGAAACCAATGGAGTCGCCGCGACTTACGCCCTCGGCGGACGTGGCGTCGCCGCGACGAGCGCCCGCGACGACGCCCCGCGACGACGATCCGGAGTCGCCGCGACCGGTGCCAAAGGCCGAGCTGGAGCCGGTGCGAGATCTGGAGTCGCTGCGACTCGTGCCGACGGCCGACGTGGCATCGCCGCGACCGGCGGATGTGGAGTCGCCGCGACGAGAGCCCGCCGAGTCGCCGCGGCGAGTCACGCTGGAGTCGCCGGAGCCGTCGCCGCGCCCGGACGCCTTGGAGCCGTCGCCGCGCCCGGACGCCTCGGAGCCGTCGCCGCGCCCGGACGCCTTGGAGCCGTCGCCGCGCCCGGACGCCTCGGAAGAGCCGCCGCGCCCGGACGCTTTGGAAGCGGCGCCGCGACCGGACGCTTTGGAAGCGGCGCCGCGCCCGGACGCTTTGGAAGCGGCGCCGCGACCGGACGCTTTGGAAGCGTCGCCGCGACCGGACGCTTCGGAAGCGTCGCCGCGACCGGACGCTTTGGAAGCGTCGCCGCGGACCGTCGGACCGACGGCGGCGGCCGGCGCGGCCGTCGCGTCGCCGCGGCCCGAAGCGTCGCCGCGGCCCGAAGCGTCGCCGCGCCCCGCGGCCGAGGCGCGGACGCTCGCGTCGTCGCCGCGGCCCGTGTCGACGAGCAGCCTCGCGCTGGAGCTGCACAGCCCCCTGCCCGCGCGGCCGCCGCCGTCGCCCGCGCCGTCGGGCGGCGAGCGGGACGCGGACCCGTCGCCGCCGTCGGCGCGCCGCGAGCCCGAGGCCCAGTCCGCCGCGCGCGCGGAGCTCGCGGCGGCCGTGCGGCGGTCCTCGGAGGCGCTCGTCGCGCCGCGCCGCGCCGCGGCCCCGTCGCCGCCGAGGCCGCCGGCGCCGGAGCCGGCGCCGGCGCCGGCGACCGTCGCCGCGGCGCCCGCCGTCGTCGACCGGACGAAGGCGCGCGCCCACCCCGAGTTCTCGTCCGTCTTCAGCCAGTGGGCGACGCTCCAGTGCTCGCCCGGCAAAGAGCCGAAGCAGAAGCCGTCCGTCGCGGAGATCAAGCTCCAGCTCGCGCGCCAGTGGCGCCTCTACACGGTCTACAAGGCCGTCATGTCGGACTACGCCGCGGTCTTCAGCCACCACCGCGCCCTCGAGGGCGAGGGCAAATCCGCGGCCGTCTACGGCGGCTCCGCGGCCGCGCTGCACTTTCGGGTGAACTCGTCGCGGCCCGAGGTCTTCGACATCGTCACGCAGGTGCTGACGCGGCGCGACGGCGGGCTGAATGGGGCCTGGGAGGAGCTGCCCAACGGCCTGGGCCTCAAGACGACGTGGAACCTGCTGTGGACCTGGAGCCGGCCGCGGATCAACTACGCGCACCTCGGGGCGGGAAAAGAGAGCGACATGCCCAACTTCAACGGCTCCTAGCTCGGCCGTTTTCCACTTGTTTCGGCTGATTTTTGGACGAGCGATCATCTCTCGGAACGGTTTCGAAGCGTGGACGCTGTTTCCGGAACGCGCGCGCGCGGAACACCCACGTTGAAGCGACGTTTGAATCACTCTCGTCCCGCCCAGGCGCACCTGCTCACGTGGCAGAAGGTGAACCACTACCCGCACGCGAAGCACCTGACGCGCAAGGACTTTTTAGCGAGATCCATCGGCCGCTGCCGCCACCTCGCCGCGACGGGCGGCGGCGGCAAGCACGCGGGGTTCTTCGACCTCTGCCCCGAGACGTACCTGTTGCCCGCGGAGTATTCCGCGCTCGTCGCCGCGCACGTCGACAAGCAGAAGCGGGGCGCGAAGCCGACGTGGATCATGAAGCCCGTCGGGCTGAGCCGCGGCCGCGGGATTAGCGTGGTGTCGTCCATCGAGGACGTCACGTACGCGGACCCGGTGGTGGTGCAGGCGTACCTCGACCGGCCGCGGCTCCTCGGCGGCCACAAGTTCGATCTACGGTTGTACGTGCTCGTGACGTCCTTCGCGCCCCTGGAGGCGTTCCTCTACCGGGAGGGCTTCGCGCGCGTGGCGACGAAGCCCTTTTCGGCGCCGGGCGACGACAACGGCGACAAATTCGTGCATCTGACAAACGCTTCAATTCAAAAGCACGGCGGCCAGGAGAAGGGCGAGCTCTACGGGCCCCTGGCCGGCGCCGGGCCCGACGAGGCCGGGGGCACGAAATGCTCGTTGGACTTTCTCTGGCGGCGGCTTCGCCGCGAGGACCCGACGTTCGACGAGGCGCGCGTCTGGGACGGCGTCCGCGAGCTGGTCCTGAAATCGCTGGTCTGCGTCGAGGACTCCATCCCGCACCAGCCCAACTCCTTCGAACTCTTCGGCTACGACGTCCTCATCGACGCGGACTCGCGGTGCTGGCTCATCGAGGTCAACGCGTCGCCGTCGATGGCGCGCGAGACGTCGCTCGACGCGGACGTCAAGGAGCGGTGCATCCGCGACGTCATCAACCTCGTGGACCCCGTGCCCTACGACCGCGACGCCTTGGTCGACGTCTTCGACAAGCGGCTCAAGGCCGCGGAGACGGGCGAGCGGCTCCTGGCGGCGCCGCGGCGGTCGGCCCGCGCGGACGCGCCCGCGGCCGACGCGGCCGCGGCCGCGGACGCGCGCGAGGCCCACCTCGCCGGCGACCTGAACGCGCTGCTCCCGGGGGCCGCGCCGCGGCGCGTCGGCGAGCCCCCCGCGTGCCTCGGCGGCTTCGAGGTCCTGGCGCCGTCGAAGCAGCACGACCGCATACGCCGCGTGAAGCGCGCGTGCCACTAATTCTCAGATGTACACGCGTCCCGCAGCGCCGCGGGGAGGGCGGCCCAGTTGGACACGGCCTCCCGGAGGGGCGCGCGGCGCCGGCGGTGCCGCGCGTGGAGCGCGGCCATCGTCGGCGTCGCGTCGACCATCGGGAGGCGCAGCGCGGCGCGCACGCGGCGCCAGGCGTCCTCGGCGGCGGCGGGCGACGACAGGTCGTCCTCGTAGAAGAGGTCGAGCGCCGCGACGTTCCGCGCGTCCTTTTGTAGGGTCGCGAGCGCGGAGGCGACGGTGCGCTCGTAGAGCGCCTCGCCCGCGACGTGCGCCTCGAGCGCGGCCACGTCGACGGCGACCGCCGACGACGGCGCCGTCGACTGGCCCCAGCCGCCCGTCCTCATGGCCCGCTGCAGCGACAGGAACTGGGCCACCGCGCACCGGCGCCGCAACGTGACGAAGACGACCGCGGCGAACGGGCCCGCGGCGCGGACCGCGTCGACGAGCGCGCCCGGCCGCGGCGCGCCGACGTTGTTCACGCCGCGGATGTGGCCCGGCATGAGCTTGAAGCCGCTCGCGGCCGTGCGGGCCGCGGCCGTGGCCCACGCGAGGAGCGGGGCCGGCGTCTCGTGGCGCGCCGCGAACGCGGCCGCCGGCGGGCACGCGCCCCGGAGCTTCGGCGAGAAGTGGGAGTACTTGCCGCCGTTCGGGCCGCAGGCGCCGAACTGCGTGTCGTTCCAGTGGAAGCACTCGTTGTGCATCGTCGTGTCGGGGGCCGCGTCCAGCAGCCGTTCCAGGAGCGTCGACCCGACGCGCGGCGACGCGACGAGGACGAGCAGCGCGCGGTCCGCGTCGGCCTCGGGCCGCAGCACGGGCAGGCCGTACGTGTTCATGAAGTCGACGGCGCGGCCCGCGGAGTTGTTCCGGGGGCAGAACCCGAGCGGCGACGGGCACGCCGGGTCGCTCCTCTCGTCCTTCCGCTTGTACCAGGGCGGCGAGGAAAGGTGCTCCATGGCCTCGAACTCGTGGAACGCGAGGAACTTTTGACCCGCGGGCGTCGCAAAGTAGGCGTCGCCGCGTTGGGGCGATTCCGGGAGCTCCGCGGCCGCGCGCGCGACGTCCAGACGCGCCTCCTCGCACGCGCGCGACTCGTCGCCCGCGAGGCACCGCTCGTAGCCGACACCGTCGGCCGGCGAAAAGCCGGTCGTGGCGTAGAGCCGCCCCGGCGCCACGCCCAGGAGACCGTTGGACGCCTCGAGGAGCGTGCCGTTGGCGCGGATCACGCGCGAGCCGCCGATCTCCGCCGCGACGAAGCGGAAGCCGACGTCGTTGCGGGCGCCGCGCAGGTAGGCGGCGAGGGACCGCGGCCGGTCGTGCGTCACGGACGCGAAGTCGAGGAGCGTGGGGAAGAGGCACGTCGAGTCCATGAGACCGTCGACGGCGCCGCGCGCGCGGACGCCGGGGCCCGCGACGACGGACACGACGGACGCGCCGCGCTCGACGCCGCGGCCCTTGCCCCGGTAGGCCGCGGCGTTGTCGGAGACGACCCAGACGATCGTCGACGGCCGCTGGCCGTTCGCCGCGAGCGCGCCGCGCAGCTTGCCGACGGCGACGTCCGCGCGTTCCACGAGGCGCTTCATGCGCGCGAGCCAGTAGCCGCCGGGCCGCAGGCGGTCCGTCGTCGGCTTGAGGCCGTTGTCGCCGGGCGCGTCGGCGCGCGGCAGCGTCCGGTTCTCCGTCTCGTGGACTAAGACAGTCGGGTAGTAGAGGAAGAAGGGCGTCGCCGGCGTCTGTTTCCCGAGGAAGGTCGCGACGAATTGTTCCTCCAAATCCGGCCCAAAGTCCGCGCGCGTCGTCCGCACGTAGCCCAGGGGCGAGTCCGTCGCCGGGTCCGGCGGGAAGCGCCGGTAGCACGGCGCCCAGTAGCGGCTGAGGTACGTCGTCGTCGCGAGCGGGTTGGCGACGCGCGCGTCGACGTGCGCGTCGCCGCCGCAGTCTTTGGCGTTGTGCTCCGAGAGGCCCGCGTCGTGCATGAGGTAGGTGTCGAAGCGCGCCGCCGCCAGGTCGCCGGGGATGCCCTGCTTCGAGGGGCCGACGCCCCACTTGCCCGCCATCGCCGTGGCGTAGCCCGCGCCCTTGAGGAGCGCCGGCAGGAGCGCGTGGGCCGCCGCCGCCGCCGGCGACGCCATGCGCAGCTGGTTGTGGAGGTAGCCCGTCTCGGACGGGTAGCGGCCCGTGAGCAGGGACGCGCGCGACGGACCGCACAGCGCGGGCGCGTAGGCCGCGCGGAACGCGGCGCCCTCGCGCGCGAGCGCGGCGATGGACGGCGTCTTCGGGGACCCGTAGCGCGCCGACTGCCAGGCCTCGGAGGCGTACTCGGGGTAGGCGTCGGGGAACATGTCCGGCGACGCGTCGTCTAAAACCACGAGCACCAGATTCGGCCGGTCGACGGCGTCGTACGCGACGGGGCGGTCCAGGGGGCCCGCGATCTCCCGCGCGCGTTCGACGGCGTCCCGCGAGTGGCCCGAGCCCTCGGCCGCGGCCGCCGCGGCGAGCTTCTGCGCGTCGGGGAACGCCGGCAGTTTCGCGAAGCGCGAAGGCAGGGGCGCGCGGGCGGCGCAGGGCATGCGTAAATCGCCGCGCACGAGGACGACGTCGGCGCTGAGGCGGCCCACGTTGACGTAGTTCCGTTCGTCGACGAGGAACTTGGCCGCCGCGACGCCCGCGGCGCTCTGCTCGATCGTGAAGACGTCGACGGTCACGGCGTCGAAGTCGATGGACCTGACGGCCTTGAGTTCGCAGCCCTCGCAGTCCAGACTGAAGAAGTCGACGTGGGTCACCCGGCGACGGGCGAGGATCGACGCGACGCGGTGGCAGGTCTTCGTGTCCTTCACGATGGCCGCCCGGCCGCGCTTGTCGAGGCGGTCGATCGCGTCCTCGAGGCTCGCCGACTCGACGCCCGCCAGGCCCGTGCCGCCGGGCAGGGAGACGAAGGTGACCTGCTCGCCGGGCACGTCGGAGACGCAGTGCGGCGCCAGGGACGCGTTCGGCCGGAGCCGGAGGAAGCCCGCGTGCCGCGGCGCCTGCGGTTCTATCACGACGCCCGTCCAGCCCCGGCACCGCTCGTAGAACCACGTGTTCGACGCGACGACGGCGTCGTAGCCGCCGAGCTCGACGAAGACGCCGTCGCGCCGGCCGCCGAAGATGGCCTCGCGGAGCCACTGGTCCTGCCCGAACTGCGAGAGGTAGCCGGCCGGCGCCCACCCGGAGCGCTCCATGGCGTCGCAGGCGTTCGCCTCGCAGGCGGAGCCCGGCTCGCACTTGCGCAAAATGCCGTACCAGCCGCGCACGGGCCCGATCTCCGCGCCGCAGCAGTGCAGCGGCAGCGTGCCGCCGGCCTCGAAGGTGGACATCCAATGCTCCACGGAGCACGTCTCGCTCGCCGTCTCGCTCGCGCGCGCCGCCTCGAGCGCGCCGAGGAGCCACAGCGCGCGAAACATGTTAGACAAATGCAAAGCAAGTCATTCGCGGGCTGCCCGCCTCATGCTTTTTTTTATCGTCTCATCGTGATCGCGCTTCCAGGGTCACGGTTGATCATGAAGGCGCGCTTGAAGTTCAAGAAAGCCACCCAGCCTTGCGAAGGGCCCCGTGTGCATCAGGGGAGTCTTAGGCGGATAACGCCTTCGATCGGGGCGAAAGCACGAGATCAAGGTGGTGGGCGAGGGCGGGCGGACTCGGAGGCGCGGGAGGAGGCGGCTCAGTGGAACCAGGTAGTGTCGTCGTCGGCGACAGGGTCCGGGGGCCTGTCGAGGTGGGCGCCGAGGTTCGGCAGGCCGTCCTCGGAGTAGACCTGCGGACGGGGGAAGGGGTCGATCGCGGGAAACGAACGCGCGGGACGCGGCTTCGCGTGCCATGTCCGAGAGCATGTCGAGGTACTCGACGTCGTCGACGTTCGCCCCCGGCTGGAGTTTCTTCGCCGCGTCCAGCGCCGCGGGCGCGGCGAGGTCCGCGGGGAGCTCCGGCGGCGGCGGCGCGCGGTGCGGCGGCGGCGGCGGCGGCTCGCCGCGCCCGCCGACGGCGCGCGGCTGCGCCGGCCGGGGCGAGGGGCTGCGGATGACCGTGTGTCGCGTCAGGGGCGAGCAGGGGAAGCCCGTGAGCATCTGGGGCGGCGGCGGCGGCGGCGGCGCGCGCGCGGGCGTCGGCGGCGTCGGCGGCGCGGACGGCACGACGGCCGCGAGGTCGTCCCTCAGCGCCCGGAGCGCGTCGCGGGCCATGTCGGCGACGTCGCCGCGCGTGCGCTTCTTCGTCCGCGGCCGGTCGAGGCGGAGCGCGTCCGGGAGGCGGAGCCAGGGGCAGTGGCGGAGCACGCGGTCCCGCGAGCACCGGAGCTCCGCGCACAGGTCGTTCGCGACGTCCGCCGCGGACTTGTCCGCGTCGTGGACGCCCGCGACCCACAGGCTCCCGAGGAGCCGCGCGTAGGCGTCCTCCTCCGCCGTCCAGGGGCCCTCGGGCCCCTCGCGCCGCGCCGGCCGCCGCCGGGGCGACGCCGGCGGCGCCGCGGCGCCGGCCGGGAAGGGCCGGCGCCGCGCGCGCCGGCCCAGGGGCGACACGGGCGGCGCGCCGGCCTCGTCGCCCAGGACGCGCCGGAGCGCCGCCGCGCCGCGCGCCATCGCGTCGGCCTCGGACCGCGCGCGCGACTGCGCGCGCCGCCGCGCCTCGAGCTGCGCGGCGACCTTCCAGGGCTCCTCGCTCGCGACCCAGCCGTCCGCCGCCGACGGCACCACGCTGGACACGACGGCGCGGCCGCCGCCGGGCACGGGCACCGTCGCGCGCGCGCCGGACGCGGACAGCGGCGGCGGCGGCGCGCGGACGTAGTGCGGCGGCAGCGCGCGCGGCGCGGGGTGCAGGGCCGCGTGCGCGACCGGCAGCATCATGGGCGCCGTGACCGGCAGCATCATGGGCGCCGTGACCGCCAGCGTCGGCGGCGCGGCCGCCGCGGCGGTCGCCGCGGCGGTCGCCGCGGGGGCCGCGCCGGGCGGCGGCGTGCCCGACAGGTCCTGGACCGCCGTCGGGCTGAGAGTGCTCCGCGACGCGAAGAGGGCCCCGAGGTCCGGCCGCACGGGCGTCTCCGGCGACACGGGCTCCGGCGGCGTCACGTAATTAATCGGGGGATTCGTCCCATAGGATCCCTGGGCGCGCAGCTGCGCGCAGATGAACGGGGTGTCGACGTACATCCGACCGCGGCGGCCCGCCCAGGGCGCACTGTCGCATGCGCCCGGGGCCGCCGCGAAGGTCCGGTTTCGCACTGCGATCGAGACGATGGGATGCCACGATAGGAGGGCAGCATCTGCCCACGTGTCCGCGAAAGTTCCACGTGATATTCAACGTGAAACCTCAATCACGAGGCCGCGCGGGTTAACGCGCGGGTCCATTCGCCACGTGCCGCGTTTCGCGCTCGGCCTTCATTCACCGCGGATATCGGCGTTCCTAGGAAACTCGGGGCGGGAGGCGGACGACGAGGCGCGCGGCTCAGATGCGCACGCCGCTGTCGAGCATGATGCAGGCGCAGCCGTCCTCGACGTCGAGATAGACCGGATCGTCCACGAGCAGACCATCTTCTCCGACCGGGTGGGCCGTCGAGCTCACGACGTCGCAGGGCACGGGCGGGTCGAACTCGAACGTCGCGCGGAGCACGCCGTGCGCCTTCTCGCCCGTGAGCTTGAAGGACGGCGGCTCGTCGTCGTCGCAGGACATGCCCATGACGTCGTGGACCGTGAACTCCGTGCCGCAGATGAGCTCGTTGGCCTGGAACTGCCGCTCGGACCTGGGCAGCAAAAGGGTGCGAAATTCCCAACTTCAAAGGCTCCTATCTCGGTCGTTTTTCGCTCGTTTCGGCTGATTTTTAGACGGGCGATCATCTCTCGGAGCGCTCCCGAAGCGTGGGTGCTGTTACCGAAACGCGCGCGCGCGGAACACTCACGTTGAAGCGACGTTGAATCACCCTTTTGCTGCCCTGGCTCGGACTTGATCTCGAGCGTGACCGCGTCGAGGTAGTCGATGCCTGCGAAGGACCCCGTCGCCGGAAGAAAGGAAGCGCCGCGCGCCGCGCACCGAGGAAGAGCAGGCTGTGCTCCCAGTTGGGCTCGAGGGTCTTCCGGCAGATCGGCGTCTTCTGCTTCGTGCCCTGTCTGTCCTGACCTGCGCGCGCCGGGCCGCGATCGCGCGGCCGCGCGGAGCGCGCGGCGCCGGCGCCGCGCCGACGTAGACGACGACGTAGGGATCCAGCGTCGACGCGGAGAGGCCCGACCCCTCGAGGATCTCGATCTCCGCGCGCCGCAGCGTCAGCGTCATGCGGTAGGACTTGGAGCCCAGGTACCTGGCGATGGGACCGCCTCCGTCGATGCCGGCGCCGTCATCGTGGACGCCGCGCGCGCGCATGCCCCAGTACTCGGACTCCTGGGCGAGCATGGTCGCCCGGTGCGACCGCCCGCGCGGACGCCCAACAGGAAGGGCAGCCCTGTGTCGAGCCGCGGCGTCCAATAAATGATTCGAGAAGGCGGTTGTTGAAGATATTCTTATTACAGGTCCTCCGCGCGCGAACGCAGCCCCCAGGCGCCGCGGTCGAGCGTCAGCTTGTCGCCGGGACTGATGGGCGCCGCCGCCGTCGCGGCGACGAGGATGGTGCCCTGCTCCTCCGCGCCGGCGCGCCGGAACGCCGCGGCGAGGCTCGCCGGCGTCTCCGCCGCGTCCGGCCACGGGTGGAGCTCGAGGTTCGGCGCGTCGCCGCGGTCGTTGCCGTCGCCCACGTAGATGGCGCCCTTGCCGAGGAGGAGCAGCGCGAGGTCGCCGTCCAGCGGCAGCAGGAACTCGCGGAGGAGCGTGCCGTCGAAGCGGCCGAGCGGCAGCACGAGCCCGCGCGAGACCTCGACGACGTCGCCGACGGCGTAAAATTTCGTGGCGACGGCGACCCACTCGACCACGTCGACGTCCGTGCCCCCGCAGCCCGGCAGGACGCCCGGCGGGAACGCCGTCGCGGTCTCGTGCGCGTCCGCGTCTTTGTAGTCGATGCCCCGTCCCCCGAACCACTGCTCGCCGCCGTAGGAGTCGAAGACCTCCTCGTAGCGCGCGACGGCGCGGTCCGTGGGCCGGAAGGCGACGTCGACGGGCCCGTCGTCCTTCGGCGCGTTTCGTCGCTCGTGCGCGAGCGTCCACTGGTTGTGCAGGTGAGGACGAGGCGAGTGGTTGTACATCATCGCCAGGCCGAAGGACACGGTGGCGTGCGTGTCGTTGAAACCGAACACGTAGTGGTTCAGCGCCGTCGCCTCCGTCGCCGAGTAGGGCACGGCGATGGACGGGCAGATCTCGTAGGGGGCCTTGCCCTTGGGCACGGCGCGCCCGGAGAAGACGCCGAGGCCGCCGCCGGCGACGGGACTCGGCGCGAGCACCATTGGACAGTCATCGTTGGCCAGCGCTGCGGTCGCGGCGAGCACGGCGAGCGACGCAGCGCGTCTTGGTCGATTGGTGATGCCCATCGTGCCCCCCCCCGCGGTCAAAGGTCGACGGGTTGAAGTCGCGCTTGCACTTCTTCGCACGAACAGCAGTATTTAATGCTCGCGCGAACAGCAGTATTTAATGCTCACGAGAATGCTCCGCTACCGGGCAGCCCCCAGTGCATTTGGACCGTGTCATCGACGCGCGTATCGCCCGCACTGGCAGCCGTGCAACTTGCGAGCGCTGCTCTTCGCGGCATTCTTCGCTGGCGCGGCGGAGGCCGAAGACTTTTGGGGCCAAGATGTGGATGTGTCAATCACGACCTCCACCTGCCTCAACGTCATGAGCTACTCATACCTCGAGGTCTGGGACGACGATACATTCCAGACGACCGGCAGCTGCGCGTTGTCGTTTTACATCCGCTCCGACCCGGAGGACGATTGGGGCTACAATTCGCCTGGGTGCTACGGGCAGGCGAACTTTGGATGCCAGAGCTGCGACGGGGGCGACCCGTGGTGCCAGTCCGTCGACGCCGACGGCGAGCACACCGGGTGGTGCTACTGCTCGGACGACGACGCGGCGGGCGACGCCGACGTGCTCGCATACGGCTTCGAGAGCTTCGACGGGACGAACACGGGAGAGGCGTGCATCCCGGCTCCCGAGGAGGAGGATTATAACCCGTACGGGCCCGTCGACGGCCGCGCGGAAATCAATCGTCGCTGACGCGCGTCGAGGAAGACCGGGAGACGTCGCCCCGTTCCGAACTGAGATCCGTCGCCCCGGCTCGCAGGTCGACGGCGCCTACTACTGCGCGACGTCTTGGGAGTACAGCGCCGCGAATATAGAGGAATACGACTTCTATCCGGGCGTGCACCGGGGCTGCATCATCGAAGACGGCCCCTGGTGCGAGGCCGCGGACGCCTCCGGAACCTACGTGGGATGGTGCAAATGCGACCCGGGCAGCGACGACACCACCGCGGCGCGCGCCGGCGCGCGGGCGTCGGCCCTCGCCATCCTCGCGGCTTTCGTGTTCGTCCTCGCCTGAGGACGAGTCCAAAACCACGGTGCCGGCGGGGGGGGCTGTTCCGTCTCTTAAGTGCGCTCGCGCCGATTTTTTCTTCTCTTTCCATCAACACTCGCGGCATCCGAGTCGGGCGGGCGGCTCGTGACGTTTGGCTGTCCGCGCGTGGGGGATGCGCTCTTTGCGTCGTCCTTCTGCGAGACGTGCGGCGACGCCGTCCGCGTCGTGACCGCCGGCGACGTCGTCCCCCGGCTGCCGCGCGGGACGCTGGCGAACCGGATCCTGGACTTCCGGCACTGCTGCCGGACGCTCGTGCTCACACAGAAACGGAAATCCTGGCGCCTGGAGGCGACGCGGCCCGAGGTCGTCGGCGCGGACCCGGCCGCGGAGCAGGATCCGGGCTACCGCGGCGTCTTCCCCGTCGACGTGCGCGACTGGCGGCCGCTGCCCGTAGCCCTGCGCTTCGTCCTCGCCGAGGCGTCGCTGCTGGCGGCCGTGCTCACGGGCGCGGCCCTCGACGCGCACCGCGAGGCGACGTACTACGCGGCCGTCGCGGCCGCGCTCGCGACCCCCGGCGACGACGTAATGACTGCAACTTAAAGAGGTTGCTTATGGGGGGCTGAGATGTCATGCGCGCCGCGCGCTGGATCCTCGCGGGCTGCGCCGTCGCGCTGTCGCTGCACGCTCTGCTGCACCGGCGCGTCGAGGCGCCGGCGCAGGAGGTCGTTGTTGCGAAGCCGACGCGACCACCCGACGACGGCTGCCCCACGACCGTGCGCGTGGCCCTGTGCTTCTACGGCCTGAACCGCGCCCTGCGCCACACGCACGAGTCCATCCGACGCCACCTCGTCGCGCCGCTCCGCGCCGCCTGCGCCCGCGTCGACGTCTTCTATCACACGTGGTCGCTCGAGACGCTCGAGGACACGGGCAAGGCGGGCGGCGAGCGCGAGGCCGTGCGCATCGGCGGCGCCGCGGAGATGCGGGCGCTGCTGGGCGATCTCGTGGCCAAGTCGGCCGTCACGGACCAGGCGGCCTTCGACGCCGCGTCGAACGCGTCGTACTACAAAACGCTGGACCGGCGCTACGGAGGCCCGAACTTCGTCAATTTGATGCGCCAGCTCGAGTCCCTGCGGCGCGTCACGGCGCTCTGGCGGTCCATGGGCGCCCACGCGGAGACCCACTACGCGGCGGTCATCTACGCGCGGCCCGACCTCTTGTTCCTCGACGACGTCAACGCGACGCAGGCGCTGACGCTGCGGGAGAACGACTTCCTCACGCCCTACTGGCACCAGTGGAGCGGCCTGAACGACCGCGTCGCCATCGGGCGGCCCCGCGCGGCGGCGGCCTTCGGGAACCGCATCGAGCTGGCCGCGGGCTACGCGCTGGAGACGTTCCTCCGCTCCGAGTCGTTCCTGAAGTGGGCCGTGTGCGACCACCACGGCTTCGACCTCGCCTTCCTCGAGGCGCGCGCCCAGCGCGTCCGCGCCTCGGGCGACGTCGCCGACAACGACGCGTGCCTGAAATACTGCAGCCTGAGCCTGCGGCGGACGTGCCGCGCCGACTGCCGCAAGCTCGCGCCGCCCGGCGAGGCGCCGCCGCTGGCGGCCTGGGCGAAGAAGCAGCAGGCTCGGGACCGCGAGAAGAGGCGGGACAAGCGGCCGCCGAAGCACGCGCACCACAATCGGCTGCCCTAAGGTGCAAGTTCCATACATGTTGATGGAAAGAGAAGAAGAAAATCGGCGCGAGCGCACTTAAGAGACGGAACAGACCCCGCCGGCACCGTGGTTTCGGGCTCGTCCTCAGGCGAAAGCTGCCCAATGGGATCTCGACCGTCTGGCCATCGTGCCGGCGGCACCGTGACATGCAAGGAGCCTGCAAGGCCAACCTTTCTTCAGAGCGTCCGGATCCGGTCATACAGCTCCTGTCATCGGAGCCCGCTGTCCACCGCGGTTGAGGTTGTGGTGCGCCCCCGAATCGCCCCTACCCAGCGCCACTGAGCACCCCGGAGGCTCGCCGAGGGCCCCAGGACCCGCTAGAGCCAAAAAAACGGGCGCCCCAACACCAAAAATGGCCTCGATGGCAACCGTGGATGTCGGGGACGAGCAGGAGCGCAAGAAGCGCTTGAAGCGGGAAGCGAATCGCCGGTCAGCCCAGCTGAGCCGCCAGCGCAAGAAGGCGTTCATCGAGGACCTCAAGGCGAAGAACGCGCGCCCCGGCGCCCCCGCGGACTCGAAACGATCGAAATCGAACGTCTGTCTTTTCGTAGGCCGAGTTCCAGCTCGCGCAGAATGTGCTCGCGTGCCACCCGGACGTCTTCCTCGCCCTCGACGGGCCGGACCTGCGCGTGGGCTACGCGAACCGCGCGGCGGCGGCGTCGCTGCGCTTCGCGTCGTCGGAGTCTCTCGAGAACGTGTCGTTCCACGACCTCCTCGACGACGACTCGAGGAGGCGGTTCCGCGGCGCGCTGCAGGCCGTCGCCGGCCGGCCGCCGCGGTCCGCGGCGCCCCTCGGCGGGCCCCTCGTCGTCGGCGGCAACCAGACGTCCGTCGCGCTCGACGTCCTCGGCGAGGTCTCCGAGGGCCTCCTCGGCGACAGGAGCGTCGTCGTCTGCGGCCGGCCCCTGCGCAAGCGGCCGCGCGCGTGAGCGCGCGCCCGCGACCAAGAGCGGGGCCCTCCGCGGAGCGGACCGCCCCCACCACCGCCGCCGCGCGCCGCCCCGGACGTCCGGGGCGCGCCCGGCCCTCCCGAAAGAATGGCACAAGAAGCCGCTAAATCAAGACTCACAACTTACGGCAGGGGGTCGAAGATGTCGAGCCCCTCGATGGCGATCTCGACCTTGGACTTGTTCGAGTGGAGCGTGACCTGCGAGACGCCGTAGAGCGTCGCCGCGGCGAGGCGGTAGAGCTCGAGGGCCTCGCGGAGGTGGCGGGCGTGGTCCTGGCGCATGCGCTGCGCGAAGTGGACGTCCGACTCCTTCTCCTCGTCGACCTGGACCTCGTCGCGCGCGTCGCCCGTCGCGTCGGCGACGCGGCTGCCCAACTTGGCCTGGAGCGCCGCCTTTTCCTGGATGAAGCGCTGGCGCCGCTTCTCCTCGCGGGTCATGGCCGCCCAGGCGTCGGCGTCGGCCTTGGCCTTGGCCTCGAGGCGCGCGGCCTCGGCGGCCTCGGCCTCGTCGACGGCGGCCCACGACGCGGCGATCTCGTTCGAGAGCCGGTCCCTGAACGCGGCCCAGCATAAGGCGGGCCCGCCGTAGGGCTCGAGGAAGGCGCGCAGGCCCGGCAGGGCCGCCGCGGGCAGGGCCGACAGCACGGCGCTGTTGCCGAGGAAGAGCTCGTTGAGGCTGTGGAACGAGAACTCGAGCGACGTCGCGCGCGTCGCCTTCAGGCCCCGGCAGAGCGCCCAGAGGTGCTCGGTCCACGTCGCGTCCTCGGCGGCGCGCGCGGCGTCGTGGACGTCCGTCGCCTCGTGCTCCGGCTTGACGTGGCCCGTGATGCCCGTCAGCGGGAGCTCGCCAGGCTTGAGGAGGTCGCCGTGGCTCTTCAGCGTCCGCGCCTTCGCCAACTCGTGGGCCTTCCACTTGAGCTCCTTCTCGCTCCGCTCCACGGCCCGGGCCTCCTCCCCGGCGTGGAGCAGCTCCTCGAGCAGGAGCGCGAGCGCGGACCGCGCGAGCGTCGCGCGGCCCGACAAACGGATCGACGCGTCGTACCCTAAAACGATCTTCGTCGACTCGTACAAATCCTCCATGCTCAGGCCGCTCCGCGCGCTCATCTGCATCTCGGGGATCAAAGACCGCAGGCCCTGGCCGAGCTTGAGCACGTTCCGCAGGATGTTGTCGAGGTTGCCCTCCTTCTTCCACAGGAATTGGAGCCGCAACAACAAGCCCTCGTCCTCCGCGCCGCCCACGGGGCGGATGACGCGCACGCCGTGGAAGTAGGGCAGCTTCGCGAGGTCGTCCTCGAGGTGCGCGTGGATGAAGTCCACGACGAGCTTCCGCAGGCGCATGACCTCGCGCGGGTCCGCGCCGTCCTTGGCCGGGAAGTCGACGCAGATCGACGACCCGCAGGTCCCCGGCACCTGCATCTTCGCGTGGAACTCGCCCGGGTCGTCGACGTGCTCGTACTCGACCTCGATGGACATGTTGCCGTCGGCGTCCGCGAAGTCCGCGGCCTCGTCGCCGATCTCCACCGCAAAGTCCCACTTCGCGTGGTCCTCCTTGAGCCGCGCGAGCCGCTCCGGCGTGATGAGGCCCCGGTCCACGAAGGACGCGATCAAGCCCATGACGCGGCCGACATTGCGCTTCGACCGCCGCAGCCACGTCCTGAAACCCAGCAGCGCGCCGCAGCACGAGCCCGCGAACGGCGCCAACGGCCGCAGCGTCTCCCGCGACGACAGCCACCACGCCGCGAACGCGTCTCTATAAATTCGCTGGCCGTCGCGGCCGTCGACGCGGCTCTCCTGGTGGAAGGAGAACAAGTGCCGCGCCTTGTAGTCCTCGCGGAGCGTCGTCATGAGCGCGTTCTTCCGCAGGTGGACCCTCAAACTCAGCGCGCACTCCTCGTAGGAGAGGCACTCGCCGCAGTCGTAGCACAGCTGCTGGAAGGAGGTCGCGGCGACCTTGCCCGTGGGCTCGTCGATGCCGTAGACCTCCTTGTTCAGCTCCCGGTCCAGCTCGTCGAAGCGCTCGAGGCACGTGCGCCACCGATCCAAATCGCGCGGCGTCGCCAGAAGCCCCAGCGCGAGCACGTCCTTCTCCACGGGGAATCTGTGCTCGACGTACTCCCGGTAGTTCACGAAGTGCTCGAGGCACACCAAACCCTCGTGGGACGTGCCGAAGAGGTCGTCCATGTAGCAGCGCCAGACCTCGCGGTGCGCCATGACGTGCGCGTCGACCTCCCCCGGCCGGCCGACGCCCTCCAAGTACCGCCGGAAGTCGCCGTAGGTCCAGCAGCCGTCGCCGTCCGTGTCGAAGTGGTCGAAGAGGGTCTCCGCCAGCTCGACGCCGCGCCAGCTCAGGCGCTGGCGGCCGCTCCAGTCCGCGGACGTCGCGCCCGCGTACTTGGTCTGCGCCGCCCACGTCGTCCCCTCGGCCTCGTCGCTGCGGCTCAGGGGCGGGTTGTCGATCTTCCGCAGCTGGTCGCAGACGGAGCGCAGCAGCGAGATGACGGCGCTGCGCCGGTCCGAGAGCTTGGCCCACTCGTTGGCCTCCTCCGTGGCGAGGCGGTCGTGGACGTTCGTCGCCTTCTTCTTGTCCACGTAGGACGCCTCGAGCGCGTCGGACACCTCCTGCGTGTCGACGATCTGGCCCCGGTCCAGCAGGTCGTTGACGACCGTCTCGCGGCCCATGGTCGTGTGTGTTTAGCTGCCCATCATCGTTCAAAGCCGCGTTGCTGCCGTAACAAAAAACGTTGCCCGGCGCCGCCAGGTTGCAGTGGCCGAATTAGGCCGCGTCCACGGCGTCCCACAGTTGCGCGGAGTAACGCGGCCACCTCCGCGGCGGCGATCTAACAGTTGTACTCCGTGTCCTTGAGGCGCTGCTTGAAGAGCTCCGGGTCCTCGCGGTCCTCGACGTGGATCCAGTTGTTCTCGAACTCGGGCAGCGTCGTGAGGTACGCGCCGCCCTGCCAGGCCATGACGTCCCGCCCCGGCGACGCCGTCACGGCGACGTCGATGGTGTCCGGCGAGATGATGAAGAGGTCCTCCTCGAGGCGCTCCGGCGTGCCGTTGAGGCTCGAGCCGCCGCCGACGAGGAGGACGCCGCCCCAGAGCGTCACGCGCATGTCCTCCTCGGACTTGTAGATCGACTGCTTGATGAGGGCCGCGAGGCCCTTGGTCTTGGCCTGCTTGTCGACCTTCTTCGGGTTGAAGAGGGGCTCGCCGAGGAGCTTGCGGTCCTCGGGCGTTAAAGCGATCGTTTTGGGCTCGGCCGTCCACGCGGCCGTGACCTCGAAGGTCGCTTCCGTCACGGGGTCGCGGTCGCTCCAGGCGACGACGCCGCGCGTGCGCTTGAGCGCCTCGCCCGCGGCGTTCGCGGCGCGATTCGACGCGAAGGCGCAGCCCCTGGCCCGCAGGAAGTCCGCGGCGTAGGCGTTCAGCCGGTCGCCGGAGAGCTCGGCGTCGACGCAGAGCGCGTGGGGCGTCGCGAAGCCGTCGATGACGGGGAGGGCCCGCGCGGACTGCGCGCCGACGTCGAGGACGAGGCCGGTCGTGTAGCCCTGGCCGTAGAGCGCGAGCACGGGAGCGACGCCGACGTGGCACTCCTCGGCGCCGAGCTCGTCGATGACGATCTCCACCATGCGCTGGATCGTCGCCTTGGGCTGGAGCACGGGCACCGTGATGACGACGCGGCCCGCGCCTGAGTCGGAAACGACCGGTGGGCCGGGCCGGTCCGGCGAAACGTCGAACGCCTCTCTCTCGACGTCGTTTCGGCCGATTTTTGGACGCGTCGTTGCCTCTCGTCGGGTGCTCGACGAAGGCGAGACGCATCCGCGTCGAGACCGTCGCATGCGCTCGCGTTGAAGTACTACGTGTCCCGCCCCGGCGCGCGCCCTCGTCGCCGCACGTCGCGAAGAGCGCGTGCCTCCAGAGCTTCTCCGCCGCGTCCCAGTCGGCGTAGGCGTTGCGGTAGAGCGGCCGCACGTAGCAGTCCGGGTGGGCCGCCGCGCCGGCGGCGCCCGCGGCGTGCGCGTCGGGCGTCTTCGGGCCGCCGGCGAAGCCGACTACGGACGCGACGACCATGCGCGGCTCGCCCTCGCCCGTGAGGCCGATGCGCGTGAGGAAGGAGCCGGCGTCGATGACCACGGTAGCGTCCTCGCCGACGGCCTCGACGTCGTCGGGGACGGCCTTTTCGAGGTCCGCGGGCGCCGGCGCGAGGTCGTAGACCCGTTTTTTTCGTTTTTCGAAGAGCTTCTCGAGCTCCGCTTTCTTGAAGGTGCGCTTCGCGTAGGTCGAGTCGATGAGGATGCGCGGCGGCTCGCGCGCGGGCTCCCGCGGGCCGACGAGCGCCTTCGTCGTCCGCTTGACCGCGTGGCGCAGGCCCGTCCACCTGGCGAAGAGCTTGCGCGTCGACCGCAGGCCCGAGCTCTTCTTGGCGCCGTCGTCCTTCTTCTCGACGTTGGTCGCCATGGCGCCGGCGGGAGCGACGGCCGCCCTCCCGCCGAAACGCGGCGGCAGGTCGCGGCCAGAAAGGTGGCTGCCTTGCGGCGCAGTGGCTGCCCGCAATCGAATCGATCGTGAACGACGGCATCGTCTCGGCTCGGACGTCAAGGTCGGCCATGTCGGCCGATCAGCCGCGCGCGCCTCGCTGGAGTCGCGTCTGTGCTCGCCCCTCGTCGAGCCTCAGCCGCGCCGCTCTCTCGCTCGGACCCGTTTCGCGCAGCGCGGAGGTCACACAGAGCGCCGCCCTTTCAGAATTTAAACAACGACACCGCGCGCGCGTTCACCGGCGCGGTGTTCACCAAGAGCTCCTCTTTAAGAGAGCGCGCCGCGCCTCGCGCCCCGGCCCGGCGGCGGCGATGGCGTCGGTCCAGCCCAACCAGACGGTGTACATCAACAACCTCAACGAGAAGATCAAGAAGGACGCCCTGAAGAAGTCGATCTACTCCGTCTTCTCGCAGTTCGGCAAGATCCTCGACGTCGTCTGCTGCCGGGGCCTGAAGCTGCGGGGCCAGGCCTGGGTCGTCTTCGCCGACGTCGGCGCGGCGACGAACGCGTTGCGCCAGATGCAGGGCTTCCCCTTCTTCGACAAGCCCATGCGCATCGCGTTCGCGAAAGCGAAGAGCGACGTCGTCTCCAAGGCCGACGGTAGCTTCGTCGCGCGCGAGAAGCGGAAGCGCGAGGCGCCGCCGCCCAAGGCCCCGCCGGCGACGGAGGCCCTGGAGGCGCCCAAGCCCGCCAAGGCGGCCAAGGCCGACAAGAACGCGACGCCGTCGAACGTGTTGTTCGCGCAGGACCTGCCCGACGACTGCAACGACATGATGCTCTCGATCCTCTTCCAGCAGTACGGCGGCTTCAAGGAGGTCCGCATGGTGCCGGGCAAGAAGGGCATCGCCTTCGTCGAGTTCGCCGACGAGACCCAGGCGTCCCTCGCGCTCCAGGGCCTCGACAACTTCAAACTCACGCCGACGGACACGCTCGCGCTCTCCTTCGCCAAGCGCTGAGGGGGTCGCAACGCGTCGTAAGGGCCCATCGCACCCGCGCCCCGACGAGGCGCGTCGGCGACGGGCACAGTACCTTCCGAACCGACTTACCTCGCCGGCGCGGGGACGCGGACGAGGCCGGCGAAGGTCGCCCGGCGCGCCGCGCCGTCGAAAGTGATGTCCGTGCTCGCCCGGACGTAGGCGTAGTCGACCCAGTTCTCGACGTCGGGCACGCGGACCGAGGCCCGAGACGCCGCGTCGTCGAGGACGAGGTCCACGCCCGCGTCGATGTAGCCGCCCTCGCTGTGCGCCGGGTCGACGGTCCAGTTCCCCGCGCCCAGGGTCGTCCGGTTCACCTCGACGAGGCTCGCGCCGTCCAGACGCGCGGCGAAGGCGTAGGAGAAGCCCGTGGCGTTGACGTCCGCGAGGTCGAAAAACACCTCCCACCAGCTATCGGTCACGGCGCCGGGAACGATGGACCACGTCCTTGCTGGCCCCGTGAAGGTGACGGTCGCGCGCAGGCTGGCGTCGACGGCGAGGTCGGCCGAACTCACAGGCAGCGTCCAGTTGCCGTCGCAGGGTTTGTTCTTGCACGTTGGAGACGTCAGATGGACGACGGCTGCGTGCGCGAGGAGCTCGACGCGGAGCACAGACGTCGGATCGAAGGTCGCCACACCATCATCGCCAGCGGCGGCAGCGGCGAATATGACGAGCAACCATCGAGCAGCCTCCATAATAAGATCGAGAAAGGGGCGGCCAAAGTTGAAGCGAGTGAAGTGCACGTAATCCAACCTTAACCTCGGCGGGCAGCTCGACGTCTACCGTTGTCCACAGCACGGTCGTCGCCGCCGGTCGCCGAGGCTCCCGCGGCCGCCGCCGTCCCCTGCCGGCCGCGGCGGCCACCGCCGGCCCGAGAAAGGCAGCGTCGCGCGCGCGTGGGGGCGGCCTCATCGCGCCCGCGGCGGCCCTCGGTGCACGATTGTGTCGTCAACGGCGCCCGGGGGCGGGCGGCAGCGGAGCATGATGGACATGCGGAAGCCCGTGCGCGGGACCATCGCGTCGGCCATCAGCGAGGCGCGCGCGTCGCTCAAGGACCCGAGCCGGCCCTTCACGCCGGCCGCGATGACGCGAAACCGCGCCTTATTTTTCGAGGACCCGTCGGGCGCGCGGGGCGACTCGCTGGGGTCGTCGCTCCGGCGGAGCGTCGTCACGCAGCAGGCGACGAAGCGCGAGCAACGCCAAAGCGAGCGGCGGGAGGCGCCGCCGCCCGCGCGCGCGCCGCCGGGGCCCGAGGACGACGGCGGCGACGACGACGACGACGCGGACCCCCGGGCCGAGCGCCTGCGGCGGGCGGCGGCGGCGCTGGACCGGCTGAGCGCGGCGGAGCCCGACGACGTCAGCGACCGGCTGAGCGTCCTCGATTCCTGGTTCGAGAGCCAGACGTTCAACGACGCGCCGTCGGCGGCGCGGACGGCCGTCGTCGAGGCGCTCGTGCGCGGCCTCGACCACGACGACCTGCGGAGCCGCCTGATCATCGCGCGGGAGACGCTGCGCCTCCTCGACGGCACGGTCCTGGCGGGCGACGGGCCGCGCGAGGCCGCGACGTTCCGAGCGGCGTTCCAGGCCTCGAGGACGCCCGCGAACGACCCCCTCTTCTTCGACGTGAAGCTCGTCGCCGTGCTCCTCGCCGCGCTGGCCCGGGCGGCCCAGAAGCTCGCGCCGGCGGCGAGGAAGGAGGACCGCGCGCGGCAGCGCGCCGCGCCCGCGGCCCTCGAGCCGCTGATCTACGCCGCGGGGACGATCAAGAACCTGACGAACCACGACGGCCACCTGCGGCCCCTGGGCCAGCTCGGCATCATCTGCACGCTCTGCGACCTGCTGCGGGCCGCCGTCGCGCACCACCGCCACGAGGAGAAGCGCACCGTGGACGACGCGTCCGAAAAGCGGCGCTTCGACACGCGGAAGAAGCAGGTCGCGCAGCTCCTCGTCCAGGTCTCCGGCGCGCTGCGGAACATGTGCGCGGAGAAGAGCCAGCTGCGCCAGCTCGGCGCCGCGCGCGCGGCGACGGCGCTCGCGGCGTGCCTCCGGCCCTTTGGGACGCGGTACTGGGAGCTGACGCTGAACGTCGCGCGCGCGCTCGCGAAGCTCAGCCTCCACGAGCCGACGCGCACGGCGCTCCACGGCGACCCGAAGCGGCTCGGCGACGTGCTCGCGACCCTCGAGGCCGCCCACGAGGGCGCCCTGGCGCTGGGGGGAACCGCGGAGCCGTCGGACGCGCTCGCGCCGATGCCGGCCGTCGTGCTCCGGCTGGCCTTCGCTTTGGGCAACCTGACGGCGTCGAACGACGCGAACCGGGTCGTGCTGGGCATCGACCACGGCGGCGCGCTGCCCCTCGTGGCGATGCTCGAGAAGTCGGGCGCCGCGTTCCTCGCCGGCGGCGGCGGCGACGACGCGGAGCAGGTGCTCATCAAGCTCATCCGGCTCGTGGCGAACATGAGCATCAACCCGGACGTCGGCGTCCTCGTCGCGAACGCGCCGGGCGTGCGGTCGCTGACGCGGCTGCTCCGCGTCGCGCTCGACCGGTCGCGCGAGGAGCTCGTGCTCAACATCGTCTCCGCGATCACGAACCTGTCCTACTACGTCACGCACCGGCCGCCGCGGGCCTACGGCTTCAAGGAGGACGAGTCCCTCTTCGCGGACCACGGCGCCACGTGCGGCGGCCTCCTCGACGCGCTGCTCCACGACAACAGCGAGGCCGTGTCGGAGACCGCGCGCGCGTTCGGCAACTTCTCGCGGGACGCCGCGGCGCGAAGAATCATGCGCGACGTCGGCGCCGACGAGGCGCTCGTGCTGCTCCTCGTGCACACGTCGCGCGACGTCGCGTTCGCCGCCGCGGGCGCGCTCGTGAACGTCGCGGCGGATCCCGCGACGAAGGGCATCCTCCTCCGGGACGACCTCGGCGGGACGCGCGAGCTCGTGGAGATCGTGCGCCGCGCGGGGCTCCAGGACCTGGCTCTAGCCGCCGTCGCCTGCAAGGCCCTCCACAACCTGCTGCTGGAGGCGGAGGTCGGCGGCGCGGCGGCGCTGCTGGGCGCGCGGGTCCATGGCCGCCTCCGCGACACGCTCGCGGAGCTCGTCGACGCCGCCGAGGACGCGGCGACCATCGCCGCGGAGACGCCGGGCGCGGAGCCGGACGCGGGCTGCACGGACTTCCTCGCCGCGGCGCGCGCGCTCCAGCTCATCCTCGACGAGGCCTGAGCGGCGGGGTCGCGTGCCCCGTGCCTAAGCTCTGTCCAGACCGCGGGCGTGGGGGTGGAGGAGGGGGGCGCAGGACCCGAGCGACGTAGACCTCGGCAATGCTCGACCCCCGTACTCCCGGCGGGGCCGATGGTGCAGGCTCTACGTCAAGATACTTTCGCGGCATGCAGCCTGAAGAATATTCAACGTTTGAATGTAAATGGTCGTGCCTTTCTAGTTGATGAAGTACGAATCTCCAGTACTTGCACCCACGGCTGGGATAACGAGCAGCCACAGCTAGGATGGGCTGCGTTCCATCGCGGTGCGCCGCGTCGCCGCCGCCGCTCTAGGCCCGGTCCGCCGCCTCGTCGATCCCGCGGTCCGCGGGGGCGCGGCGCCGACGCCGGTCGCGGTCGCGGCGCCCGCGGCGGCCAGCCGGCGCGGTCCGGTCCGCCGCGCGGCGCGGGTCCCGGGTTTTCTGGCGCCGGCGCCCGCGCGCGCCGCGTCGCCGCGGCGGTCCGCGACCGAACCGCTCCGCGGCCCGGCGCGCCCGTGAGCCATGGGCGGCGGCCAGGGCAAGGCCGCCGAGGGCGGCGGCGGCGCGTTGGACGCGTGCGACCACACGCCCATCTTCGCGTGCTACGACGGCCTCCCCGAGGAGGAGGCGATCAAGGCCAAGGAGCAGGTCGCCGCGTCCTTCGTGCGCGTCGTCGTCCCCGACGGCAAGTCCATCTTCGAGTCGAAGGTAGGCCGGCGCGACATGCTGATCGTCGAGAAGGGCGAGCTCCGCATGGTCTCGTGCCACGGCGAGAAGCACAAGAAGGACCGGCCGCTGATCAAGATGGTCGCCCAGGGCGAGATGATGGGCATGATGGAGCTCGTGCGCAACGTCGAGGCCGAGCGCGACGCGTCCACGGGCGAGTACCCGACGGACGTCTGCGCGGTGGGCAAGGCCGCGCTCCTCGTGCTCTCGCAGGAGGTCTACCTGAAGAACCTGCTGACGAACACGGGCGACAAGGCGGCGAAGCTGTTCTGCGATAATCTCGAAGCGCTCACGCGCGCGTCCGTCGTCGACTGGCTGCGGAAAGTGAAAGTCCTGTCCGGTTTGGACGACGAGTGCATGAACAAGTTCGCGAACGTCGCGCACTTCAAGTCCGAGTTCGAGGACAAGCTCGTCGTCGCCCAGGACGCCAAGCTCAGCAAGCTGCACGTCGTGCTGTCGGGCGCGCTGCGGGTCCACTGCCACGACTCGCGCGGCGACGAGATCACCGTCGGCCATTTGCAATCGGGCGACTTCTTCGGCGAGTCGAGCCTGCTGAACAAGGACGACAAGGACCACGGCTTCCTGCCCCTGGGGTCCACGGCGTCCGTGACGACGGAGAGCGAGTGCCTCTTCATCTACTTCGACGCGGACAAGATGCGCGAGGTCATCGAGACGATGCCTTCGGTGACGAGGCAGATCGACGAGTACATCAAGGAGCGGATCACGGCCCAGCTCCTCGCCATGAACCTGACTTTGTTCGACGCCATGCGGCCCGCGGCCATCGCGCTCTTCACCTCCGTCTTCGAGATCCACACGTACGGCCCAGGCGACGTCATCGTCAAGGAGGGCCAGGCGGGCGACTTCTTCTACGTGCTCGTCAACGGGGCCGTGAAGATCGACTCGGAGACGGGCATCCACGTCGAGCTGAACACCAAGGGCGACTACTTCGGGGAGATGAGCCTCCTGCGGTCGGACCCGTGCGCGGCGACGATCGCGGCGTCCGCGGACGCGACGCTCGTCTGCATCCCCGGCGAGAACTTCAAGCAGCTCTGCCTCGAGTCGCCCGAGATGGCCGCCGAGTTCGAGATCAAGGCGCTGGGCACCAAGGCCGGCGTCGGCGCGCTGCTCGCGCACCCGCGGACGCGGCCGCTGCTCACGAAGACGCTCGACGACGAGTTCTCCTCGGAGAACTACCACTGCTGGGACCTCGCCGAGCAGTACAAGGCCGCCTTCGACACGGCGCCGGGGGCCGACGCGCTGAACGTCCTCGCCGACGCCATCTACAAGCGCTTCATCGTCACCGACACCGAGGAGCTCATCAACATGTCCGCGAAGGCCACCAAGGGCCTCAAGAAGCACTTCGACGAGCCCCCGCCGGGGGGCCCGCCCCGCGACCTCTGGGACGGCCTCCAGAAGTGCATCTCGAACAACCTGCGGGGCAACCTCCAGCGCTTCTGCGTGACGCCCGACTACAAGAAGATCCTCGAGGACTTCCACGTCTACGCGAAGGCGAAGAAGAAGTAGGGCCATCCCCCCCGGCGCTAACCACCGGCAGCGCCGTAGTGATTCAGCAGGTGTGTTATGTACTTTCAGGAGCCGCGTCGCCCTAGTAGACGCGGGCGACGGGGGGCACGACGGGGCACTCGTCGGCGTCGAGGGTCTCGTAGTGGATGGGCCGGTAGGTCACCGTCGTCTTGTTCGTCGCCTCGTCGAAGTAGCACATCGTGTGCTTCATCCACTCGTCGTCGAGGCGGTCGGGCGTGTCCTCCCGCGCGTGCGCGCCGCGGCTCTCCTTGCGCGCCTCGGCGGCGAACATGGTCGTCGCCGCGTTGGGGAGCAGGTTGCGGAGCTCGATGGTCTCGATGAGGTCCGTGTTCCAGATGAGGCTCCGGTCCGTGACGCCGATGTCCGCGAAGGCCTCGACGTTCTTCTGGATCTTCTCGCAGCCCTCGGCGAGGCTCTCGGCCGTGCGGTAGACGGCGGCGTGGTCCTGCATGGTCTTCTGCATGTCCTTGCGCACGTCGGCCGTGGGCCGCGGGCCGCTGGAGAAGCGGATCGCGTCGACGTCCGCGATGGTCTTCTCCGCGGCGTCCGCGGGCAGCGGCGGCACGGGCGCGCCGGGCTCGGCGATGTCGGCGATGCGCAGCGCGCAGGCGCGGCCGAAGACGACGATGTCGAGGAGACTGTTGGCGCCGAGGCGGTTGGCCCCGTGCACGGACGCGCAGGCCGCCTCGCCGGCCGCGAAGAGGCCGGGCACGACCTCGTCGTGGTCGATGACGGAGCCGTCGGGGCCCGTGACCTGGCGGATGACCTCGCCGAGGTGGTTCGTCGGGATGCCGCCCATGTTGTAGTGGACCGTCGGGAGCACGGGGATGGGCTCTTTGGTCACGTCGACGCCCGCGAAGATCGCGGCCGTCTCCGAGATGCCCGGGAGCCGCTCGGCCAACAACTCCGCGGGTAAATGATCAAGATGGAGGTAGCAGTGGTCCGCGTCCTTGCCGACGCCGCGGCCCTCGCGGATCTCCATCGTCATCGCGCGCGAGACGACGTCGCGGCTCGCGAGGTCCTTCGCGGACGGCGCGTAGCGCTCCATGAAGCGCTCGCCCTCGGAATTCCGGAGGATGCCGCCCTCGCCGCGGCAGCCCTCCGTGATGAGGCAGCCGGCGCCGTAGATGCCCGTCGGGTGGAACTGGACGAACTCCGGGTCCTCCGCGGCCAAGCCCGCCCGCAGCGCCATCGCGTTGCCGTCGCCCGTGCACGTGTGCGCCGACGTGCAGGAGAAGTAGGCGCGGCCGTAGCCGCCCGTGGCGAGCACCGTGTTCGACGCGTTGATGCGGTGGAGCGTGCCGTCCTCCATGTTGATGGCGACGATGCCGACGCACGACCCCTCGTCGTCCATGATCAGGTCCAGGGCGAAGTACTCGAGGAAGTAGGTCGTGTCGAAGGCCAGGGACCGGCCGTACAAGGTGTGGAGCATGGCGTGGCCCGTGCGGTCCGCGGCCGCGCAGCACCGGTACGCCTGGCCGCCCTTGCCGTAGTCGAGCGACTGGCCGCCGAACGCGCGCTGGTAGATCTTGCCGTCGTCCGTGCGCGAGAACGGGAGGCCGAAGGACTCGAGCTCGAGCACGGCCTGGGGCGCCTCGCGGCACATGTAGTGGATCGCGTCCTGGTCGCCGAGCCAGTCGCTGCCCTTGACGGTGTCGTACATGTGCCACTTCCAGTCGTCCTCGCTCATGTTCCCGAGCGCCGCGTTGATGCCGCCCTGGGCGGCGACCGTGTGGGACCGCGTGGGGAAGAGCTTCGTGACGCAGGCCGTCTTGAAGCCCGCCTCGGCGGCGCCCATGGCCGCGCGCAGGCCCGCGCCGCCGGCGCCGACGACGCAGACGTCGTAGCTGTGGTCCACGACCGTGTAGTCGCCCTTGAGCCCGGACACCGTGGACAGGGCGCGCGCATTGCGCGACCGCGAGACGCGCTGGACGGCGCGCGCAGCCTGCATTTTGGTCGATCACGGAAGGCCAAACCACCTGGCGCAATTCTTGCGGCGATGCATCTTTAAAGCTTTCGCCGATCGTGCGGCGAGCGCAAACCTCAGCTTTGAGGCTGCCCGGCCGCAGGCTGGGAACGGGCAGCCTGGGATGGTGGTCTTCGCGGGCAAGGTCGGCGCGCCGTCGCTGCACATCCGATGCGGCATCGACGAGCTCGCCGCGTCCTTCGTCGAGTCCGGCGCCGTCGGCTACGGCGGCCTCGAGGTCGACGACCTGGGGGGCAAGCTCGACGCCGCGGCCCTGCGCCGCGAGCCCGTGGCGCTCGCGCGGCGCTGCGAGGACCTGCTGGCGGAGCACGAGGAGCACGTCGCCGTGCTGTACAGCTACCGGTCCGTGAGCAAGGCCATCCCCTACTACGCGGGCGAGGAGGAGGCGCGCGTGCGGGGCCTCATCGTCGCGACGCTCGGCGACGCGCTCGCCCCGGTCCTCGACGCGATGCGCTTCGCGGACCGCGCCGTCGAGTTCTGCGTCGAGGCCGCGGACCGCGCCCTCGACGGCGGCTGCGGCGCCCTGGACGTCGAGACCTTCGCGGCGGCCGCGGACGCCGTCTTCACGTTGGACCTCCTGAAAGACATGAAGGCCTTCTTCCCCGCGACGCTGACCCAGGACATCAAGCGGCTCCAGCAGGCCATGCCCGACGGCTGGCCGGCGACGGGCGAGGCCAACGCGGGCCCGCTGAGCGCGTCGGACTTCGAGGAGCTGACGGAGGCCTTGGTCGTGCACCACGACGAGGACTCGACGATCCGGTCCTACCAGGGCCGGCTTGCGCGGCGGCTGCGGGAGGACCTGGCCTTCGCCGCGCCCCGCGCCGACGCCCTGGTCGCCGCCGCGATCGACGCGACGCTGGCGACGCTGCGGCGCGGCGGCGGCGCGCGCGCCGAGGGCGCCGCGGCGCTCTCGCGGCGGCTGCCGTTCCTCCTCTTCCTCCTCGACGGGCCCTGGGACGGCCGCGACGTCGACGCCTACGCCGACGCCCGCGTGGACCAGGCGGCGCTCCTCGCCGCGCTCCGGCGGCGGCCCGTCTGCCCTTTGGCGGGCGACATGTCCGTCGCCGCGCACACCGTTCTGGGTCTCACCCCGAACTACGGCAAGCACAAGCAGCGCCTCGATCTGCGCGACGAGGGCGTCTGCCGCAACGCCGCCCTCGAGCCGACGTGGCGCGCCGCGCGCGACGTCGTCGGCCTCGCCGTCGCGAACCTCCAAAGCGCCGGCGCGGACGACGACGACGGGCCGGAGGCGCCGCGCGCCGCGTTCGCCGCGGCCCGGGCCTGCCTCGAGCTCCTGCGCGACCTGCGCCGCGCCGTCGCCGACGAGTACTACTGGAAGCTCACGCACCCGTCCATCTCCGGCCTCGAGGACGGGTCCGCGCACGACAAGCGGACGGTGCCCTTCGCGGCCGCGCTCCTCCACAACTACAGCGGCCGCGAGAAGTCGGTCCTCGTCGACGCCATCTGCCTCGCCAAGTCGCTCGCCCAGACGCTCGCCGACGCGGCGCCCGGGCTCGCGACCAAGTGCGAGGCCCACGTGCGGAGCGTCTGCGGGCATCTAGGAGCGGACGAGCTCTTCCCGGGGCGGCCGACGCGGACGAAGCTCCGGGGCTGGCGCGTGGCCAAGGCCGAGGAGCTCCTCGTCGCGAGCGACGAGGAGGAGGAGGAGGAGCCGACGAGCCCGGCGTCGAGCGCGAGCACGCGGAGCTTCTTCGCCCGGAGCACGCGGTGGACGTCGTCGCCGTCGGCCGCGCCGTCCGTCTTCTTCGGGGCCTCGAAGGCGCCGCCGCCCGCGGCGCCGGCGGCCGACGAGTACGACGAGGTCCACGAGGTCCTCGAGTGGGCCGGCGCCGTGCTCGCGCTCGCCAAGACCGCGCGTTCGAGCGCGGATTTTGGGTTCCTGTGGTACCGGGAGCTCTACCTCGAGCTCTCGCAGCAGATCCAGTTCCCCATCGAGCTCTCCCTGCCCTGGATCCTCGCGGAGCACGCGGCCAGGGGCGGGCCGGGCTCCGACGCCGTGCCGGCGGACCGGCTCCTCGCCGCGCTGCCCTACGCGTTGGACGTCTACGACGACGCGGCGGCGACCGCGCTCCGCGACCTCGGGAAGCGCCACCTCTACGGCGAGATCGAGGCGGAGATGAATTTAGCGTTCGACCAGCTCGTCTTTCTCGTCGGCGACGCCTGCTACGCGCGGGTCAAGGACCGCGCGGCGCTCGCGCTGCTCGATTCGGAGTACGCGCGCCGGCTCCCTCGAAAACGTCTCGCGGAGCTCGAGGCGGCGGCGAGGCCCTGCCAGCTGCTCGACGCGCGGAGGCAGCTGCGCTGCCTCGGCCGCTGCGTCGACGTCGCGCGCCTCGTCGCCGTCCGCGTCGACGACAAGTTGGCCGACGACGTCGAGTTCGCGATCAAGACGCTGGAGCAGCTCGGGTGCTGCGCGGCGCCCGAGGCGTTGCGCGCGACGACGGTCCTCCACGCGGCGCGGCGCGCCTGGGGCGCGCCCCTCGACGCCTTCGACGAGGTGCTCGCGGCCGCCGACGGCCGGGCGCCGCGCGACGGCGGCGGCGGCGCCGCGCCGGGCGGCCGCGTCCTGGCGGCCCTGGCCCGGTCGCTCGCCGAAGACGTGTTCCCCAAGTGGTGCTACGCCCTCGCGACGGCGCGCTTCACGCGGGCGCCCCTGGAGACCGTCGACGACCGCGAGCGGGGCGCGCCGCGGCCCGCGCCCTCGAAGGCGACGCTCCGCTACGGCGCCGCGGCCCTGCTGGCGCCCGCCGCGCGCGACGCGGTCAACGACGCCTGGAAGCTCGAGCGCGCCTTCCTCGGGCGGGGCCACTGGGCCGCGGCGCGGCAGCTACTCGCGCCCGGCGGCGGCGGGCCGCTCGTCGCGCGGCTGCTCGTCGCCTACGGCGCGGCCGCGGCTGACGGCGCCCTCGACGCGCTGCTCGCGCTCCTCCACGACCGCGGAAACGACGCGACGCGGGCCGCCTTCCAGCGCTGCCGCGAGCTCGGCAACGCCGTCGCGTTCGCCCGCGACGCGGAAGCCGCGGGTCTGTTCGGCGCGGCGCGCGGCGGCGCGGTCCTCCCGGCGCTCCTCGACGCCGTGGCGGCGGCGGCCGAGGCCCGGCCGAAGCCGCCCCGCGCCGGCGGCGGCGCCTGGCCCTCCGCGAACGGCGAGCCCCTCGGCGCGCCGCACGACGGCGCCGCGCGCGGCGTCGCGGCCGCGCTCGCCGCGTTCGGCGCCGCGGGCACGCCCTGCGCGGCGGCCCGGGACCCGGACGACGAGACGCTCCTCGACGACGCCGCGATCTACGGCGACGGCGTCTTCGTGGCCCTCGCGGCGCTCGCGCGGGCGCTCCGCGTCGACGGCGCGGTCACCGCCGTCGCCGCGCTCCCCGCGCGCGACCGGTCCGCGCCGCCGGCGGACCGCGACGCCGCCGCGGGGCGCCTCGCGAAGCTCGCCGCGGCCCTCGCGTGGCTGCCCGCGCGGTAGTCTAGGAAGCGCTTACCTCGCGCGTTCGAAGAGCGCGACGAGCGCCCTGACGTCGGCGATCGTGCTCAGTTTCCGCACGGCGAGCGTGAGCACGATGCGCTGGTCGACGAGCCCCGAGAGCTTGCGCGCGAGGAGGTCCGCGAGGCCGTCGTCGCCGCGCGAGCCCATCTTCGTGCTCGTCGCCGCGCCGGCCGCCGTCACGACGGCGCCGACGCCGCCGTTCTGCGTGAAGAAGACCGTCGAGTAGTCGCCGAACTTGCAGCAGAGGCAGTGCGTCTCGACGCCGTTGATGTCGCCGACGGCCGCGCCGCGCTGGAGCGTCGGCGCGGCGAGCTCGACGCGGCAGTCGCGGGCGACCAGGGAAGGCATGGGTTCGAGGGCGCGGGTCGTCGCCAACGCTGCGACGCGCACAGCTGTTCTTCGAGGTACTGCGGCCGCGCACGCGTCGCAGCGGTGGTCGCGGGCGCGCACTTGAGCGAGGAGCCCTCGGAGACTCGGAGCGGGCTGGAGAGCTCGGCCGCCGGCGACTCGGAGAGCGCCGGCGACGGCGCCACACGGCGTCCGCGCGCAGCGGCACTTGCCGCGGCCGCCGCGACGACGTCGTCCCGGGCGCGAACGCGCGAACGAGGCAAGAATATATGCAGGTTTCGTCGCGAGGTCGATGCGGCGGGTCCCCGTCCTAGGTCTCGTCGTCGTCGTCGTCGTCGTCGTCGTCGTCGTCGTCGCCGCCCTCGCCGTCGTCCCAGCTCTGCTCGACGACCTCGCGGACGCGGCGGTTGTACTCGCGCCTGTTCTCGCTGAAGAGCTTCGAGGCCTCGGAGTTGGCCGGCGACGCCGGATTGGGGTCGCTGAGGAGCGACTGGATCGACGTGAGGATCGCCGAGATGTCGTAGATGGGGCTCCACTGGTTCTGGAGGATGTCGAGGCAGATCTGGCCGTCGTTGTAGATGTTCGGGTGGAAGATGCGCGTCGTGAACCGCACGGCCGGCGCCTGGGGCGCGCGGCGTGGACGCGCGACGTATCGAGACGGTCCCCTCGATCGGCCGCGCGCGACGCGCGCTCGCGCCCTCCGCCGCCCAGAGAACCCCCACCCCCCGACGCGTCGACGCACCTTGTTGGGATAGTCCTCCGTGAACGTGAGCTCGAGCTTGAAGGTGCCGCCCTCCCAGGACGTGTCGTCCGGTCCGAAGATGATCGCCTGCGCGCGCGCGGGTCTCGAAACGCCGCCCGGCGGCGTCCGGCGCGCGCGCGCGGGCGGCGGCGGCGACGGGCGACGCACCTGCCAGCTGAGGATGTTGTTGTCGTTCGGCGCCGCCGTCACGCCCGACGGCGAGTCGCTCTGCAGGCGCTTGAAGTCGCGCACGAGGCGCCGCCGCGCCGCCGACGACATCGGGCCCGCGGAACCGGTGGGGCGCGCGCGGGGCGATACCCGGTGTCAAAGAGCGAGCGAGGCCTGCGGACCGCCGGTGTAGTTACGGCCTTCGCGGAGAGCTACAGCGTCCTCTGCGACGGCCCGAGGTCTGCACTGCAGCGGAGTTGCCACAAACGATGCGCGATTCGATCGGCCTCGTGCACTGTGACAGCCTGGACAGCCACGGCAGGACTCGATGAGGCCGCTCTGCGCGTGGATATGCGTCGTCGCGGCGCCCGCGACGGCCTTCCTGAGGCCGCAGGGTCCGCCGCAGCGCCGGTCCCTCCGCGCGTCGCCCGGCGACGACTGGGAGCCGCGCGAGGACTGGGCGCTCCTCGACAACGTCGACGCCTTCACGCGGCGCGGCGCGGCGGGCCCCTACCTCTTCTACGACGAGCTCCGGTCGACGTCGGCGGCGCTGAGCGGCCGCAGCGCCGGCGACGTGCGGCGGCGGCTCGCGGCGCTCGACCGGGACTGCCCGCCGGACCCGCGGACGCTCGAGGACTGGCGCGCGGAGGGCGAGAGCGCGTACGTCGGCGCGCTCGACGGCGACGCGACGACGCTCGTCGTGACGCGCACGTCGGTGCTCGACGGCGGCGGCCTGCTGGAGCGCCGGTACGTCGAGACGCTCGGCGGGGAGCTCGTGCGGCTCGGCGCGCCCGCGGCCGGCGCGGCGGCGCCGGCGGCCGTCGCGGACGCGGCCGAGTTCCCCGCGACGGTCCTCGCCGCCGTCAGGAGCCGCCCCCTCGCGTCGACGCTCGCCGGCGGCGCCATCCTCGCGAACGCCCTCTTCTTCGCGGCGGCGTTCTCGCACGCGGGCGACGCGCGGCCTCTCGCCGGCGACTCGTTCTACGTCGAGTCGTCGACGACGGTGACCCAGAAGCTCAAGGGCGACGACGGCCAGGCCGTGACGCGCGTCCAGCGCCAGCGGTCCACGCGGTCCAACAGCAACCCCCAGGAGCGCGTCGAGACGCAGACCGTCGTGAAGCGGACGGCGAAGGACGACGCGGGCAACTTGGTCGTGACGACGACGCGGGACCGGAGCGTCAACTCGGCGAGCCGCGCGGCGCGGCCCGCGTCGTCCGCGGAGATGGCCAAGCTGCTGAAGCAGGGCTTGCTCGCGCCGGCCGCGCCCGAGGCCGTCGCCGTGCTCCCCGCGCTCCCGCTCTCCGTCCCCGAGCTCCCCAGCGCGGACGCGTCGGCGCGATAACACCGGCGGGATATGTTGGCTCCTAGGAGCTCGCTCCTAGTCCGCGGCGTCCGACTCGCCACACCGGCGGGATATGCTAGCTCCGAGTCCGCGGCGTCCGACTCGTCACACGTGCACCGGCGGGATATGTTAGCTCCTAGTCCGCGGCGTCCGACTCGTCGACCCACTCCACCGTCGGCTCGTCGTCGTCGACGGGCGCGATGACGTCGGCCGCGTCGAAGGCCGGCGCGGGGCTCGGCGCCGCGAGCGCGGCCCACTTGCCGCGGCAGTTCTTCGGGTTCTCGTCGCTGCCCTGCCAGCTCTGGTAGATGATGTCCCGGAGGTCGCTCGGCCCCTTGCCCGGGTTCGCCTTGCGGAGCTTGCCCATCTCCGCCTTCTTGTAGTCCGCGTAGAGCTTCTGCGCCTCCTTGAGCGATACCTTCCGCCCGGGCGGCGTCGGCGGCGACGGCGGCTCGTCGGGCTCCGCGGGCGGCGGCGGCGGCGCCTCGAGCTCGAGCGCCCGGCGCTTCGCCTCCTCGACGGCGGCGCGCCGCTTCTTCTCCGCCGCGATGCGCCCCTCGGCCTTCTTGTAGACGATCGTGTCCCGCAGGAGGTTCATCGTCGCCTGTACGTGGTCCTTGACCTCGACGCCCTGGTCCTCGGCGAGCTTGTGCACGCAGACCTCGATGCTGTCCGTCTGCGCCTCGCGCGCCCAGCCCCGCGCCTCCATGACGTAGTTGACCTCCATCTCGAGCTCGTCGTAGATGTCCTGGGCGATCTTGCTCCCGAAGCCCTCGCGCTTCGTCTCGGGCTGCCGGCCCGGCGCCTTGGCCATGACGCGCGCGGCGATCTTCCGCACCTCGTAGTCCTCATCCTCCTCCTCGTCGCAGCGGACGTTCACCATCGTGTTCGATCGCGAACCTCGTGGGCTGCCGCTGCGGGCCGCTGTGGGTAAAAAAACCGATGTTGGCGAGGGAGGCCGAGGCAATGGCGTGTTGCAGCAGGCTTCCTGCCATGTCCTGAGCCGCCGCACTTTCATGTCCCCGGCGATCCTCGTCTGCCGCGGCGTCGACTGCGCGGGCCTCGGCAGCGCCGCGACGCTCGTGGAGATCGAGGAGCTCTGCGCCGAGGTGCGGTCGTCGTGCGCCGGCGCCGACGTCCTCTCCGTCGGCACGACGGCGTGCACGCAGCAGTGCACGTCCTCGCCGAACGTGCACCGCGGCGGCGACCTGCACGGCCGGGTCGACGGCCCCGCGGAGTGCGCCGCCGTCGTCAACGCGGCCGCGGCGCGGCTGCGCCTCGGAGCGACGCCGGCGATCGCGCGCGACGGCATCATGCAGAAGCGCGCGGCGGGCATGCGGTTCCGCGCGCTCAAGCTCCTGTCCCGGCCGGACCGCGCGTCGACGCGCGAGGGCGCGGCGCTGCTCGCCGCCGCGCTCGACGCGGAGCAGCGCGCGGCGGGCGCGGACCCGGCGAAGGTCGAGCGCGCGCGCCGACGACGGGCGCGCCTCCTCGCGCCCGAGGCCTTTTCGAGTTTACACCGATAGCGTTAGCCGCCGTACGCGAGCATGTCCGCGGGCGCGACGGCGATGTCGCGGATCTGCGCGACGAGGCGCTTCGCGCCGCTCGGGTCCGCGAGGAGCCGGCGGCCGAGGAGGACGCCGTCGTAGCCCGCGGCCGCGAGCGCGCGCGCCGACGGCGCGTCCGTCGCCGCGGCCGCGGCGAGCGCGACGACGTTCGGCGGGATGAGGCCCTTGAGCCCCAGGGCCTGGTTGTCGTGGTTGACGCCCGTCGTGCGGTCCACGTTCGTGCAGACGAGGAGCGTCGCGCCCGCGTGCAGCGCGAACTGGCACTCGTTCGGCGTGTGGACCTCGACGGCGCACTCGACGCCGCAGACGGTCGCGATGTCGAGGAGGTCCACGAGGCGCCCGCCGAGCACCGTCGTCGACAGCAGCACGGCGTCGGCGCCGAGCTCCGCGGCCAGCGCGATCTGGATCGGGTCGACCACAAAGTCCTTGAAGAGGATCGGCGGCCGCGCGTCGCCGAGGCCCGCCACGGCGCGCCGCGCGGCGGCGACGTCCTCGAGCGCGCCGCCGTAGGCCGGGCCGTCGGCGCAGACCGACAGCGCGTCCACGGGCCAATTCGCCAGCTCCTCGCAGACCTTGCCCGCGTCCGAGAACGACGCGAGCGTCGCGCCGCCGCCGTCGCGGCCGCCGTGCGGCGACCGGCGCTTGACGTCGGCGACGACGGAGAGCTGGCGCGACCCGTCGTCGAGCGTGCGCCGCAGCGCGGCGCTGAAGCGCGTGTTGCCCTTCGTGGCGCCGAAGGCGAGCCGCGACCGCACGTCGCTGTCCTGCCCGGAGGCGTGCTTCGCGTTGAGGCCCTCGACCTCGGCGAGCTTCGCGCGCACGACCTCCTCCAGATAGAAGCGTTTCGTGCGCGAACTGCGCCGGGGTGCGGGCGGCACGAGCGCCGCGGCGGCCGCGAGCAGGAGCACGAACTTTGCCATGCCTCGCCGCTTTCCGCCCCCGAAGGCCTACTTGAACTTCAAGTTTCTGTACATGTCAAGCGAGAACGTGGCCATGCCTCGCCGCTTTCCCCATTCAAGAACTGTTCAACTTGAACTTCAAGCTGTGATTAAAAAGCTTATGTTACTCCTCCTCCTCGGCGAGCTCGGGCAGCGCCGCGGGCGCCGCGCCCGGCGCGTCGGGCCGCGGGAAGAGCCGGGACGCCGTCGCCTTGAGCGCCGCGACGCGGTGCACGTGCCTGTTGAGCGGGTTCGCCGTGCCCAGGAACTCCGACGTCTCCGAGCGGAGCGCGGGCCGCGCGAGGCCCGGCGCCGCGGGCTCGTCGGACTTGGCGCCCCGGAGGTACGCCGTCGATCCCAGCTCCACGGAGCCGCGCGCGAGCTTCGCGCGCGGCGCGGCGCGCGGCGGCGGCTCCGCCGCGGGCGCGGCGCGCGGCGCCCGCCGGAGCCGCTCGACGACGTAGGGCTTCGCGCGCCGCGCGCGGGCCCAGACGATCGCGACGATCTTTTTTTCCCGCGTGAGGTCCGCCGCGACGACGGCGATGCCGTAGCAGAACGCGAGCGCGACGAGCGAGTTGAGGATCGCGTCGACGGCGGCGTTCGACGCGTCGTCGCGCAGCACGCACGCGAGCGCGATGAGGTAGATGGCCAGCAGCAGCCAGGACAGGTTCTCCGCGAGGAGGTTGTCCGTCTCGTCGTCGAAGGGCCGGTAGCCGCCGTAGACCTTGAGCGACGCGCACGTCAACAGGACGAGGAAGACGAGGAGCATGCCGCCCTCGGGGATCACGGCCGACGCGACGGTGTAGCCCATGCGCCGGATCGTCTCCACGGACTCGAAGTACCAGAACTCGGGCTCGTAGGGGATCCAGATCATGCGCGTCGGCCCGATGACGGGGTCGTTCTCGCGGATCGCGTCCGCGCGGTCTAAAATCTCCCGCGGGCTCACGAGCAGGTGGAGCGCCGCGCGCTCGAGGTCGACGCCCTTGCGGAACCCGAAGGGGTCGATGCGGCCCCGGTGCGTCCAGCACAGCGCGTAGAGCAGCGCCGGCGCGCCCACGGGCCAGACGAAGACCATGAGGATCGCGTAGGCCTCGTAGGCCCGGTACGCGCGGCCCCCGCAGCGGATCGCCAGGTCGTCGGCGAGGTAGTAGACGCCGTCGTCGAAGGTGCGGCAGCTCCAGTAGCGCACGACGAGCGCGCAGACGCCCGGGAAGATGCAGTAGACGACGACGACGGCGAACGCCGTCGAGCTGTACCGGCGCCGGTGCGCCGGCGGAGCGAGGAACCGGAGCCCGAGGTCGAAGGCGACGACGGCGACGATGGGGCCCAGCGTCGTCGCGACGTACTCCGTGTAGAACGAGACCCGGCCCGGCGTGAGGTCGACGACGCACGTGAGCGCGCCGAGGAAGCTCGGCTTGTTCAGGACGTTCGCGACGGTCACGAGCGTGCCGAAGATGGGCGGCCAGGAGAAGGCGTTGACGGCCGTCGTGCCCAAGATCTGCATCGTCACGAAGAGCGACTTCCACTTGAGCCGGAGCTTCGTCGTGAGCCGCATGACGCGGACGCGCTGCTGCTGCTCCTCCGTCGACGCGCCGTTCGCCTGCGCGGAACTCGAATCTTCGACGCGACTTCAACGTGCGCGTATTCGAACGGTTCGACACGAGCGCTTCGGCCCCGCTTCGAGGACTCGACGAGAGCGATCGATCCGTTCAAAACTCGGCCGCATCGACGTCGATGTGGCCGAGCTCGAGCACGTCACAGTTTGGTCGGGACGTCGCGACCCGGCGGTCGATTTCCGCGCGGCCGTTCGCCGGCAGGGGCCGCCGGAAGACGCGGTAGAGCTCCTCGAGGCGCGCGGCGGACACGCGGTCCGGGCTGTCGGGCCGCCGCGGCCCCAGCGGCGTCGCGAGGACCGCCAGCAGATTCCGGAGCGCGCGCGGCGCGCGCGCGGTCCGACGTTCCGCCGCCGGCGCGTCGTCCGCGCGCGGTGCCGCGTCGGGCGCCGGAGCGCCGTCGGCGAGCCCCCGCCGCTGGCTCACGTGGACGCCCCCCCGCCGCTGGAGCATCGTGTGGCCCGGCAGCTCCGTCACGGACAGGCTCAGGAGGAGCAGGACGACGGCGACGGTGCCCACAAAGTAGAGCGCGATGGACGCGATGGCCTCGTAGGCGCCGCAGTTGCGGCACTTGCCGGCCATGGTCTTCCAGCGGTAGCCGCCGCAGGCCGAGCAGAGCCGCCCCTCGTACTTGGAGCCGCACAAATCCCCGGCGCCGCCGCCGTCCGGGATCGCGCCGCCGGCGCAGGCCTCGCGGACGTCGCAGCGGAAGACGTCGAGGCTCCCCCGGTGCGGCCGCCAGCGGCCCCGGTCCAGGTTGAGCGTCGCCACCTCGGCGCCCTCGTCGCACGTCGCGTGCGCCGGGCAGGGTTCGCAGACGCCGACGTCCGTGACGCCCCGCGGGCACGCCTCGCCCGCCGCGCACGCGACGCAGCCGACGCCGGGCTCGTAGGACGTGCCCGATTGGCAGGGGACGTAGTAGTAGCCCGCGACGCACATGTCGCAGTCGACGCCGGACCGCGAGAGGTAGGGCCACTCGCACGGCTCGCACCGGCCGAGACCCGGGTCCGCGTACGTGAAGCCCGCGCAGGCCACGTCCTGGACGAAGACCATGTGCCAGTCCAGCGGGCCCTGGTAGACGTCGAAGTAGAGGGCGATGGACCGCACGAACGCGCCCCCGACGACGTAGAGCCGGTCGTCCTCGTAGTCGCGGCCCGCGAACCACCGCGCCGCGTCCGCGACGACCGCGCTGGCGCTGTCGACGGCGCGCACGCGGTACTTGGTCCCGTTGCCGTGCTCGGTCCCGTTCGCCCAGGCCACGACGGGCGCGCTCTCCGACGTGCCGACGAGGTAGCCGTCCGGGTCGACGCGCCCGCCCGCGCCGGAGACGATGAAGACGACGTGGTGCGGCGCGAAGACGTCGCGCCAGGACTTCAGGAGCACGGAGAAGGAGTCCATGGACACGTCCGACCCCGCCACGCCGACCGCGGTGCCGTTCTCGTCGAAGATCTGCGTCGCGGCGACGACGAGCCCCGCGTCCGGGCAGCCGACGCACTCGTCCCACACGGGCAGCGACCAGGCGCCGGTTTCCTCGGCCGCCGGGTAGAGCGTGGACTCGCGGCAGTCCCAGGACTCCGGGTACCCGTCGCCGTGGAGCAGGCCCGTCGGCGCGCCGAGGTCGTCCGTCTCGTAGTAGCACGAGCAGAACGCGGTGACGTTCGCCGCCGCGCAGGCGGCCGCGCAGGCCGCGTGGAAGTCCGAGGCCTCGGCTTCGGCGTTCGCGCTGCCGTAGACCGTGCGGTTGCCGAGCGTGTTCGTGTACTCCCAGTACTCGCCCGTGACGAGGCAGACGTAGTAGTAGTCCGTCCCGATGCTCTCGATCTGGGCCCAGATGAGGCCGCGGCCGATCTCGTTGCACTGGGACATGCGCGCGCCCGCCGCCGCCGGGAGCATGCCCTCGGCGATGAGCGCCTTGTAGGCGCTGGCCTGGCCGTCCGAGCCGCAGAAGCGGTCGAGTTGGTAGCTCAGCGACAGCCGCGAGTAGTAGGCGATCGTCGACAGCGTGAGCCAGACCTCCTTGATCATGAGGCCCTCGAGCGACTTCTTGACGAGCTCCCAGTTCGGGTCGATGGCGTCCGCGGGGCCGTCCGACGGCGACCCGCCGCCGAGGCGCCGGCCGCCTCCGGCGTCCGCCATGAAGCGCGCCGCCTGCCGCTCGTAGCGCGCGACGTCGACGGCGCGCGGCGCCGCCGCCCCGGCGGCCGCGAGGACCGCCCACGCGACGCGGCGCATCGGCCTAGCCGCGTGAATGCACCAGGGTCGATGTTCCCATCGGCCAGCCCAGGTTGTATATGTTTTGCCAGTGCAGTGCTGCATCTTGAACCACCAAAAAGAACTTGAAACACCAGGCGCCGGCTAAGGAAGGTAAGAGCGTGTCACGGCGCGCGGCTCTCAGTCGTCGTCGCCCGGGTTGAGGCGGACGACGACGGTGATGGTCCCCCGGGGCTTGGACCTCTTCTTGTCCGGCTCCGCGGAGCCGTCCTCCGGCGGCGGCTCGAGGGACGCGAGGAAGTCGCCGTTGAAGTCGAGCTTCGCGGCCTCGACGAGCTTGATCTGCTCCCGGTCGCTGTTGCCCGGGATGTCGGCGCCGAACTGGGGCTCGAGCAGGGAGTGGAGGGGCACGGTCGTCGCCGCGACGACGTCGAAGCGCTCCGCGGGCGCGTCGCCGGGCTCCGGCGCGTCGCCGTCGGCCTCCCTCGCCTTCACCGCCGCCGCGTGGTCCGCGATGGCCTCCGCCGTCGGCGGCGTCGCCTTGAGCACGGACACGAGCAGGCCCCGGAACTTGAGGCCGTCGCGGAGCTCCACCGTCGCCGGCACGCGGAGCCTCGCGACGACGGGCGGCGGCGGCAGCACGCCGTCCTCGACCTTCCTCGCCGCGTTCACGGGCGACGGCCGCCAGAAGAGGCGCGCCGTGCGCGCCTTCGTCTCCGGCGGCGCGCCGACGACGAGGAGGTCGACGTAGCAGCCCTCCTTCGCCGGGTCGGGCCGCGGCGCCGCGGCGGGCTCGCCCTCGTCGTCCTTCTTCTTGTCCTTCTTGATGGACTTGCGCTTCTCGTCCTTCTTGCCCGTGCCCGGCCGCGAGTTCGGCGCCGAGTCCGCGCCCTCGGGCGCCGGGAGGCCCGAGAGCGACTTGAGCGCGACCTCGATGGTGACGAAGCCGTCGAGGTCCTCCTTGAAGCCGCCCTCGGGCAGCACGTACTCCTCGCGCTCCGCCGCCGTGACCTCGGCGTCGTCGATGGTCTCCAGCGCCGGGAGCTGCGTGACGAGGCGGACGCGGTAGTTCGGGAGCAGGCTGCAGGGGTTCCCCGCGAGGAAGACCTGCTTGAGCTTCCGGCACTTGCGCAGGCACGCGACGACGTCGTCGAGGGACAGGAGGTGGTTGAAGGCCAGGTCCAGGGACGCCAGGTTCGGGCAGCGGCGGCCCAGATCCGCGGGCAGCGCGGACAGCTCGTTGAAGCCGAAGCCCAGGAACCGCGCCTCGGGCAGGCTCGGCAGCGTGCCGAGCGACGCGAAGCGGTTGCTGTAGGCCTGGAGGATCTGGAGCGCGTCGGCCCGGGCCCCGGGCTGGAAGCGGTCCATCTCGTTCGCCGACACGTCGAGGCGCTCGAGGTGCACGAGCGACGCGAGGTCGCCGCCGACGGACGTGTAGTGCTTCGCGCGCGCCTCGTGGACGACAGCCTGGCAGAGCTCGCGCCACTCGGCCTGCGACTCGTCGTCCTCCAGCTCCCCGCGGAAGGGGAAGCAGTGCTCGTGGCCGCCGCCCGCGGGCTGCGGCGGCGACATGGCGGTCCGGGCGCGGGCGCCGCTGGCCGCAGCGACGCGAAGCGGCGCTGCTGCCGCACGACGACGAAGCGGCGGGCCGACGAGCGACGACGACGACGCGAGGGCTGCCCGGCGGCCTAGGCAGTAACCATCGGCAGCGCGCTGTGGTTTCCGCCGGCGGCACGGTGAACGTAAAACGGGCTGGTTGCAACAGCCACTCCTCAGCCTCGTCCGCTCGTGCGCCGCCTCGACGTTCCGCGCCGCTCCGCGCCGGCGCAATTATGGCTCAGCATAACGACGAGATCCACGAGTTCCAACAGTACCACCTCTTCGGGAACAGCGAGGACCACGAATACTGGCCGGTCGTAACAACGGTTGAGTGCATCAACGGCCAATGGCGCGTGCGCTACGAGGACGGCTCCCACGGGGTCGTCGATGCGAGCCGCCTCTGGCCCGCGCCCCACAAGGAGCGCAAGGCGGGCGAGCCGGTCCAGGTCCTCTACGAGAACACGTACTACGACGCGCGCGCGACGGGCGACGTTGAGGACGACCTCGTCGAGGTCGAGATCGACCTCGAGGCCTACTACAGCCCGCCCGACGGCGCCGTCCAGCTCATCCCCGCGCACCACGTCTTCGACCCCTGCGCCGTCATCGATGACCCCGACCTCTACAAGAGCTTCCGCGTCATCAGGGGGCAGGAGAAGAAGGCGCACCCGAACTACCTCGCCTCCCGATCGTACGAGCTCAACGAGCGCCAGAACGCGTGGCAGCTCAAATCCTGCGTCGGCGACGACGCCTACGACGGAAGCAAGCGGCAGAAGCAGGTCGCGGCCGGGCACGGGCGCCGCCCTGGGCTCGAGCGGGACGGCCCCGCAGTCTTCTACAAGTGGCTCGCGAAGCAGGCGCCGCCGCGCTGCCGGGAGTGCGGTCGCGAAGGCGCGCGGACCGGCTACTGCATGTGCGCCGGCGAGGGCGTGGGCCGCGGGTTACTCGGGAACCTCGCGGCGTCGGCCCTGAGAAACTTGTTCCCCGACGGGATCCTGCCCGGCGAGGCGGGGTACCCCGAGGTGGCGAACTGCGAGCTCCTCACCGGCGCGTCGTCCGTGGAGTTCTTGATGAAGGTGCTGCGCGCGATGACGGGCCTGGGCTCGTCGGAGCTCGACGAGATGCTCTCGAGGACCGTCCCGATGCGGATTCGCAAGACCATGGTCGACGCCCGCGAGACCCAGTTCGACCACATCATCGCCCTGTCGCTCCGCTACCCGGGCGCCCAGCTCTGCGGCGACGCGGCCAAGCTCGCGGCGCCCTGGCGCCTCGACGAGGACCCGGCGTGGGTCGCCGGCGCGCCGAACGGCGCGACGCGCCGCGTCTCGCGCATGGAGGGCCTCCAGCTCCTCCTGCGCAAGGCGAACCTCGACAAGGGCGCGACCATCTCGCGCGAGATCGTGGACGACCTGCTCGACTACGACACCTGCTTCTACGCGCCGTCGGAGCTCGCGAAGCCCGACGTTCTCGACCGCACGTACCGCGCGGAGTCGGACATCCTCAAGCGCGTCACGGCCTGGGGCAAGAAGCGCCACCAGCGCCTCGGCGGCTGGTACGGCATCGGCGACCCGAACGCGCCGCGGCCGAGCGCGTAACCGCATCGCGTAACTTGCTGCAAGCGAGGGGAATCATTCGTACTTGCCCAGTCAGGATGTCGAATGTGTTCATGGCCTTGCGGATACGCTAAAGAAGTAAATGTGGCAGGTTGAACCTCAAAAAATGACGATGGCGCGACCATGACTGCGCGCCTGCTCGTGCTGTCCGCGCTCTGCGCCGTCGCCGACGGCGAGGCCATCCGCCAGGACTGCGGCACGGTCGCCGTGTCCACGGACGCCGTGGCGCTGATCCTGCGCGGCGAGGCGTTCCGCGGGCTGCCCGGCGTCGAGGCGCAGATCGCCGACCCCGTCGTGCGCACGCACGTCGACGGCCGGCTCCTGCGCCAGGCGCTGGGCTGCACGGGGGCGTCGCTCGCCCTGCAGCTCGCCGTCGCGAAGACGCACGTGAAAAACGTCGTCGAGCCGCTCGAGAAACGGGGCGTCCGCGTCGACGTGTTCCTCGTGGGCTCCGGCTGCCGCGGCGCGCCGGGCGTGGCCAACGGCACGGCCCGGACCTACTGGGACGCGCTCGCCGACGCCTACGGCGCGCGGCGCGTGAAGTACGCGCGCGACGCCTCGGGCCCCTTCGGGCCGCGCGAGACCGCGCGGGAAGGCGCGGAAGCCGCGCTCGCCGAGGCGCGGCGCGCGGGCCGCGGCTACCGGTCCGCCGTCGCCCTGCGCCTCGACGCGGCCGTCCTCGCGCCCGTCGCCGCGCCGGAGGACCCCAGCGCCGACGCCGCGCCCGTCGACTTTCTGTCGTTCGACGTCGAGGAGGCCGCGCGCGCGGGCGGCGACGCGGCGCTCGCGGTGCCCTGGCGCCACGCCTGCGCGCTCCGCGACGTCGCCGCGCTGCTGGAGACGCACCACCCGCGGACCTGCTGGCGCCGCGGCGGCCCCTGCGAGGCCGCGCTCGAGCGCGCGGGCGTCCCCGTGCGCCGGTCCTTCGCCTGCGACCCGGAAGGGCCGTCGGCCGGCGCGTTCTCGGAGCGCGGGTCGCCGCTGCTCGCCGCCTGGCTCCGGGGGGCGCCGAAGCGACGGGCGCCGCGCGCCTGCCCGGCGCCCGCGCGCGTCGCCGCGGCCAACGAGACCGCGACCTGCGCCGCGCTCAAGGACTACCACGGCGCGGTCGAGTGCGCGTCGCGGACCGCGCTCCGCGAGGTCTGCGCGCGGTTCCGCGCGACGGCGGCCCTGACCGTCGCCCTCGCGGACCGCGGCGTCCGGTCCGCGCTCCGCTGCCAACCCGACGCGATCGCGCGCGGCCACCTCCGGTCGTTCGCCGCGCGGCAAAAGGTCGACCTGAGCGTCGGCGCGCAGCAGGCGCGGGAGACGGCGCTCATCCGGTGCGACCCGAACGGCGCGGCGCGCATCCTCGTGCTCCAGGAGGCGCGCGACCTGGACCGGGATCTCTGGGCCATGTACCGCCCCGTCCGCGAGACGCTCACGAGGGGCCTCGAGGCGCGCGCGGCCGCGTGCGGCTACACGGTCCGGGCCCTGTCGGGCTACCGCGCGGCGAAGAAGGAGCTGCGGCGCGGCGACACGGCCATCTTCATCGGCGTGCTCTGGCCGGGCGAGGAAAAGGAGGCGCAACTTCAGCTCCTCTCTCGGCCGTGTTCCACTCGCTTCGGCCGACTTTTGGACGAGCGATTATCCCTCGGAGCGCCCTCGTAGCGTGGATGCTTTTTCTGGAACGCGCGCGCGGAACGTGAATCGACCCGTTCCCGCCCAGGTGCTCTGGCAGCCCTTCGCCGCGGACTGCGAGCGCCGCGACTACGCGTGCGTCCACTACGTCACGGAGCCCAAGGGCCGCGACGCGCACGACAAGTCGAAGCGGCCGCCGCCGGGCATCCGCGAGCTGTGGACCTACACGCGCGCGCACGACTGGGCGAGGTACGCGCCGCCGGGCTACGCGCCGGTGGACGACAAGGTGGCACCGCGTCGTTCGTGTTTCCGGTCCTCCGCGATCGTCGACCCCGCGCAGGTCGACGACCGCGTGCGCGCGTCCAGGGGCGTCGCCGTCGCGAGCTTCCTCTGGCTCGGCACGGCCTGGGGCAAGCCGCGGCGCGCGTGCTGGGACGCGCTCGCGACGAAGAACCCGAAGACGCGCGGCAAGGCGGAGAGCCGCCGCGACGTCTGGTCGCCGACGGCCTGGAAGCAGGTGGCGAAGCGCGTCGACGACACGGCGTTCCTCAACATGCACAAGGCCGCCGGCGACGCGGACGCGCCGCTCGAGGCCGTGCGCCTCTCCGCGCTGCTGTCCCTGGGCGCCGTCGTCGTCTCCGAGCCGGCGCTCGCGGCGGACCGCGCCGAGTTCGCCGGCATGCTCCTCGAGGAGGCCGACTTCTGCGACGGCCGCGGCTGGACGGAGGCCACGAAGGAGCGGCTCTTCGACGGCGGCGCCGCGGCGCTCGCGCGGTGGCGGCGGGAGGCGTACGCGGCCTACAAGGCCAAGTTCGACCCCGAGGCCATCCTGCGGCGCGCGGGGGTCTGGAGCCTCTAAGACCTCGTTCTGGAGCCGCCCCGTCGCTCCAGAAGTTTACCGGCGCGCGCGCCGTTCCGCCTAACGGCGCTTGTTGAGCGTGTCCTGGTTCGACTTGCCCCAGGAGTCCTTGGAGTCCTCGGCCATCTGCTTCTGGGCGTCGTCGCCGGACTGGAGCGCGAGCGGCACGAGGCCCGCCGTCGCGATCGCGAGCACCGCGCCGGCGGGGAGGATCCAGCCGGGCGCGGCGACGGCGCCGTACCTAGGAGCGTTCGCGTCGCGGGGGCGGGCGCGTTGCATGCATGGGACGCGGTGTCATCGCTGGTAGTCGTCGGCCGCGAGCGCCGCCGCGACGGGGAATGCGGCGGAGGTGATTGCTCCGGCGACGGCAGGTTTGAGCTTGAGGTCGAACTTCTTGGGCGCCGGTGCGAGGGCGCTAGCCGAGGCGAGGAGCAGGGACGTGATGGCGAGCTTCATGGTGCTTGCGGGTGGTGCTCTTGGTCCTGACGCAGCGGTGTGCTTGCGGGTGGTGCTCTTGGTCCTGACGCAGCAGTCGGTGCTGCTCTCGATGATCTCGTGGTGTTGAGTGGAGCGCGGCTCCACAAGGGTGCGCCGGGGGTTTTGCCTCCGTCTGTGGCCGGGCTCCCACCGCCCCACAGGTGTCGACTACGGGTCCACGCAGCTTCGTCTTCCGGACGTTCCGGTCCTTGGCACATCCGAGGACTGAGCGACGCCTGCAGGGCGTCGGGGAGGGGCGTCGGCAAGGCGCACCCCGGCCAAAATCCGCGGTGTAGAGCCCACCTCGAGCTCGAGCTCGCTCGCCGGCTCGAAGTCGACGACCGCCTCGCCTGCCCGCCCAAAAGCGACGAGCGCGAGGTCGCCAGGTACCTCCAGAAGCAGGTCGCCGACGACATCCAGACGAGCGCGTACAACTTCGTCCGCCCGTCCATCGTCCGCGCTCGCACACCATGGGCTACCAGGACGACGACGGCCACTACAACCGGGGCTCGAACCGGGACTACGGCGGCCACCGCGACTACGACCGACGGGGCGGCGGCGGCGGCGGCTACCGCAACGACCGGCGCCGCCGCTCCGGGGGAGGCGGCGGGGGCTACCGCAACGACCACCGCAACGACCGCGGCGGCGGCTACCGCAACACGAAGCGGCGGCGCACGGACTACGGCGGCGGCGGCGGCGGGCCGAAGCTGAACGCCGCGCCGGCCGTCGACATGGGCGCGGCGTCGTCAAAGCTCGTGCAGCTCCTCGTCCGCGTCGCCGACGCGCGCGCGCGGAAGACGACGGACGCCGAGATCCCCCTCGCGGACAACTTGGACGCCCTCGCCGGGGCCATCGCCGACAAGGAGCTCGACGACGGCCGCCGCGTCGCGGGCCAGCTCGTGCTCGTCGCGCGCGCGTCGCCCCTCGGCGCCCGCGCCTTCGGCGCGCTCGCGGCCCTGCTCGCGGCGAAGCGCGAGGGCTGGGCGACGATGGTCGCGGACGCCGCGGGCGAGGCCTTCATGGCGGCGCTGACGTGCGACCCGCCGCGGCGCGTCGACGCGAAGCTGTGCCTGCTGCTCCTCGTCGATTTAGCGGCGCGGGGCGTCGTGGAGACCGACGGCGACCGCGGCCTCGAGTCCCTGCTGCGGCGCCTCGCGGACGCCTTCGACGAGCCGCCGGCGTCGTCCGCGGCGCGCGACCGCGCGGACCTCTGCGCGGGCCTCGTCGCGGCCGCCGCGGCCGCGGGCGCGCCGGGCGGCTTCGTCCCCGCGCTCGAGCGCCACGTCGCGGCGCGGCGCGCGGCGTCCGCGCGGCTCCGGGCCCTGGACGCGCCGGCGACGTCGGCGCCCGTCGACTCGCTCGAGGCGCTGGTCTTCGGGCTCCGGGACTGCGCCGCGTGCCGCTTCGACGCCGTCGACGTCGCCGCGTTCGACGCGCCGAGCCCTCTCCCGGAGGTCGCGTGCGCGTTCACGGTGCCCGCCTGGGCGTCCTGCGCGTCCGGCGTGCTGCCGACGTTGCCCGTGGCCGAGGACGCCATGGACGACGACGGCGGGCTCTCGGCGCTGGAGAAGGCCGTGCTCGCGGAGACGGCCGTCGACGTCGTCGCGTGCTTCCGCCCCGGCGCGCGCTGGGACGGCATCGTCCTCGGCTCCAAGGCGGCGACGGCCCACCAGCTCGACGCCGTCGACGAGCTCCTGAGTGACGACGTCAAGGGCGCCCTGGGGCCCCAGGTCGCCGCCGTCGTCGCGGACGCTTTACTCGCCGTCGTCGCGGCGGGCGCGCCGGTCGACGCGGGCTTCGCGTCGACGGACGCGCCCGCGAAGCGGGGCCGCGCGGACCCGGGCCTCGACGCGCTCCACGCCGTGCTCGAGCTCTGCGCCCTGTCGCCGACGGGCTTCGCGCCCAAGTTCGCCAACGCCGTCGAGCTCTTCTTCCGGGAGCTCGACGACGTCGCGGCGCCGGCCGCGCGCCGCGTCGCGGAGTTCTTCGCCCACTTCCTGTCCAACACGAAGTTCGCCTGGCCCTACTGGGCCTACTGGGCCGCCGTCGCCGACGAGGACGGGTGCGACGCCCAGCGGCGTTTTGTGGCGTGTCTCCTCGAGCACTGCGTGCGCCTCACGTACGTCGACCGCGTGAAATGCGCCGACGGCTTCCCCGAGGCGCTCCACGCGCTGCTCCCGGCGCTCCCCGAGGCGCGGGCGTTGGGGGAAGAAGAAACCGCGGCGCAACTCGCGCGCGACGCCGACGAGGCGGCGCTCGCGCGCGTCGTCGACCCGCCGGAGGACGCCGCGGGCGAGGCCCGCGAGCCGCGGCCCGCGGACGCGGCCTTAGCGGCGGCCTTCGACGCCCTGGGCGACGACGCGGCCAAGGCCGCGGCGGTCATGCGGGGCGTCTTCGCGCGCGGCGCGGCGAGCTTCACGCACGCGCTCGCGCCGCTCGACGACGCGGAACTGTCGGCGGCGCTGCGGAACCTGGTCCGCGACGACGACGACTGCGAGGCCGCGGCGCTCGACGCCCTCGCGGACGTCTGGGCCGCGTCGGCGCAGCACGTGGCCCTGCTCGCCGACGCCCTCGTGCGCCGCGGCGTCGTCCGCTGCCGCGCCGTCGCCGCGTGGGTCCTCGACCCGCGCAACGAGTCGCCCTGGGCGGGGTCGAACGTCGGCGCGTCCTTCAAGCCCCACGAGCTCCTCCAGGTCGCCGTGGACCGGAGCCTGGACCTCCTGAGCGCCGCCGTCGCGTCGGCGGCGGCGCGCGGGGCCGACGCGGCGACGGACGGCGTCGTACGAGCGCAGCTCGACGAGGCGCGCGAGGTCGCGCTCGAGATCTGCTCGCGCCTCGCGCGCGGCCTCTGCGACCGCGACGGCGACGACTCGGCCGACGCCGTTGCCTACCGCGACGCGGCCCTCGGGACGCTATACGACCTCAGGGCCACCTACGAAAACGCGGCCGCGGGCGCGCTCCCGGGCATCGCGCGGTCCGCGCCCGCGGCCGAGCTCCCCGACGTGCTCCAGGCGTCGGACCTCCGGGGCAAGCTCGACGTCCCCGCCCCCGCCGTCGCCGCCGCCGTCGACCGCGCGCTGGGGCTCAACTAAGGGGCCTCGGATCGCTTAGGTTCTACTTACTCATCGTCGAGGACATCGACTTCCGCCCGGCCAAGTTCCGCGAGCTTGGTTTTGGCAAACTCGTCGCCTTTGACGGCCGCGCGCATGAACCAGTGCTTGGCTTCCTGGACGTCGGCCTCGACGCCATCTCCAAGCTCGTAACACCAGCCGAGTTCTCTCTCACCAGGTGTCCAGCCCTGCTCCGCGGACAGCTTGATGTAGCGGAACCCTTCCTCGAAGTTCTTCAGATTACAAAGCAGCACGCCAAGGCGCTTTTGCGAAACCGCGTCGCCCATATCCGCGGACATGCGATAGAAGTGCATCGCTTTCTTCAAATTCAGCTTAACACCACGCCCTTTCTCAAACGAAAACGCCAGATTGTACATTGCCTCCGCGTTTCCAAGCTGCGCGGCCTTTTCCCACAGCTTGACCGCGCGCTTCGCGGACAGGACGAGGCGGAACGATTTTGCACACTTTCTGTCAACATATGCTTCGCCCAGTTCGTTCATGGCTTCCGGAACTCCGTTTTCAATGTGGCGCTTCAGGTGCGACACATATTCCGAGTTCGCCACGACCGGCGATCGACAAAGAGCACACGGCCCATCACCAATCTTGGCCTCACATGATTCGCAGATCTGCCGGCAGCAACAGGCTCTAGTGATGGTTGTGGCATTCACGTCCCAGTCCTCGAGGCAGATGGGGCAGCGCGAGCCGTACCGCGCGGACAGCGGCGCCTTCTCCGGCTGCGCCTCCCGCAGCGCGCGCGCGGCCTCGTGCGCCGCGGCGATGCGCGCGCGCGCCTCGTCCGCGCGCGATCGCGGCGCGGGCCCGTAGGACACCAGCTCCTCCTCCGGCATCGCGTCGGCCAACGCCGCGTCGCGCCGCGCGTCGTCGTGCTGCGCCGCCGCCTCGGCGCGCGCGCGGATCTTGGCGCAGACGCTCTTGTGGCCGCGCGCCTTCCAGTCGACGCGCTGGCACGCGACCGAGCAATACTTCGTCGTAGCGCACGGGCATGCCAGGAGCTTCCCGGTCACGCCGCAGATCGTACAGCCCTTGCCGAGCACGTCCTTGATCTCGCGCGCGAGCGTCGACATGGTACTGGTGGTCGAGCAGGGAGCGGTCCGAAGCGAGCAGTGGTTGAGACGGGCGTGGGTCCGCGGCTCGCAGAGGCGCAGCACGAAGTTCGGGCTCTCTTGCAGGCTTGAGGACCCAAAAGTTTAGGGTTGCAAATACATGCACATTCCGTATACCGGAAACACTGACTTGTTGAAGGACGCGACGGGCTCCGCACTTCTCCGCACTTGGCTCCGCCATAGGCCACTGGTGATACCACGCTTACGCCGCCGCGCGGGCCTCGGCGAGGCGCTGCGCGCGCGCCTCCTTCTTCGCGCGGCGCGCGTCGGACATGTTCTTCGAGCGGCGCTTCCGGGCCTTGCGCGGCGGCGCGGCGGCGTCCCCGGGCGCCGGCTCCGAGGCGTCCGCGTCGTCGCGGCGGCGCTTCGGCTTGCCGGGCCGCGCCTTGACGCCCTTGCGCTCGAGGCGGACGACGAGCTTCCGGCCCTCGAAGTCGGCGTCGGCCCACTTGTCCACGAAGGCCAGGCAGGCGTCCGCGTCCGGCAGCGTCACTACAGCGAAGCCGCGGCTCTTGCCCGACTCGACGTCGCGCTTGACTTCCACGTCCGTCTCCTCGTGCTCCGCGCCCTCGCCGCCGGGGAAGAAGAGGTCGCAGAGCGGCGCCTCGGTGGCGGCGAAGGGCAGGTTCCCGACGAAGACCGTGCGGATGTGCGCCTGCGCCTTGGAGGCGCGCGGCCGTTCCAACGCGCGCGGCCCGTCGTCGTCGTCGCTCTCCGGCTGCGGCGCGGGTGCGTGCTCGTCGTCGCTCTCCGGCTGCGGCGCGGGTGCGTGCTCGTCGTCGTCGCTGTCGCTCTCGTCGGCCGACTCCTCCTTGGCGGCTTCGGCCGGCGGCTGCTTCTGCGGCGCCGCCTCAGCGACGGAGCTGTCGTCGTCGGAGCTGTCGGAGCTATCGGAGCTGCTGCTGTCCTCCTTTGCGACCGCTTGTGCAGCAGCGAGCTTCTTCTGGCGTCTCTTCTCTTTCAATGTCGGGCCCATCGCTGGAAGTGTGCTTTTGCCGCTTGCCTCGTACAACTTGCCTTCAATCAGTCGCTTCAACTGAGGCCAGAAATTCCTACCAGGTCTTAGCCCCCGCCTAGAGCTCGCCGGACGGGTCGAACTTCAGCTCCACGAGCCGATTCAGCTCGAGGCCGATCTCCGCGACGCCCTTGGCCTCCGCGGTCTGGATCGCGACCGTGAGCCGCTCCGCCGTCGCTCCCATGTCCATGGCCCGGGTGCTCTCGAAGAGGTCGGTCCCCTCCACCGACACGCTCGTGATGGTGTCCTTGACCTGCAGGCCGGACTCGGCCAGCTTCGGCGTGACGCCCGAGACGAGGACGAGGTACGTCGCCTCGACGAGGCCGAGCCCCTCCGCCTCGGAGAGGGGCAGCGTCGCCGTCGTCTTGCCGATGGCGTAGGCGACCTCGCCCGCGGCCTCCGCCTCCGCCAGCGGCCGCGGCGGCGCGGCGCCGCTGGCCTTGGCGCTCTCGCTCATGAGGACGTCCACGGCGGCCATGAACGCGCCCTTGTCCACCAGCTCGTCGCTCGCCGCCACGCGACGCGGGCTCAGGCGCGAGAGCAGCGCCAAGGTCTGCAGCGAGCGCGTGGAACGCGGCGGCAGAAAAGACTCGACGCAGCCGACGAGCAGGCACAGCGCCACGGCGCGGCGCGCGACCATCCTCAAGCGCTTCTCAAATTCTCGACGGCAACCCGCCTTCAACGAGGAGTTCAACCGAGGAGCTTACCCGCCTAGAGCTCGCCCTTGGCCGCCGGGTGGTCCTTCGGGAGCGCGTCGCGCGCGTCGCGGTCGTCCATGAGGCGCACGAGGAGCGGGAGGTTCGCCGGCGACCGCGGCGACTCCTCCTCGAAGGCCTTGTTCGTCGTGACCTCGTAGACCCGCCACGGGTTCGCGAAGTCGACCTCGACGTCGACGCCGTCGCCGCAGGGCGCGCCGAGGGGCTTGACGCGCAGGGTCGGCGGCGCGACCTGCGCGTTCGCGACGACGCCGACGGACACGAGCTTCTCCTCGCCGGGCTTGATGCGCCGCACGGACGGGTCCTTGAAGCGCGCCGCGAGCGACGCCTTCTCCGTCGGGCCGCAGTCCATGGTCTCCTTGTCGTTGATGAGGTGCACCTCGACGTCGCCGCCGCCCTTGGTCCGCTTGCTCCGCGCGTTCCAGAACGCCGTGGACACGGTCTCGCGCGGCGGCGTCGGGTCGGGCCGCTTGTAGAGCTTCGCCGGGCAGGCCTCGGTGACGGACCGCGGCGCGCAGAGCAGGTCCGGCAGCGTCCGCGGGTCCGTGAGCTGCGAGTCCGACGCGTCGCCGTCGATCTCCTCGACCATGTCCGCGAGCTCCTCCGCGATCTGCGACCCGTGGTGTTTCACGATCGTCGCCTCGCAGACGCTCGACCCGGCGCAGCCGTCCTTGACGACGCTCAGCCACGTGGCCTGGTCGACGTCGATGCCCTTCTGGACGGCGGCGATCACGTACACGGTGAGGGAACCGGCCAGCTTCATGCCTACCAGACATCATGACTCTGTTTCGTGGCCACAGGAGTCGGACAATGTCACGGGACGCCGCTTCATGCAGGAATCGCAGAGCTCCTGGCGCTCGGAGGACGCCGGCGCCGTGGCCTTCTTCTCCTTTTTTTTGGTTGATGCGAGTGCGCTTGCGGATGCGAGCGCGACGGCGAGGAGCAGCAATCGATGGCCCATCATCTCCGATCGATGGCAGCCCTGGACGGCAACATCGACGTTGAGGCCATCTTTCCTGCGCTCCCAGGGCATGAGCTGGCCCTCACAGTCGTCGATGGCTCGGTCCCGCGCACGGGCGCAACCCGCCGGCACCCGCCCGCAGCGCGTCGCGACGCGCACGCTTGTCCTCTTCGCGCTCCTCGCACGCGCTGAAAGCCTCGCGCCGGCCGACGCCCTGTCGCGGCGCGCGCTGGGCACGACCGCCGCCGGCGCCCTCACCACGACGGCCGGCGTCGCCGCCGCGAAGCCCGCGCCGCCCGAGGTCGCGACGGACAAGCGCGGCAAGCCGCTATCGACGGACGACTTCCTGTCCGGGCGGCCCGACGGGCCGACGGAGCTCGTCGCGGGATTGGGCGGCGAGCCGACGATTTTGCTGGTCGAGGACGGCAAGCTCGCGGACTACGCGATCCAGGCCGAGTGCACGCACCTCGGCTGCCTCGTCGGGCCCTACAACCCGCTCTCGCAGCGCTTCGTCTGCCCCTGCCACGGCTCCGAGTACCTCCGGAACGGCGCGGTCGCGCGCGGCCCCGCGCCGAGCTCGCTCAAGCTCGCCAAGGTCGGCACGGACGACCAGGGGCGCATCACGCTCGAGCGATGGACGGCGCCGGACTTTCGCGACGGGTAAGGCGTTTATAGGAGTGCGGGCGTTCCCACTCGCGGCAAAAATTACCAGCGGCGTCCCGTCACGCCGCGCCCTCGCGCGGCGGCTGGCCCTCCCGCCGGCTCGCGCGGTAGTTCTCCAGCGCGCGAGCCGTGTCGTTGCGCGCGACCTCCTCCGCCTCCGGCGCCGGCTCGCTGAAGTGCTCGGACGCGAAGTGGATGACGCAGACCGCGGCCGCGGCCGCCCAGAGCAGCGGCGAGCTCAGCGTCAGCGACGAGAAGCCGAAGAGCGGCGCGTTCTGCGCCGCGGCCTCGCGGATCGCGTCCTGCACGGGGTCCGCCTTCTTCTTGTCGGGCTTCTTCGGCGCGGCGCAGAGGGTGCGGCGGCTTGTGGCGAAATTTTGTCGCAAAATGACAGCTCCGGCGCCGCGCAGCATGTTTATATGAATGCTGCGACTGTCTGTGATGTCGAGAGCGTGTGTAGACGCGCAGAAGTGGTCGAACGAGCTAGCTGCAAGGGCCTGTCCGGAGGACAGAGAGCCGGACGCTCGGACGTCTCGGACTTTGGCACCGGTGCTGGCGTCCGAGGCGGGCGACGAGGTGTTGGTGCCTCGAGTCCCGACGCCGTCGTCGGCGGGTTCGAGCCTGTAGGTGGGTCGCGCCGTGCTGTAGTGCTCCCGGGCGCCGGCGCACGTGTCGCGACCGCACCGGTAGCACAAAGAACGCGAAAAAGCGCCGCCAAAACAGCTGCGGGGCCGGCGAGCCCCAGCGGCGGCACAACTGCCCTTTCCAGCGCTAACAGACGGCAAACGCCGCGCGGCGCACCCGGCACCATGGCCTCCTACGCGTCGCACCCGCACGTGAAGATCCGCGCGGGCCGGCCCGTCGAGGGCTGCGCTCTGCGGCCGCAGGGCGTGCTCCGGTCGTCGGGCCCGCACGAGGACGGCGTCGAGCTCCGGTGGCGGTGGCTGCGGAGCCGCGACGTCGTCGCCAACTGCGCCTGCCCGTCCTGCGACTTCGCGCACGACTACGACCCCGTGAACCGGAACCGGCGGGGCGTCGCGCTCCAGTGCGCGATCTGCCTCAAGGAGCAGCGCGCGCCGGAGACGCTGACGTTCTGCTCCGCGGTGTGCTTCGTCGAGGCCTGGCCCGAGCACCGCCGCTGCCACAACCACGCGCGGTCCCGCGCCGGCACCATGGAGTCCGCCGCGTCCGGCGACAAGGGGTCCTTCGGGGACCTCGCGCGGAAGGACGACGAGCCGCACTGGCTGAGCGACGACGCGAGCCTCTGGGAGATCGTCGCGGAGAACGTCGCCGAGTTCGTGCCCTCGGAGTCGGAGGTGGGCCGGCGGCTGCGCATCGAGTGCTACGCCGTGCGGCCCACGGGCCGCGAGGAGCAGCTGCGCGCCCGCGGCGTCGCGCACACGGACGCGGTGCTCGGCGCGCCGATGGCGCCCTTGCCCCGGTCCTTCATCGGCGAGTCCACCGAGGGCGTGGACCCGTCGCTGCGCGTGGCGTCCTACAACATCCTCGCGGAGATCTACGCGACGGCGCACGCCTACCCCTACTGCGAGCGCTGGGCGCTCGAGTGGCAGTACCGCGCGCGCGTCGTCATCCAGGAGCTCATCGACACGAACGCGGACGTCATCTGCCTCCAGGAGGCCCAGCGGGACCACTTCGAAAGAGATGTCGAACCGGCCATGAAGTCCGCGGGCTACGAGGGCCTCTTCACGCAGAAGTCGCGCGAGGCCATGGGCGCCGCGGGCAAGGTCGACGGCTGCGCCATGTTCTGGAAGACGACCAAGTACCGCGTCGCGGAGCAGCGCAACGTCTCCTTCAACGATTTGGCCTACGCCGAGGCGCAGAACGCGAACCTGAGCGAGCGCGACGAGCACGCGTACCTGACGCGGCTCGTGAAGGACAACGTCGCGCAGCTCGTGGTGTTGGAGGACTACCCGGCGCCGGGCCACCGGTCGCGGCGCCTGGCCATGGCGAACACGCACCTCTACAGCCACAAGGACTTCCCCGACACGAAGCTCTGGCAGTCCCTGTGCCTGTTGCGGGCGCTCGAGTCGTTCGCGAACCGGTCGCGCGAGACGCTGCCCCTCGTGCTCGCGGGCGACCTCAACTCCGGGCCGGACAGCTCGGTCTACGAGCTCATCTCGACGCAGGCCATCAACCCGCGGCACCCGGACCTCGCGCCGCGCGTGGGCCAGTTCGGCGCCGTCAACGTGCTGCCGGACGCGCGGCAGATCTCGCACCGGCTCCCGCTCGGGTCCGCCTACGCGACGGTCGCGGGCGCCGAGCCCGAGTTCACGAACTACACCATGGGCTTCCGCGGCACGCTCGACTACATCTGGTTCGACCAGACCATGCTCCGCTGCGCCGCCGTCGCGACGATCCCGACCGTGGACGCGCTCACGCGCGCGGGCGACGCGCTCCCCAACCCCCAGTACCCCTCAGGGCAGGACAAGAGAGCGAAATTCCCAACTTCAAAGGCTCCTTTCTCGGCCGTTTTCCACTCGTTTCGGCTGATTTTTGGACGAGCGATCATCTCTCGGAACGGTCTCGAAGCGTGAATGCTTTTCCCGGAACGCGCGCGCGCGGAACACTCACGTTGAAGCGACGTTGAATCACCCTTGTCCTGCCCAGGTACCCCTCCGACCACACCATGCTCATCGCCGACTTCCTCTTCCTCTCCTGAGGGGACGCCGGCGCCCTCGGAAATCCGACCATCCCCCGCTCTCGCGCTCGATTCGCCCCACACAAAAAAACGACCTGGCGAGGAGTAACGCTCCGCTGTGCGTCGGCGACGTCGGGGCGTCGCCTTCCAGACAACGCACGCCGGCGCCGAGCTCGGTAGTACGACTGCCACGTTAGCACTTACGCTAGCCCCCCTCCCTCGCGAGCGCCTTGGCCGCGAGGAACTCGCGGAACGTGAGCGTGGGCCCGAGGCCCGCGGCGACGCGGCGGTCGTAGAGGGCGCGGAGCTCGGGGCTCTCGTCCGCCCGCAGCGCGGCAAAGTACGACGCCGGCTTCTCCACGGCCGCGGCGCGCGCGTCGAGGTACGCGTCGAGGTGGCCCTTGGCCTCGGCGCAGTCGAAGCCCAGCACGGATTTCACGAGCCCCGTCTCCGGGAGCGCCCAGGCGAGGTCCTCCCGGGGCGCGCCGCGCCGCTTCAAACGGCGCCGCGCGTGCTTTTGGAGCCGCTCGTCGTCGTGGCCGTGCTCCGTCGTCGCCCTGCCGAGCTCCGCGGCGAGCGCGCCGCGCACGCGCTGGGCGAAGGCCCGCGGCGCCTCGCCGGGTTCCGGCGCCATGGCCGGGAGGTAGGTCACGCGCATCGGGTGCGAGAGATCGAAGCACGGGCGCGCGAAGTGCCAGACCATGTCGTCGATGTTCGTCGGGTCGTAGTCGCCCCGGGGCTCGTAGGTCACGGCGACGGGCTGGACGCCGTGGCCGAGGCGGAAGGCGCCGTCCTTGAAGCCGATGAGCCTCGACCCGTTGTTCGTCTGGCCCTCGGGGAACACGAGGAACCGCGGCGCCCTCGGGTCGCTCAGCGACTTTTTCAAATCCTCCGCGGCCTTGCGCCGCGACGCGTCGTCGGCCTTGTCGACGAGCACGAACTCCAACGCCCGCAGCACGTTGCCGACCATGGGGATCGCCGCCAGGTCCTCCGCGGCCATGCCGGAAGCGCGGAACCGCTGCGTCAGATAGAACGCCTCGACGAACGACGTGTGGTTCGACGCGAGGATCGGCGCGGCGTCCCGCGGCGCCGGCGCGCCCCGCTCCTCGACGCGGTGGAAGCCGAGGCAGAAGAGGCCCGCGCGGACGAGGCGCATCGACGCCCAGAGGAAGAAGCGCTGGGGTGGAGACCGGAGCGGGCAGCACGACGCCGCGGACGCGCAGAGGCCCGAGGAGACGAAGACGACGAGGAAGACGCAGATGCGGATCATGGCGAGCGGCAAAATAGCGAGAGTCGTCGCCGCGCGGAGCGGGTCCGCGAAGAGCGAAACGGTGGAGTTGGCCAGCGGGTCCTGGGCGTTGTCTTCGAGCGGGTAGGCCTTCGTCTCGATGGCCTTCAAGATGCTCGCCTTCGTCGGCGGCGCCTTCTTCGGCGGCGGAGGTGTCGCGACGGGTATGATCTTCGGCGCCATTCGACTTTTCGCGGGGCGCTGTGCGCGCCGGGCAGCGCGAGGCGGGCAGCTCAAGGGCTTGGGTATGGGTCAACAAAAGCGAAAGGTCGACATGTTGCCTCTGCGCTGGCATTTATGGTCCGACGACTTTGCGCCAGCTCGACGCGCCGCTCAGCGACGATGCGTCCCAATGCAACGCGCCTCTGCACCGCCCTCGCGCTTCTCGCCACCGCGACCGGCTTCCAGACGCACCGCGCGATGCGGCCTGTGTCGAAGCCGTCGCGCGCCTTCCGACCGCGCCTGACGCCGGCTCTGGCCACGACGACGTCCACGACGGAGATGATCGACGCCGCCGAGTCCATGGTCACGTCGGAGGAGACGCTGCGCATCGGCAGCCTGCGCTTCACGCGCTACGACAACGCGTCCACCGGCGAGCCGCTGCTCTACGTGCCGGGCATCGAATTCCGCGGCATCTCCATCGCGGCCCAGCTCCCGCGCCTCGCGGCGAACGGTTTCGATCCCTGGTACTGCTGGCTCGACGGCGACGGGAGAACGCCCTTCGAGGACGTGGTGACGTCCATCGCGACCTTCGCGAAGCGGGAACTGCGCGACGGAATCATCGTCGGCGAGTCGCTCGGAGGCTTGTTCGCGACGGCGGCCGCCGTCGAATTGAGCGACGAGAACGCGTTGCACGAGCTCCGGGGCATCGCCCTCGTGAACCCCGCGACGTCCTACGACCGCACGTCCTGGTCCGTCGGCGGGCGCGTCGTGAGCGCGGCGCCCGCGGGGATTCCCTACGCGGGCGCGATCGCCGCGGCCGTCGGCTTGCTGGCGTCGGACGCGTCGATGGTCGAGAAGTCCGCGGCGGAGTGGCAGAACCTGGACTTTTCCAACCTGGCCCGCGCGGCGAGCGGCGCCATGGCGCTGAGCGAGCTCGTGCCGCCCCAGACTTTGAGGCACCGCGTCGTCGACTGGCTCGACCGGGGCTGCGCGGCGACGAACGGCAAGCTCTGGCGGTTAAGACGCAAGGAACGCGGCACGAATGTCCTCGTGCTCGCCGGCGGCGACGACCGCTTCCTGCCGTCGGCCTCCGAGGCCGCGCGCCTGAAGAAGGAGCTCCCCGGCTGCGAGGCCGTGATCCTGCCGCGCGGCGGCCACGCGGTCCTCGTCGACGACGAGCGGCTGGATCTCTCCGTGGCGCTCCGCAGGTCCCGGGCGCTCTACGGCGCGGAGCTCCGCGCCGCCAAGGCGCGCAGGGCCCAGCGCTGGGTCGAGGACTTCGTTCCTCCGAACGCGACGCAGATCGCGGAGTCGCGGCGATCGGTCGTCGACCCGTTCCGGCGCCTCGTGTCGCCCGTGTTCTTTTCCACGGTCGACGGGGTCCCCGTCCGTGGACTAAAGGGCGTGCCGTCGCCGGGCGAAAAGCGACCCGTGCTGCTCGTCGGGAACCACCAGCTCTTCGGCATCGACCTGAGCGTCTTAGTGGACGAGTTCCTCCGCGACCGCGACCTGCTGATCCGGGGCCTGGCGCACCCCGTCGCGACGAACGCGTTGAGCCTCTTCGACGCGCAAAGCGACGCGACGGGGCCGCCGGACTACTGGGCCGACTCGCCGCGGCGCGACCGGGGCTTCGGCGGCGCGGCGGACGGCGACACGTTCTTCCAGACCTTCGGAGCCGTGGAAGTCTCCCCCCGGAACTTCGTGCGCCTCATGCGCGACGACGCGGCGGTGCTCCTCTTCCCCGGCGGCGTCCGCGAGTCGAACCACGGCAAGGACGAGGCCTACGAGCTCTTCTGGCCCGAGGAGACGGACTTCGTGCGCGTCGCGGCGAAATACGGCGCGGACATCGTCCCCTTCGGCGCCGTCGGCGCGGCGGACTCCTTCACCATCGTTCGCGACAAGGACGAGCCGCTGCCCTTCGGCGGGGGCGACCCGCGCGGCGGCGCGGGGAGCGTGCCGTCCGCGCGGCGCTGGGCGAACCGCACCGAGGACTTCCGGTTCCCGCTCGCGGTGCCGACGTCGCCGCGGCGCTTCTACTTCCGCTCTACCCAGCGTCCTGCGGCCGTGACGATTTTCGAGAGATTTTGACCGGGAAAACGAAGAGAAATCGTCACCGACGTGCTTGGTAGGCTTCGGCGAGGTCATCGCCACGGCGGACCTCGACGCCAACGACAAGGACGCCTGCGCGGCGGTCTACGCCGAGGCGCGGGACGCGTGCCGGGGCTCCATCGACTGGCTCCTCGAGAAGCGCGAAGGCGACGCCTACGAGAACCCGCTCCTCCGCCTGCCCTACGAGGCCGCGTCCGGCGCCGCGGCGCCGACCTTCGAGGTGTGATATTAAGGAGGACAGTGTAGGTCTCTCAAGCGCGCCAGTGGGACGTGCCTCGTAAGCAAGCAGTGTGTTATGTGGGCGTCTTCCTAGGGTTCGTCGCTGACGTTGTCCTCGAGCATGAGGCAGCCCAGGTAGGACGCCAGCGACGGCGCCTCGTGGGACTCCTCCGAGTCGAAGTCGCTCTCGAAGTCGCCGTCGCCGCTCTTGTGCTCGTAGCGCGCCGCGGCGTACTCGCGCTCCTCGCCGTGTTCGTGCTCGAAGTCGCAGGGCACCTGGAGCTCGACGAGCTGCTTCGCGCGGCAGCCGATCATCGACGGCGACACGGACGAGAATTCGACGACGTCGGGCGGGCGCGGCGTCGCCGGGCTCGGCCGCGGCGCGGGCGGGCACGGCGCGAGCGACGGGTCCTCCTTGGTCTCCTCGAGCACGACGGCGTAGCGCGGCGACTTGATGCGCGAGGCGACCTGGCGCCGCGGCGAGAAGACGCGCCGCGACCTGAGGCGCGGTTCGAGGCAGTAGAGCGAGTCGTCGTCGTACATGGGCTTGCTGCTCTGCGGCACCCCATCGCTCTTGCTCGGCTTGCATCCCATCCTCGAGGAGCGGACCTCGTAGCTCGCGCGAGAGGCGGCGAGCTGCTGGAGGATGAGCCGCCGCGACGACGCGTCCGAGGATCGACGACTCGTCGTGCCTATTGCGACCTGCGTCGCTGTGCTTTGCTTTTTGTTCGGACATCGAGAGCTGAGAATCGAGGCTGCCCAAAAAAATGAGCTCCAGAACCGGTTGCCCTTGGCTTCCATATATAGATGCGTGAGTTGTGCGTGCCGGTTCCCCCGCCGTACGGAAATTAAATGGCTGTCGTCGCGCGAGCGGTGCAGAGGGAAGCATTGACACGGGAATGAGTGGCTCAGCTCGCGCGAGCGCGCCCGAAGGGCGCGCTCTCGCCGCGCCGCAGGCAAGCCCCCCCGGCAGGGGCAAGATGCCGTAGGCGTCTTGTCGAACAGATTTCGAACGAGTGGCCCTCAAGAAAAGTGACGCCGGCCTGGCGTCCAAACCTTCGGCGCGCGCGCGAACGCAATCCGCGCGACCCGCCGACGCCTCGACTCGCGCCGTGTAGACATCAAAAGCTGCCACAGCAACTGCGCTGCGCTCCAAAGCCAAAGCTCTCGCGGAAATCGTCGCGCCGTCGTCGTCTTCGCGGCCGAAGAAAATCCAAGGATGCTCCGCCGCGACCGCGGCTTCGACAGCGCCGGCGCGTGGCTCAATCTGCTAAGCGAGGAGCGCTCGCTCGCCGCGGCGGAGGCGGCCGTGTCGCGCCTCAAGGCGGAGCAGGAGGCGCGCGTCCGCGAGCAGGAGACGCGCCGCGTCCGGGCGCGCATGTGGGACCACGCGGAGCGCACCGCAGACCGCGACGCGAGCGCCCTCGAGTTGGACGCCGTCCACGCGCGGCTGGACGCCGTGTGCGAGGACCGCGACGCCTGCGCCTGGACCGTGCAGGAGCGCTCGCGCAAGGTCGTCGAGTGGGCCTGTATCGACGCGGCGTCCGACGTTTTGCGTCCGAATCTGATCCGTCGCTCGTCTAGGCATGGCCAAGTGCTGCGAGTCCAAGGACACGGCGCACCGCGGCAAGTGCGACGCCAGCTGCGCCAAGAACGCCATCCTCTCGCGCGTCAAGCACGACCTGCACGCCTGGCTCCTCGTCGGCCTGCGCCTGCGCTTCCAGCCGGACACGTGGCGCGAGATCCTCGAGTTCTCGCTGCCTGTGGTGTCCCTCGGCTACGACCGCTTCGAGCTCCGCGTGCGGCTGCCGGGCGACGACCGCGACTCGGACGGCGGCGACTCGACGCCGTGGCCCGCGAAGGCGGTCTGCGCCGAGGCCTCGTCGAACTTCGGGATCATGTCGGCCTTCTTCTTCTGAAGGTTGTGTAGAAGTGTACAGTAATGTGTATAGTGTGTTCTGGTGCTGCCACGCCGGCGGGCCGGCGCGGTAGCCCGTCGCCGCGTCGCGTGGGCGGCGGTGATGTCGCGGCTCTGCTCGCGTGCGCGGTGCTTGCTGCTTTGCGACTGTTGGGTGACCCCCGACTCGGGCGTTTTGCGAGGCCTTGGATTTGCGCGCAAAGTCGCTTCAAGCATGATGCAAACACCAAATGAGTTGGCGGTGAGAACTCCTGAGTCGTTGAACTCATCCCGCCGGCGGAGCCGAGCCGCGCTGTCGCCGACATCAGCGTCGGCGCTGCTGCTACCTCGCGTCGAGAGCCCCCCGGCCCACTTTATGTGCCCCGCCCCCCACGCCGACGACCGCTCGGACCCCGACCTCGCCGAGGCCGCCCGCGAGGCCGCGCTCATCGCCGAGGAGAACCGGATCTTAAACAGTTGCGCGGATACGGCCCGGTTCCGGAGCCGGAGCCGCCCCATGGAGACGGGCCCCCACGGCACGGCCGTGAAGCGGCCCCGGGCGGCGACCATGTCGCCCCCCGTGACGCAGCGCCCCATCCCGCGGCGCCCCCGGGCCGAGTCGGACTTCGTCTTGTCGACGCCGCGCCGGAAGCTCATCGAGGTCAAGACCGACTGGCTCCCCGCCCACCTCGCGCCGTCGGCCATCCCGCGTTTGAGCGTGGCCCTCGAGACCTGCGGCGGGGCCGCGTCCGGCCGCCGGCGCCGCGTGTCCATCACGTGCGACCGGCGGCGGCGGACGACGGTGTCCGTCGACGCGCGGCTCCTCGCGGCGACGGTCGCGTTCGCGGTCGTCTCCGGCGCGTCGGCCTTCTCCATGGCGCCCCTGAGCCTCCTCCACGTCAAGGGCCCCGGCCGCTTCATGCTCTCGAAGCCCGTCGCGCCCGTCTTCGGCGAGGTGCCGACGTACCCGGCGCCGAACGGCCACGTCGCGCGCTTCTACCAGTCCGCGGCCTACCTCGACCGCCACGCCGGCGGCGCGCTACGGGAGGCCGTGGACGTCGCGGCCAGGGCCCACGAGCACCAGCGCCGCAAGTCCGGCGAGCCCTTCATCGTGCACCCCCTGCACGTCGCGACCGTGTTAGCGGATCTCCGCATGGACGCGGACACGGTCATGGCCGGGCTGCTCCACGACACGGTCGAGGACACGTCGCTGACCGTGGGCGACATCCAGGCGACCTTCGGCGACGCCGTCGCGCGCATCGTCGAGGGCGTCACCGACGAGCCGACGCAGATCGATAGTGAAAACCAGCAGGACCTGTTGTTGTCCATGTCCTCCGAGTGGCGCGTCGCGTTGGTGAAGCTCGCGGACCGCCTCCACAACATGCGCACGCTCAAGCACATGCCCAAGGAGAAGCGCATCAAGAAGGCCAAGGAGACGATGGAGCTCTTCGTGCCCCTGGCGCGGAAGATGGGCATCACGCCCATCTACGAGGAGCTGTTGGACCTGTGCTCCGAGACGCTCCTGCCGCGCGGCGGGCGGCTGCTGCCCGGCGCCGCGAAGCACGCGCTCATGACCGCGGCCGCGCCCGCGAACCTCGACTCCACGCTCGCCAAGCTCAACATCGACCTCGACACGCACCACGCCCGGTGGCAGAGCCACCTCGACGCCTACCCCGCCGTGTCGCTGACCCCCTGTACCTCCGTCGAGTGCTAGACGTTAACATACCAGCACTACCGCGGGAGCGCGGCCGCGAAGTCCGCGTAGGTCGGGTGGCCCGTGCGCGGCGCGACCCGCTCGGCCCACTGCCGGTCCAGGAACGCGACCGCGTCCGCGTCCAAGGCCGCCGTCGCCGCCGTCGCGGCGCGCACGCGGTCCGACGGCACGTAGGACGACGGGTCGCCCATGCGGCCGACGTCGACGAGCCGTCGGTAGGTCCAGGACTCGTCGAACTTGGACGCGTGCGCGCGCATGGCCTCGCGCGTGCAGAGCGCCGCGACGGCGTCGAGCTCCGCCGGCGACCGCTCCAGGCCCATGAACGCCGCGAGGGCCGGCAGCGCGCCGCGCGCGTCCTCCGCGAGGTCCTCGAACGCCACGACGTGCACGTTCTCGAGGTGCCGGCACTCCCAGAACTCGACGTAGTAGTCCCAGAGCGCCGCGCCGAAGCGCATGTTCTCCACGACGAAGCGCTCGTCGCGGCAGAACTGGGACGCGTTCGCGTACTTGCGCAGCGGTGGGATGTCCTTGCCCGCGGGTCCCAGGAAGTGCCACCAGCTCAGGATCGTCGTCGCCGGGTCGCGCACGGTGCACAGGTAGCGCCCGCCGCGCGGCTGCGCGGACAGGCGCTGGTGCGTCTTGAAGAGCCGCGGCGCCGCGACCTGGTCCGCGTCGCAGTCGATGCCCAGGTCCCAGCTCAGCGGCGGCCACGGCGCGACCTGGTAGATGTCGTCGAAATCCAAATCGCCGCCCGTTCGCAGCTGGTGGCAGATCATCGTGAGCCAGGTCGTGCCCGTCTTTGGTGCTGTGGCGATGAAGACGTCCGTCGGGCGTACGCGGAGCGCGAGGGCGCGCGCGATCGATTCGGCCGAGTATTCCTGGGCCGAGTGGTCCTGCGCACGTCTCCCGATCAGTTTGCTCATTTCGTCTTGCTCGTCGTCGACATCCAGGGCTGCCATCACGGAGAGCCTCGATCGAGCAGCCCCTTCAACATCAAGTTCAACCACGTTAGAATCACAATTCGAGGTCCTCGTCGGGATCCGGAAAGTGCTCCGGCGCGTCGACGACGGCCTTCTCAGGCGTCAGGAAGAGGCCGCAGGCGCCGCACTCGACGCCGTCGCCCGCCGCCGCGTCGTCGACGCCGCCGACGACGATCGGCGCGGGGTCGTCGTCCGAATCCGAATCGTCGTCGTCGTCGACGAGCGCCTCGAAGTCGACGGTCCTCCGGGGCTGGGGCGCGACCTCGAGCCCCGGCGGTGGCTCCCGCTTGCCGGCGACGCTGCCGACGCGGAGCGCGGCGAGCGCGCGCTCGATCGACTTTTCCCGATGCCGCACGCTTTCCGTCGCGGCGTCGAGGCCCTGGCGCGCGGACGCCTCGAGCTCGTGCATCTTCTCCCGCGCGTGGCTCATCTCCTCGGCGAACTCGCCCATGGCCTGGTTCAGCAGCCGCCGCTCGCGCGCGAGGTCCGCGCGGACCAAGGCCAACGACCCCAAAAGCGCCGCGACCTGCAGCGCGATCGACGCGTAGGCCACGGGCGCGTCCGTGCCCGCGGTCTCGATCATCAGCAGGCAGAGCAGGTTCAGCGTCACGAGCCACTGGAGCGACTCCGCCAGCAGGTCGTCGGAGTCGGAGATGAACGGCGCGTACGTGCTGTAGAGCTTGATCGACGCGAGTGACACGACGACCGCGAAGAAGATGCGCGTCTTCGAGCCGTGGAAGAGCAGCAAGAACGACGTCGACAGCAGGCGCCGGGCGATCTCCATGACCTCCCACCACCACCGCGGCGGCTCGTAGGGCGCGAAGAGCAGCGTGAGGTGGCGGACGTCCGGGTTCGCGCCGCGCGTCCGGATCTGCAGCGCGAGCCTGTCCTCGTCGAGCATGCGCCCCTCGTCGGCCGACGCCCGGCCGTAGACGCGGTGCACGTCGCCCGCCGCGCTCCGCGTCATCGACGCGCGGCGCCGCTTCTCGTCCGTAGGGGCGACGCTCACGGGCGGGTCGATGTCGCGGCGCCGCCGGTAGAGGAGCGCGAAGTAGAGCAGGGGCACGCCCAGGGGCCAGACGAGGATCATGAGCGTCGCGTAGGCGCGGTAGCAGGCGTAGGTCCAGCCCTCGCAGCGCACGCTGTAGTCGTGGCGCATGTAGGGCGTCGCGCCGTCGCCGTCGCGGCCGTCGAGCGCCTCGCAGTCGTAGATCGCTAAAATCTCCGTCGTCACGGCGGGGAGCACGACGTAGGTGACGAGCACGCCGACGGTGGCCGTCGCGACCTTGACGTCCCCGTCGGCGACGCGGTCGGAGAGGAGCGACCGGAGCCACGTGGCCCCGGAGACCGCCGCTACAAAAACGATCGGCGCGAGCGTCGCGAAGAGCAGGCCCGTGTAGTAGTCGCCGCCACTACAGCGGAAGGGAAAGAGGGCGCCAAAGTCCAGCGAGACGACGTCGAGCGCGTGGTACTGCTTTTCCAGGACCGACGGCAGCGACACGTCCGGCAGCAGCGCGGGCTGCGAGTAGACGATCTGGAACGCGACGAACATGATGCGCCACTTGGACTTGAGCTTGTTCATGAGCCGCCCCGTCGCGACGGCGCGCTTCGTCGCCGCCGCGTCGGAGCCCAGCGACGAGAGGTAGCGCCCCAGGAGGACGAGGGCGGCGCAGGACACCGCGAGGCCCACGGCCGTCCGCGCGCCGAGGGATTTACCGCAGGCGTGGCAGTGGCCCGCGTCGTTGAGGTAGGAGCCGCGCTTGCAGACGGAGCAGTAGGGGCCGTCGGGCTCGTAGTCCTCCTCCGCGCACCCCACCGTCGGCCCGCCGGGGCACGCCTCGTCGCCGCCGACGCACCTGAGGGCCTCCGTGGACCGGCCGTGCATGCGCATGAACCCCGCTTCCAGCGGGAGCGCGCTCAGCGTGACGTCCGTCGTCTCGCACTCGAAGCCCTCGGACGGGCACGCCAAGCACTCGCCGGTCTCGTCGTCGCGGTAGCTGCCCGTGACGCAGAGGTCGCAGCTCGTCGCCGCGCCCTCGACGGTCGTCGCGCCGTCGACGCAGGCCTGGCAGGACCCGTAAAAAGCGCCGTCGTCTAAGACCGTGTAGTAGGCCTCGGGGCACCGCGCCGCCTGCACCACGACGAGGCTCCAGTCCAAGTAGTCGTCCGTGACGCGAATCGTCTCGTAGAAATAGCCCGCGTCCGCGTCGTGGACCACCGTGTCGTTTCTCCACAAATTCAGCGCGTCGAGGTAGGCGACGGACCGATTGATCAGCGCGACGGGATGATCCGCGCCGTCGTAGAAGAGCGCCGGCGGCTTCGACCCCACGTACGTCGGGTCCCAGAGCTGCGTCGAGTTCCGGATGGAGCTCAGCACGACGCGCCCCGTCGGCCGCTCGCGCACGTAGGCGAGCACGTCGTCGTCGTCGTAGTCGGCGAGCACGGTCCGGAAGCCGCGGTCGAGCACGTCGAGGAGCAGCGCCGTGCAGCCGACGCCCTGGAAGGCGCCCCGCGCGGAGAGGAGCGACGAGCAGAGCGCCATGGAGTGGTCCGTCGACGGGTAGCTGGCGTTGCCCGGCGGGTGGTACTGCGTCGCCGACAGCGTCGAGTCGCGGAAGATGGAGCTCCACGAGGACACGGCCGTCGCGCCGTCGCCCTGCAGCGCGACGAGCGTCTTGTACCAGCCGCGCTGCCGCGGGTCGTAGGCGATGGCGCTGAGCTGGTCCCTCCGGTGGCCCGTGACGGGCTCGATGGCGTAGTAGGCGCGGCACTGCTCGTCGATGCCCCAGTCCGGGCACGTGCTGTTCTCGTCGTCGATCCAGCCGATGGCGCGGCCGCCGCCCGCCGCGAGGACGACGCCCTCGTTGTAGTAGCCGATGAACGCGCCGTTCGTGAACCCGGAGTAGATGAAGTAGACGTCGCTCGACGACGCCAGCAGCTCCGTGTAGAGCAGCGCGCGCACGTCCTCGAGCAGGAGCGTGCCGTTGTAGAGCCAGGCCGTGTCGAAGGCGCCGGAGAGGATGGCCGAGTTCGTCTGGTGCTCCGCCAGGCTCTGGAAGAGGCTCAGCTCCAGCAGCGTCGCGATCTCCGTCGAGAAGCCGTAGCGCGCCGGCGCGTCGGCGGCGGCGGGCCGGGCCGCCAAGGCCGCGACGGCGACGAGGGCTGCGCGCCGCATCGCGGAGCTGCCGCGGCGCAGCAGCAATGAGTTTGGGAGATGAGTCCTCGATCGGCTGCCCGAAACTGGCGCAAGTGCAATGATGCTTCATCGTCGACCTGCGCCAAAAGCTTATGGCAAAGCTTATGGCAAAAGCCGCAGCCCAATGAGCGCCTTACTGCGCGCTCTCGCAAGCTGCGCAGTCGCAGCAGCCTACTCGGGACGCACGGCGCCCGGACGCCTGAAGTTCGTCGACGACTACTTGCTGCTGCGGGAGCGCGACGCGCTCTTCGCCGGCGGCGAGGGCACGCCCGTCTTCTGCGACGTAGGCGTCGGCGACACGGCGTCGACGACGCTCGAGCTCGCGGCGGCGCTCGCCGACGAGGACGCGCCGCCGCTCGTGCTCGGCCTCGAGGCCGACGGCAAGCGCGCGGACACCGCGCGCGCGAGCGTCGCCGGCTACCAAAATGTCGAGGTCCGCCAGACCGACGGCCGCTTCGCGCTGCCGCTGCGCGCCGGCGAGCGCTGCGTCGGCGCGCGCGCGATGAACGTCTTCCGGAGCGGCTACCGCGAAAGCGACGTCGCGCCGGCCGTGGAGGCCCTGGGCCGCGGCCTCGCGCGCGGCGCGCCGCTCGTCGAGGGGAGCTGCTCCCGCGCGGGCGACGCGGGCGTGGCGCACGTGCTCCGGCGCGGCGACGACGGACTGGAGCGCGAGGCGCTGCTCTTCGCCATCGATCCGGAGCGCGGCAACGGCTTCGCGCCGATGGCTCTGCGGCCCTACCTGCCCCGGGACCTGCGCTGGCACTTCAAGCGCGGCCACGGGGTTTATGGCTTTTTCGAGGCGTGGACCGATGCCTGGAAGAGTTCGCGGCGCGAGGGCGCGCGCGACACGGACGCCGCGTTCCGATTGAGCGCGCGCGCGCTTGCGGACGACCACCCCGTCGAGCTCCTCGCCGCGGGCCTCCTGCTCTGGACGCCCGCGGGCGGCGTGCCTCGATAATGGTTCCTATGTACCCCAGCCCCGGTCGCGCGCCCAGGCGCGCTGCTCGGCGCGCGTCTTGAAGCTCCAGAAGAGGAGCGTCGCCGTCTTTTGGCCGCGGCCCGTCGCGACGACGGTCGTGTCCTTGACGCGGAGCCGCTTGAGCGCCCCCTCGAGGACGGGGAGCAGCTTCTGCCGCGAGACGAGCGACGAGAACCAGAGGCAGGAATCCCGGAAGCGCGCGCTCTCCGCGATCATGTCCGAGACGAAGCGGCGCTCGCCGCCGGGCGTCCAGAGCTCCGAGTCGCCGCCGCCGAAGTTGTCCGAGCCCTCTTCGTTGCCGGCGGACGCGACGTAGGTCGGGTTCCGCTTCTTCGAGGCCTTGGCGAGCTGGCGCCGCTTGCGCGCGTTCTCCGCCTCGAAGGCGTCGCGACTCTCGTAAAACGGCGGGTTGCACATCGTGAAGTCGACCGGGCCGTCGAGCACGCGCTCGAAGCACGCGGCTGGATTGGGCTGGCGGCGGACGCGGACGCGGTCCGCCAGGCCGTTGCGCTCCGCGAGGTTTTTCGCGTGCGCGCAGGACGCCGCGTCGACGTCGCTCGCGACGAACCGCCAGCCGTAGGCGCCGTGGCCGAGCAGCGGGTAGATCAGCGACGCGCCCGTCCCGACGTCGAGGCCCACGACGTCCGCCGGCGGCGCCGCGAGGCCGCCGCTCGTCGCGAGCACGTCGGCGACGTGGTGCACGTAGTCCGCGCGCGACGGCACGGGCGGGCAGAGCGACCGCGGCGGCAGCGACCAGTCCCCGACGCCGTAGTCGCTCGCGAGGAGCGCGCGGTTGAGCTCGAGGACGGCGCGCGGGTCGCCCCAGTCGACCGTGTCGCGCCGGCCGATGGCGTCCGCCGCCGCGATGACGTGCGCGGAGAGCCGCGGATTGCTGGCGACCAGGGCGTCGAAGTCGTAGGAGCCGGCGAAGGCGTTGCGCGGATGGCCCTGGACGACGATCGCGCGCCGCCGCGGGCGCGCTGCGAGGCCGCGCCGCGCGTGGCATTTGGCACTAGTGCTGAGGGCATTCGTGCTGCGGATAAATGCTGCGCAGAGCATGGCAGCGCGCCTCATTTCTCATGCGACCATGCCTTGAGAGCCGCAAAGCGAGGCGCCATTGCAGAGCCTTGCGGCAAGCACGACTTCAATGACTTCAACATGACATCGTGCTCAATGCTAATACGCCTCTAGCCTAGGCGAGGTGCGTCGTCCGCGCCTCGGGCTTCGCCGGCCCCGCCTTGATGGCCGCGAGGACGTCCGCGTAGGCCGCCTTGGCGTCGTCGCTGCCGGCCTTGGCCGCCTTGAGCAGCCAGGCGCTCGCCTCGTCCAAGTCCTTCTTGACCCCTGTGCCGTTGGCATAGCACGTGCCTAGCAGGTACATGGCCGAGACCTCCTCCTGCTCCGCCGCGCGCGTCCAGTACTTCGCCGCGCGGACCTGGTCCCTGGCGACGACTTGCCCAATGAAGAGGAGGTACGCGAGCGACGACTGCGCCGTGGCGTCGCCCGCGTCCGCGGCCAGCTGCCAGAGGTTGACGGCCTCGCGGGCGTCTTGGTCGACGCCGCGCCCCTCGAGGTAGCAGCGGCCGAGGTGCGACCGCGCCGCGGGCAGCCCCTGGTCGGCCGCCAAACGGAAGAGGCGCGCGGCCTCCGCCGGGTCGTCGTCGCTCACGCGGCTGGCTTTCAAAGTTTGGGCCTGCGCGTTGCCCTCGGCGACGCGCGCGTCGAGCCGCTCGAGGTACTCGTCGAGGTCTTTGGCCGCCGGCGCGCCGCAGAGCTTGCACGTCTTCGCTTCGTTGCGGCCCGACGAGCACTCTCTGCGGACGACCTTGCTGCAGCAGACCTCGAAGAAGCACGACGCCGAGCTCGTCGGCAGGGCCTTCGTGCAGACGGGGCAGGTGTCCCGCGCCGGCTCCGGCTCCTCGTCCTCCGGTGCCGGAGGCGTTGCTTCTTCCTGTCTCGGCGGCGGCGGCGTCGGCGCCGGCGCCGGCGCGTCAGCGCTTACCGGTTGGCGCTTTTTCTTCAGCGCGACCAGCAGCGCGACCAGCAAGATGGCGCAGAGCGCCGCGAGAAGCAGCGTCAGGCCCATGACCGAATGACGCGAGGCGCGCGGCAGCCCGTTCTAGGCTAGGAGAGGTTAACAGCTAGAGGGCCAGCGTCAGGCCCATGACCGAATGACGGAGGCGGGCAGCCCGTTCAATCTATCGGCTTGACGCGTTTGAGCAGCTAAGTTGCAGTTCTCGCAGTGCGATGGTGACTAGAATCTGTCACCCCTAAACACCAAAACCGCCGCATCCGATGGTCAAGTTCGGCGCGCGCTTCGAGGAGAGCCGCCTGAAGCGGCGCTGGTCCGCCTACGCCGTCGACTACGAGCGCCTCAAGCTGCTGCTCAAGGTCGCGCAGACCGCTCATTACGCGAAACCGGCGCACGTCAAGCTGTCCAACTTCGGGCGCGACGCGTCGAGCCGGGGCCTGCTCGACTTCGTCGCCGCGAAGCGGCCCATGGACGCCTTCCTCGCCGCGGGCCTCGACGGCGCCGAGCGCGCGGCGCTCGAGGCGGCGCGCCAGAGCTCCGTCGTCGCCGCGCTCGAGGGCGACGACGACGAGGCGGCGCCGCGGCGCGGCGCGGGCCACTGGACGCGCGCGCTCTTCGGCGTCAAGGACGCGTCCTGCGCCTTCCTGCTCCACGGCTTCGACGTCGCCCTGGCGGGCGAGGTCGCCGAGGCCGAGTCGCTCTACCGCCGCGAGGTCGAGGGCCTCGAGCGGCGCTGGCGCGCGCTCAAGCCGTCGTGCGTGGCCAAGGCGTCCGGGCCGCTGCGCCTGAGTTTGGCGGCGCTGGACAGCGAGGCGCGGGAGCTCGTGGACTTCCGCGCGTGGAATCTGGTCGCGTGCGGCAAGATCTGCAAGAAGCGCGACAAGATCTTCAAGGACGAGGCGCCGATCCGGGACCGCGTGCGCGCGGCGCTCGACGGGCGGGCGTGCTGGGTGCCCGGGTCGCTGGACGCGCTGCTGCGGGACCTCGCGGCGGCGTTCGGCCGCGTCGCGGGCTGCGCCGCCGACGTCGCCGACTGTGTAGATTCCAAACCTTCAACCCGACTTCAATGTGAGCGTATGCGACATTTTCAACGCAACTTCTTCGGCTGTACTTCGAGAACTCGACGAGAGCAATCGATTCGTCCAAAAATCAGCCAAATCGACTTCGATTTGACCGAGCTAGAGAATTCTGAAGTTTGGTCAGGACCACCCAAACCAGTGGTTGATTTCCACACAGGTCGCCGAGGCGGAGCTGAAGCTGCTGTCGACGTACCGGGGCGAGGAGGCGCCGCCGCCCGTCGACGACCCGGCCCAGTTCCTGCGGCCCGTGAGCTCGCTCATGGACCTGAGCAACGGGTTGTTGAAGCGCAACACGTCGAGCCCCGCGCTCCTGGCCGCCGCGGCGGAGGCGGAGTGCCGCGTCGTCTTCCTGGACGTCGACGGCGTGCTCCACGCGGTCGACGTCCAGGACGAGGACGTCTTCGAGGCCAAGTGCGTGGACCAGCTCGTGGCCATCGTCGAGGCGACGGGCTGCCGGCTCGTGCTGAGCTCCGCGTGGCGGCAATGGCCCGCGATGGTTTTACGGGTGGAAGCTTTACTGGCGTCGCGCGGCCTGGAGCCGCTGCTGGGGCAGACGCCGAGCCTCGTCGCGGGCACGCGCGAGCACGAGATCCGCGCCTGGCTGGACCGCAACTTCGGCAAGGCGTCGGCGTACCCGCAGTGGATCGCGCTCGACGACGGCCGGTTGGACGGGCTCCGGGGGCACCTCGTGCGCACGGACGGCTTGGTGGGGCTCACGCCCATGGACGCGCGGCGCGCCGTCGGCCTGCTCAAGGGCTCGACGGGCGGGCGCTGCGGGCCGGGCGGCCGCTGCGTCTTCTGCGCGCGCGGGCCCGCGCCGATCCCCGAGCGCCTGGCGACGCTCCGCGCGTCGTCCGACCCGCCCGTGTGCGCCGTCGCCGTCGACGGGGTCCGCTCGCCCGGGAAGATGGTGCGCACGCCGTCGCCGACGGCGTCCTCGAACCGGACCATCTCGCCGTCGAAGAAGGACGGGTCCACGGCGTCGAAGGCGTCGAAGTCGTCGATCTTCAAGTCGCTCGCGAGCCCTGCGCCCAAACGGACGCTGAGCTCCGCGTCCCTCGCGAACCTGGCGCGGTCGCTCTCGGGGTCGCCGCCGCGCGGGGTCCGCAAGGCGCTGTCGACGCGGAGCGCGGGCTCGTCCATCGACGAGGACCTCGGGTCGACGATCGCCTTTGGGGCGCTCGTCGACGTCGTCGTCGAGCGGCGGCCCGAGCTGGGCCTGGCGCCGCTGGGCAAGGGCGCCTACGCGCAGGTCATCACCTTCACGTCGCCGACGGCGGTGGTCCTCGAGGACGGCGCGCGCGTCATCGCGACGGACCTCGCCGTGAAGATCGGCACGTGGACTTCCGAGGCCCACTTCGACCGCGAGTGCGAGACGCAGAAAGCGGCCGCCGCGGAAGCGTTAGCACCCGCGCTCTACGGCGGCGCCTGGCGGGGCGGCCCCCGGGGCCTCGGCGTCATCGTCATGCGGCGCCTGACGACGCCAACCTACTACAAGTGGCTCTCGTGGCTCACGACGGACCTGCGGCGCGCGGGGCTCGGGTCCGCGGACGGCGGCTGGGCCGTGGACCCCAAGGTCCAGCACCTGCCGCTCGTCCAGGCCTGGGCCGCCGAGGTGCGCCAGCTCAAGCAGAAGCTGGCGCTCCTCGACATCCGCCACGGCCTGTGTGGAAATCAACCGCTGGTTTGGGACGTCCCGACCAAACTTTGAAATTCTCTAGCTCGGTCAAATCGAAGTCGATTCGGCTGATTTTTGGACGGATCGATTGCTCTCATCTAATTCTCGAAGCACAGCGGAAGTTGTCGTGTCGAACCGTTCGATTACGCGCACATTGAAGTCGGGTTGAAGATTTGGAATCCACACAGGCCACGGCGACGTCCACGAGATGAACATCGTCTTCGAGGTCCCGGGCGAGCGGTCGCGCGCGTTCGCGGCGTTCGCGGCGGGCGACGGCAAGCGCGCGAAGCGCGCGCTCATGGCGGCCATCGCCGCGGGGCCGGGCCGAAGCGGCGTCGAGGTCGTCATGATCGACTTTGGCCAGGCGCGGAAGCTCGGCTGGCTCGGCCGCTGCTGCCTCCGGCTCTGCGGCGACGACGTCCGCCTCGTCGACCCGGACGACGACGACGCGCACTCGGACGCGACGGCGGACTCGGAGCGCGGCGACGCCCTCGCGCACCTCGGCACGCTCCCGACGGCCGTGCAGCGCGAGGACCTCTCGGGCCTCGCGCGGCTGCGCTACGACGTCGAGGCCGCGGCCGCCGCGGCCCGCAGCGTCGCGAGCCCGCGGGCCTAACGTGGGGGGAGTATGTAGGCGGGGTCCTCTTGGGCGAACCCCAAGGCGCGAGAGACGAGCGGGGGCGGGGCTTCTCAGGCCGCGGCGCGGCGCGACCGGCGCGGCCGCGCGGCGGCCGGGGCCTTCTCCGCGGGCGGCGGCGCGGCCGCCGCGTTCTCCTTGTCGGAGAAGGCCTCGTCGTCGTCGGACTCGTCGTCGTCGTCGTCGTCGTCGGCCTTCTTCTTCTTCTTCTTGGCCGCGCGCTTCTTGGGCGCGGGCTTCTTCTTGGGCGCCTTCTTGGCGGTCGGCGGCGCCGCGGGCTCCGCGGCGGGCTTGAGGTCGTCGAGGTCGAGGCGGCCCTCGTGGGCGGCGAGGAGCTTCGTCTCCCAGTCGTCGAGGTAGTCGGCCGTCTTGTCGCCCGGCAGCGGCAGCTTGCGCGCGCGCGCGGCGATGGCGCAGAACGTCTCGTAGACCGGCGCGTCGGCGAGGGCGTCCTTGTAGTCGACGAGCTTCTCGTGGAGCTTGCGGGCGACCTTGTCGCTGAGCTGGAGCTTGGAGAGGCAGAACGCGAAGTCGCGGCGCGCGGCGGCCTGCGCGTCGTCGGCGCCCGCGGCGCCGCGGCCCGCCTCGACGACGCCGTCGTCGTCGGCCTTGGTCGACTCGATGCGCTGGCAGAGCTTCTCGGCCAACGTCTCGACGTGCTTCTCCTTGTCGACGAACTTGAGCAGGAAGCCCATGATCGTCGCGAAGTCGTCCGCGCTGAGCGCGGCGCGCGGGCCCGACGGCCGCTCCTCGGGCGTCGCGACGGCCGCGCCCGGCGCCTTGGCGACGACGAAGCCCGCGACGGCGAGGGCCGCGACGGCCACGGCGGCGCCGCCGGCGTTGGACAGCGGCGCGGCCGCGCCGTCGTCCGACGCGCCGTCGTCGCCGTCGCCGTCGTCGTCGACGACCGCGCGCCGCGCGGCCGAGAGCCGCGAGATGACGTCGGGCACCAGATTGTAGATGGGGCTCGACGTCGCCGTGGACTTGCGGTGGAGCTCGTCGAAGAAGGCCCGGGCGCGCTTCTTGATGCCGCCGTCCTCGTCCACGACGAGGAGCGCGACCTCGGCGACGCCGCCGCCCTTGGCCTTGATCATGTCGTTGAGCGCGAGGTGCGCGAGCGTCGCGAGCGTCGTCGCGCGCACGGTCGCGTCGCCGTCCCGTAAGGCGCCGTAGACGTGCTCCGTCCAGGGCTCGACGGAGTTGGGCTGGCGCGCCGCGAGGTCGCCGAGCGCGACGGCGACGTTGACGCGCGCCCGCGAGTCGGACGCGCGCGCGAGCGTCGTCACGAGCAGGGGCAGGTGGTCGTCGCAGAAGGCCCGCGACACGCAGGCCATCTTCGACAGGCAGAGCACGGCGGCGCGGTGGAGCACGGGCGGCAGCCGCGTCGGCCCGCCGACGCCCGACGCGGTCGGCAGGCCCGCCGCGGCGACGCGCGCGGCCACGGGGCCGAAGCACGACACGAGGTTCGACGCCGCCGCGGGCACGAGCTCGGCCTCGACGAGATGCTGCATGCGCGCCTCGTGCTCCGCGTCGCCGCGGTCCGCGCCCGCGCCGAGCGCGGCCTGGAGGTCCTCGTCGCGGTCCGCGCCGTCCTTGTCGGCCGCGGCGGCGGCCGCGGCCGCGCGCGACGCCGACGCGACCCGCGCCTTCTTGAGCGCGGACCCGAGGTCCTCCGCGGCGGCGAGCAGCTGGAGGCTCACGTGGCCGACGACGTGGAGGAGCCGCGCGAGGTCGCCCGCGGCCGCGTTCACGACGTGGTCCGCGTCGTCGTCGTCGCCGAAGCCGCACTTGGCCGCGAGGGCTTTGACGAAGGCGGAAGCTTCCTGCTCCGGGTCCTCCTCGAGGCCGAAGGTCGCGGCGACGACGGCGTCCGCCGCCGCGTACCACCGGCCGCGGTCGAGGCGCTTGCCGTCGGCGACGAGCGCCGCGCGGAGCGCCGCGCACGACGCGCGCGCCGCGGACCGCGCGGTCTCGTCGCCGCCCGCGCCGGCGCTCAGGTCGCGCACGAGCAAACCCAGGGCCGCGGCGAGGGCGCAGTCGACGGCGCCGTCGTCGCCGACGACGTGGCGCGTCGCGTCGCGGAGCGCGGCGGCGTCGACGACGCCGCGGCCCGCGCCGGCCGCGGCGACCGCGAGGAAGCGGCAGGCCTGGGCCCGCGCGCCCCGCGCGGCGGATCCGGACGCCGCGAGCTCCCAGAGGGCGCGCACGAGCTTGGGCGACGCGATGCGCTCCGCCTTGTCCGCCTTGGCGCCGCCGGCCGCGCGCGCCTTCTCCGAGTCCGCGACGAGCGCCTCGAGGCAGGCGAGGTCGCCGGCGCCGCAGCCGGCGACGAGGGCGCAGGCCCGCGCGGCGCACTCCGCCGGCGGCGCCTTCGTGCCCGCGAGGAGGCTCGACGCGACGACGCGCGCGGCCTCGGCCTTGGCGGCGTCGCTGCCGCTGCACGCGAGCGAGAGCACCGCGACGACGCCGCCCTGGCCGCAGGGCAGGCCGAAGGCCCGCGCGACGCCGAAGAAGGCCGCCGCGCAGGACGCGTCCGTCGCCGTCGCCGACCGCAGGAGCTTGAGCGCCTTCTCGCCCGCGCGCTCGAGGCGATCGACGAACGCGACCGCGGACCCGAAGTACTCGAGCTCCTTGAGCTGCGCGGCCCGCGCCGCCGCCTCCCGCGCCACCGCCTCCTCGTCGACGGCGGGCTCCTCCTCGTCCTCGTCCTCCTCGTCGGCGTCGGCGGCCGCGGCCGCCTTCGCGAGCACGGCCTCGGCCTTGGCGCGGTCCTCCGCGGCGCGGTCCGCCTCGGCGGCGAGCACGACCTTGGCCAGCGCGTCGTAGCGCGCGCGGAAGGGCGCCGGGTCGAGGTGGGGCGCGTAGGGGTTGAACTCGAGGCAGCCGCCGAGCAGCTGGAGCGCGTTCTTGCGGACCTGCGCGGTCTTGTCCTTGAGCCGCGACGCGCCGACGGCCGTCACGCGCTCGTACCAGGCCAGGGGCACGGCGCGCGCGTCGACGAGGCCCTTGAGCGCCCGCAGCGTCGCACCGCGCGTCCAGTGGCTCGCGTCGCGCGCGCGCTCCTCGACGAGCTCGAAGAGCGCGTCGCGCGTCGCGTCGCCGAGGCGCTCGCGCGCCGCGTCCGTCGACGCGTCGTTCGCGGCGGCGTCCGCGCGCTTCGCCGCGTCGGCCTCGAGGACGGCCGCGAGCGCGGCGACGACGGCGGACCGGAGCGAGTGGTTCGCGGACGACAGGTGCGCCTTGAGCGTGGCGACGTGGGCGAGCGCGGCGGCGGGGCTCCGCGCCCCGAGGTGCTCGACGAAGGTCGCGACCTGCTTGGACGACCGGCTCGCGTCGCCGCAGTCCGCGGCGACGCGGCTCAGCTCCCGGAGCACGTCGCCCGCGACGCGCGCGTCGCCGCGGGCGCCGCAGAGGTGCGCGCAGCACTCCGCCGCCGCCTGGGCGCCGGCCTCGCTCGCGAGCACGAGGTCCTCGACGACGGCCGCCGCCGCGGACGCCGCGAACTCGGCGGGCGCGCCGTAGTACGCCGCGCCGACGACGTCGAACGCGGCCTCGCGGTGGGCCGGCGCGCAGAGCTTCTTGCGCAGGAGCGCCCGCGCGCCCGCGCGGATGAAGAGGAGCAGCGCCGCCTCGTCGACGACGCGCAGGCCCCAGAGCCACGCGACGTCGACGGCCCGGAGCGCGGCCGCGAGGCCCGCGAGGCACGCGAGCCGCGCGGACCGCTGCCAGGCGCCCGCGCCGCCGCCGGCCGCGCCGTCGTCGTCGGACTCGTCGTCGTCGGCCTTCTGCTTCTTCTTGCCCTTGGGCTTCTTCTTCTCGTCCTCGGCCGCGGCGTCGCACGTCGCGATCGCCTCCTGCGCGAGCACGGCGGCCATGAGGAACGCGTCGCGGCCCGCCTGGAGCTCGGCCTGCGGCAGGCTCGCGCCGGGCCGCAGCGCCTCGCCGGACGCCGCGGCGCCGAGCGCCGTCTCGCAGAGCAGCACCGCGAGCTTCGCGCGCGCGCCCTCGTCGAGCTTCGCCGCGTCCCGCGTCAGCACGTAGAGCTGGTCGAAGTGCTCGGTGACGGCGGCGGCGCCGGCGTCCTGGATGGCGTGGCCGATCTTCGCGATCAGCTTCTTCTGCTCGGAGGGCGTCTTCGGCGGACCGCCCGCCGCGACGGCCTCGTCGACGACATACCTAACGTGCGCCGCGAGTTCGGGCTCGGAAGTCGCGCGGGTGGTGTCGCGGCGCGCGCGCGCGCGTCGGGGAGGGGAAGGACTTGCTTCGAGGTCGGGAGCTCGAGATCTTTCAGGTGGATGGGGACGCTGAAAGCGTCCGACGCCATCGTGCGAGCAACGGGGCTTTTGGGCCGATTTCGCCGGGGGTCCGTCGCGCGCGCGGTCAGGGACGCAGATGACGCAGGGGCGCAGCGGACGAGCTCAAGCTAGCACGCCGCCGGGCTGCGAGGACCTCTCGTTCGGCGGGACACGTCCGAACCTGCGCTGCGGTCCGAGTCCATCGGTCCTCGGAGTCGCAACGGCGGGGCCGGGCCAGGAGCCCCGGCGGCCGCGGGCCGTGGAGCGCCTGGATCGTCGCCTCGCACCGTCGCAGCAGCCGCCTCGCAACCGCCCGCGCGCCGCTCACAGCCACCGTCAAGTCGAGCTCCCGCTCCCGCACCACTCGCAGCGCCTCCGCCGCCGCTCCAGTTCACGACAAACACCGGTATTTTAGCTTTCGGATTCACGAAACTAGCCTCTGCGTTCGGATCAGCCCCTGGCTCCACTTTTTTTCAGCTCCTCTGTGTTAGTCTCATCCTCTGTCTCTCGTCTAGGAAAAAGCAGCAAACTCATGGGTGATCAGAACCGCGAGCGTTCCCGTTCTCCCGTCGGCCGCGCGCCGCCGCCGGCCGAGGGCTCGGCCGCGCAGCGCGGCGACGACGAGGGCAAGCTTTACATCGGCAACATCAGCTACAATGCCCGCCCGCCGCGTCTCGTCTCATCTAGGTTTCAGCGCATTTCCTGACTCTGGTTTCCGGCCATGAACAGAAAAGCGACTTCCGTCTCTCGAACAAAGCGACTTTGTCTCCGTCTCTCGTTTCCCTTTTTCCGAGCCGGGGGTGTAGAACTTTCTGATTCTCAGAAGCAGCTTGGTTGGTCTCACCGCCAGACTTCTCTCTCTCTCTCCAGCTTCCAAACTTCTAACAGTGTGTAAGCGTCCCGTTCTACAGACCGACGAGCGCGAGCTCCGCGACGTCTTCGGCAAGTACGGCGAGATCAAGGACGTCCACCTGCCCACGGACCGGGAGACGGGGCGCCTCCGGGGCTTCGCCTTCCTGTCCTACAACGACACCCGCGACTGCGACGACGCCCTCGCGGCCATGAACGGGCGCGTCTTCCCCCCCCGCCTCCCCCGCCGGGGTCCCGGCCCCGGCGCGCCGCGGCCCGCCCCCGCCTCCTCCCGCGCTCTTCGACGCGCGCCGCCCCCCTCCCTAGGCAAGAGGTCGGCGGGCGCACGCTCCGCGTCTCCAAGGCGCAGCCCCGCGGCAGCGGCGCGGGCCGCCCGCCGCCGAACGGCGACCGCCGCGGCGGCGGCGACGACCGCGGCGGCGGCGACGACCGCCGCGGCGGCTACGACGACCGCCGCGGCGGCGGCGGCTACGACGACCGCCGCGGCGGCTACGACGACCGCCGCGGCGGCGGCGGCTACGACGACCGCCGCGGCGGCGGCGGCTACGACGATCGCCGCGGCGGCGGCGGCTACGACGATCGCCGCGGCGGCTACGACGACCGCCGCGGCGGCTACGACGACCGCCGCGGCGGCTACGACGACCGCCGCGGCGGCGGCTACGACGACCGCCGCGGCGGCTACGACGACCGCCGCGGCGGCTACGGCATGGACGACCGCCGCGGCGGCTACGAAGACGACCGCCGCGGCGGCTACGACGACCGCCGCGGCGGCGGCGGCTACGACGACCGCCGCGGCGGCTACGACGACCGCCGCGGCGGCTACGACGACCGCCGCGAGGCCCCGCCGAGCAACGGCCGCGACGGCGGCGCGCCGGGCGGCTACAACTGAGCGCAAGGGCTCCCAAGAAGCATCGCGATCCCCACCCCGCGCGCCCGTACACCCGCGCGCGCCAGTCCGGCCCTCCCCGCCGCTAACGGCCACTCGACCGATGTGCATTCTCGCTGCGCGGCCGCCGGGTTGAACCTCGGTTGAGCGCGCTGGAGCGCGTTCTCGATGGAGTTCGGCGGCGGCGCGGCGCCGGCGACGTCCTGGGGCTTGCCGATGGGGTTGAGAGGAGTGGGATTTGGGCACTGGAGGCGCGCGTCGCGGCTCGAGGGGCGCGTCGACGACGCGGCGTTTGGCCGGGGCACAGAGCGGCACGCATCAGAACGTGCGGCCGACGTGTGACATGGACGCCTACAATCCGACGCGCTGCGCGCGCGCGACGCCCATGACGCTGCTGCGCACGTCTTTGTTGCTCGCGTGCCTCGCGTCGTCGTCGTCGAAGGCACACGCGCTGAAATTGGACGTGTTCCGAGTCGGGCGCCCGTTGATGCCGCTGGACACGCTGTCGAGCTACTCCTTCGACGCGAGCACCTTCGAACGCTTCGCCACGGCCGACGCGCCGGTCATCGTGGGCCTCGAGCACGGCTCGGCCAACGGCGTCGGCGTGCTCGCCGTCGTCGACGCGTCGCGCGCGTCCGCCGCCGGCGCCGTCGTCCGCGCGCCGGTGACGGCGTTCGCCCGGTACCGCCGCGACGGCTCGGGCTGGGGCGAGAGCGACGTGCGGCCCTGGCGCGACCTCGACTGCGACCCGGACAGCGAGGCCTGCGACGTCGACCTCTACGGCGAGGCCGAGGCCCACGACGCGTGGCTCTCGCGCGAGCTCTCCTCCCGGTCGTCGCGGCGCCGCGCGCCGTCGCGGGCGCTCGCCGCGCTCTACGACGACGCCGCCTCGAAGGTGCGCCGCTTCAGCGCCTACAACGGCCCGCGCGGCGACCTCGAGGCCGCCTTCCTCCGCGTCGACGGCCTCGCGGCGTTCGCGGCGTCGCGCCGCGAGTGCTACTCGTTCGCGCTCACGCGGCAGCGCGAGCTCGCGCCCCGCGAGGTCCTCGCCCAGCTCCACTCGCGGTCCACGGCGGCGCGCCTCGCGGCCTCCGTCGAGGCCGCGGAGAGCGCCGCGGAGAGCACCGCGGGGGACGTCGTAACGAGCAGATAGGCGCGGACTCGAGCTCGGACTCGCCGGTAGACTCCGCAGCTCCGCGCCCGCCGGCGTCCTCGCGCGATGCTTCGCCCGCTGCGATGCTCGCAGAGGTCGGCGGCGACGACGGCGCGGCGCCGGGCGTGCGGCCGCGGACGCGCGCGGCCGCGGCGCGCCCGGACCTAGGCCTGGGCTCATGAACACATCAAGATGAGATGCACATGAACTCCGAAACCCCCCAACGAGTGCGAGAAAAAAAACGCCCCTGTATCCCGATGACGTGGCAGCGTAGGGGTGACCAGGGCCGACTAACGAGAACCAATCAACCACAGCATGTTCATCCCATATCTGAGAATTACAAATCCTTGCGGCGAGGCGCGGCTCGCTGCGCACCAAAAGTTGGTGGCCGCGGCATTGGCAGCCGCGCAAGCGACGTTTAGGACCCCCGCGGCGGCCTTCGGGGACCGACCCGGCGAGCGCCATGTGTGACTGGCTCTTCGAGTCCAAGGAGGAGAAGGCGGCCAAGGCCAAGGAACTGCGGAAGAATGTGGAGATGACGGAGCACAGCGAGGACCTCGAGCCGCTCCTCGCCAAGCTCAAGACGAACGCGTCGACCGTGCGTGCCCCGCCGGCCGCCCCCCGCCGCCTCGACCCCGCCCGCGCCCCGCCCCCCGCGCCCGCGCGCCCCCCGCCGCCGAGGGGCGCCCCCGCGGGACCCGCGCGCCGCCTTCCGCGCCCGAGCCTTCCGCCGCGCCGCGCAGGGCATGACGACGGAGCAGGCCCAGGCGGCCTTCGCCCAGTACGGCCCCAACGAGCTGACGCCCCCGCCGACGACGCCCTGGTACATCAAGTTCATCGAGGAGATGACCGGGCGCGGCGCCGGCGTTCTGACCGGGACGCGTCCCGCTTTCGCGACCGCGCGCGTTTCAGGTTCTTCTCGCTGCTGCTCTGGGGCGCGTCGGCCGCGTGCTTCGTGTCCTACAGCCTCAAGCCCGACGTCGAGAACCTCTACCTGGGCATCGTCCTCGCGGCCGTCGTCTGGGTCACGGGCTGCTTCAGTTACCTCCAGAACCGCAAGTCGGACAACATGATGGCCGAGTTCAAGGCCATGCGGCCGCCCAAGGTCAAGGTCGTGCGCAACGGCGAGCCCCTGACCATCGACCCGGCCCTCGTCACCGTCGGCGACATCGTGCTCCTCGAGCAGGGCGACCTCGTGCCCGCGGACCTCCGCGTCTTGGAGTGCTCGCCGAACATGTGCGTGGACAACTCGTCGCTCACGGGCGAGTCCGAGCCCCAGAAGCGCAAGGCCGAGTGCACCCACGAGGACGTCCTCGAGACGGCGAACCTCTGCTTCTTCGGCACGCAGGTGCCCGAGGGGTCGTGCCGCGGCCTCGTCGTCAAGATCGCCGACGACACGGTCATCGGCCGCATCGCCAAGCTCGCGCTGTCCACGGAGGCGGAGCAGACGCCCATCAACAAGGAGATCCACCGCTTCATCCTCATCATCTCGGCCATCGCCATCATCCTCGGCGTGTCCTTCTTCTGCGCGTCGCTCGCCATGGGCCAGGACGAGATCGCGTCGCTCGTCTTCATGATCGGCATCATCGTCGCCAACGTGCCCGAGGGGCTGCTGGCGACGGTGACCGTGTGCCTCACGCTGACGGCGAAGCGCATGTACACGAAGAAGGTCATGGTCAAGAACTTGGAGGGCGTCGAGACGCTGGGGTCGACGTCGTGCATCTGCTCCGACAAGACGGGCACGCTCACGCAGAACATCATGACCGTCGCCCAGTGCGTCTACAGCGACAAGAACAGCGCGCCGTCCATCCAGGACTGCGGGAGCTCCTTCACCAAGGGCGTCAAGACCTACGACGGCGACTCGCCGTCGTTCCAGAGCCTCCTCACGTGCTCGACGCTCTGCAACACGTGCTACTTCGAGAAGTACTGGGAGGACGAGGACACGGGCAAGCGCGTGCTCCTGCCCTTCTCCAAGGTGCGGACCCAGGGCGACGGGTCGACCATCGTCGAGATCCAGTGGAAGCCCATCGGCAACGCGTCCGAGGGCGCGATGATCAAGTTCGCGCACCCGACGCTCAACGAGACCATGGGCATCAAGGACATCGAGGACATGCGCCGGGCCAACGCCAAGGTCTTCGACATCCCCTTCAACTCGAAGAACAAGTACCAGGTCCACGTGCACTGCACGTCGCCCGACGCGTCCACCGACAAGAACGACCGCATCGTCTACATGAAGGGCGCGCCCGAGCGCGTGCTCATCCGCTGCACGGAGTACATGGCCGGCGACGGCTCCATCGTGCCCATGACGCCCGAGCTCGCCGCGCAGATCGAGGAGTCGCAGATGGCCATGGGCAACAACGGGCTCCGCGTCCTCGGCTTCGCGATGAAGAAATTACCGTTTGCCAAGTACGGCGCGGACTACCCCTTCTCCGACGGCCGCGAGGAGGGCTGCTCCACGGCGAACTTCCCCCTGGGCGAGTTCAAGGCCATCGAGACCTTCGAGCAGGCGAAGAAGGACGGCGTCGAATTGAAGGACGACAAGGGCAAGAAGGTCCTGCCGCCCCACCCGCTGTCCGGCGAGGGCCTCATCTTCCTCGGGCTGATGGCCCTCGTGGACCCGCCGCGCGAGGCCGTGCCGGGCGCGGTGGCCAAGTGCAAGACCGCGGGCATCAAGGTCATCATGGTCACGGGCGACCACCCGGGCACGGCCAAGGCCATCGCCTACAAGGTCGGCATCCTCTGGTCCCCGACGAAGGACGACATCGAGAAGCAGAACAAGGACAACGGGCTGTCGCCGGGCGACGTGGGCTACCAGGACCCCGCGGACGCGCTCGCGATCGTCTGCCCGGGCTGGGAGTTCTCCGACGACATGGGCGACGACAAGTGGGACGCGATCTTGGCCCACCCCCAGATCGTCTTCGCGCGCACGTCGCCCCAGCAGAAGCTCGTCATCGTCTCCAACTGCCAGCGCCTCGGCCACGTCGTCGCCGTCACGGGCGACGGCGTCAACGACTCGCCCGCGCTCAAGAAGGCGGACATCGGCATCGCCATGGGCATCGCGGGCACGCCCGTGACGAAGAACGCGGCGGACATGATCCTCCTCGACGACAACTTCGCGTCCATCGTCGCGGGCGTCGAGGAGGGCCGCCTCATCTTCGACAACCTCAAGAAGAGCATCTGCTACACGTTGACGTCGAACATCCCCGAGATCTCGCCCTTCCTCTGCTGGATCACCATGAACACGCCCATGCCCCTGTCCACGGTGCTCATCCTCGCCATCGACCTGGGCACGGACATGGTGCCGGCCATCTCCATGGCCTACGAGGACGCCGAGGCCGACATCATGAAGCGGCCGCCGCGCAACGCCGCGACGGACCACCTGGTGACGTCGAAATTGATCTGCCTCGCCTACCTCCAGATTGGGGTCATGCAGGCCATGGCGGGCTTCTACGCCTGGATGCTGGTCTTGAACGACTACGGCTTCCCGCCGACGATCCTCCTCGGCAACCCGTCGGGCGCGGGCCTCTTCTTCGGCGAGCAGACCATGTACTGCAAGTTCAACGGCGGCCAGTACGTCAACGGCGAGGGCGAGATCGACCCGGCGAACCCCGACCCGACGGTCTCCGGCCCGAACCGCAACTACCCCATGTGGGACCGCGGCGACGGCGGCTACATCAAGGCGTGCACGTACCCCGCGAAGAACTTCCAGGGCGGCTTCAAGGCGCCGACGGAGAACTTCTACTACGAGTACGCCGCGACCTACACGGAGAAGACGAACACGTTCCAGCAGCCGACCATCGAGTCCATCTGGGCGCTCAACGACAAGGGCTTCTTCGAGTACACGCCGTGGCGCGGCCGCCTGAGCCCCTTCTGGGACAAGAAGTGGGTGTCCTTCAACATCCACAACTCGGAGTACAAGATCGCCAAGGCCAAGGCCGGCGCCTTCGGCTTCCAGGGCGCGCGCGACTCCGCGGTCTTCCAGTACCAGCCCGCGGGCGTCTGGTCCATCTGCCTCGGCAACGACGGCGACCTCGACAAGAAGACGCGCCGCAACGGCATGATCGAGCTCGAGCTCATCAAGGAGTCCTACGAGGGCTTCGACCTGGCGGACGCCGCGTCCGTGGCCACGGGCGGCGTCGACAACGGCGGCACCATCGGCGCCGACTGGTGCAACGGCAAGACGCACGGCCACACGATGTTCCAGCACGCGACGTTCTGCAACGGCCAGTACAAGGCCAACGGCGACCCCGAGGTCCCGGGCTGCGACGCCCTCGACGACGAGACGCCGAACCTCCAGTACTGCCAGGGCGGCTGCGGCCTGGACTGCACGGAGGTCTTCGGCGCGGACCGGAACGCCGACGGCGTCGTCCAGTGCCAGAACATCGCGTCGCGCATGATCCAGAAGAAGGCGCTCATGCACGCCCAGGCGGCCTACTGGGTGTCCATCGTCGTCGTCCAGTGGGCGGACCTGCTCATCTGCAAGACGCGCTGGCTCTCAATCCGCCAGCAGGGCCTCCGCAACTCCGTGCTCAACTTCGGCCTCTTCTTCGAGACGTTGTTGGCGGCCTGGCTCTGCTACGGCGGCATCTTCGAGGTCCTCGGCACGCAGCCCATCCGCTTCACGCACTGGATGCCGGGCATCCCCTGGTCCATGATGATCTTCATGTACGACGAGACGCGCAAGTACCTCATGCGCGCGACGAGCCCCGAGGTCGCGGACCCCATCACGGGCGCCATCAAGCGCCAGGCCGGCTGGGTCGAGAAGGCGACCTACTACTAGGCCGAAGCTCCAAGACCCAAGTGCCACGACCTCGACGAGCGTCCGGCACACCCTCCCCCCCGCGACGCGCGCCGCGGCCCACCTCGCCCGGCTTTCGCGCCGCCAGGACCCCGCCCCCCCCCCCCCCCCACACACACGCGCGCGACACGACCGCGGGCAACGCCCGCGGCCGGTGCCCCTTTAACCGCTGCGCAGCCGATCGCGCGCGCGAGTCTCCGGACGCGCTCGGAGCCGTCCGACTTCAGTCCCAATGCGCCGGCGCCTTCAAGATGAGATCAAGATGCCGCTCGAACGCAGGCTCCTAGAGTCTCGACATCGAGCTCTGCGGCGCCTGCCGCTCCGCGACGCGTCGTGCGCTGCAGCTCTGCGCTCTGCGGGCTCTTGCAACGCGCACTGCGATGCCTCGCACGGCCGTCATCACGGGCGCCGGCAGCGGCGTCGGCCGCGCCGCGGCGGTTCGCCTGTCGCGCGAGGGCTGGCGCGTCGCGCTGCTGGGCCGCCGGCGCGCCACGCTCGACGCCACGGGCCAACTGCTGGCCGCGGGCAGCTACGTCGTCGTCGAGTGCGACGTCGGCGCGCCCGGCGCGAGCGCCGGGGCCGCCGACGCGGCGCGCGCCTTCTGCGGCGGCGGCGGCCTCGACGCGCTGCTGAACGTCGCCGGCGTCGCGCCGCGCGCGCGCGTCGGGGAGACGGACGAGGCGCGGCTCCGCGCGTGCTTCGACGCGAACGCGGCGGGCCCGGCGCTCCTCGTCGCGGCGCTCTGGGACGACCTCGTCGCCGCGCGCGGCCGCGTCGTCAACGTGAGCTCCTTCTCCGCCGTCGACCCCTTCGCCGGTTTTTTGGCCTACGGCGCGAGCAAGGCGGCGCTGGAGTCGCTGACCCGGTCCGTCAACGTCGAGGGCGGCAGGGCGCACACGCTGCGGCTCGGCGCCGTCGAGACGCCCCTGCTGCGGGGCCTCTTCGACGAGGCGCGGCTGCCCGCGGCCGACGCGCTGTCGCCCGACGCCGTCGCGGCGGAGATCTCCGCGATCCTCGCGGGCGACCGCGACGACCGGGCCGTCGTCGAGCTCGTCGTCAACCCCAAGGACGGCGCGACCTTCGACAACGACGCCCCGCGCCGCCGCCGCCGCGGCCGCCGCGCTGGCACCTCCCCGACTTCTTCCGGCGAAGTTAGGGCCCGCCTAGATCATCTTGTCGCGCTTGAGCTTGGCCCAGACGCCGAAGCCGAAGTAGAGCGCCGCGCCGTGGAGCGCGAGGACGACGAAGCCCGCGAAGGCGCCGGAGACGGCCGCGCGGTGCGAGTCCACCGTCGCCCGGACGACCCTCCGGTTCGTCTTGGCGAGCGTGTTCTCGAGCGTTTTCTCGTGGCCGCGGTCGAAGAAGCCGTTCTTCTCGTCCCCCGCGCGCGCGAGCGCGGCCGCCTGCTCGAGGGCCTCGAGGCGGCCGCTCAGCGAGTGCGCCGCGGCCGTCGAGATCTCGTCCTCGAGGCTCCTGAGGCGCCGCTGCGCGTTGTTCGTGCTCTCGAACATCTTCGCGGCGACCTCGTCGAGCTGGGCCTCCTTGTCGAGGATCTCGTACTCCATGTGGTGCTGCAGGTCCTCGACGGACGCGAGGAGCGCGCCGAGGATGCCCTCGACGCGATCGTAGCGCTCCGCCGCGGGCATGCGGCGAAGGTCCGCGACGTCGCGGACGTCGACGCCCGACGCCGCCAGGCCGGCGAGCGCGTCGACGAGGCTGTGGCCCGACCGGTGGTGGTGCTCCTTGCTGCTGACGACGGCGAGCTTCGTGACGTCGACGACGTCGTCGGGCCGGTCGTCGCTCGCGGCGGCCGTGACGCCCAGGTACGCGCCCTCGAGCCACTCGGGCTTGAAGACGTCGCGCGGCAGGGGCAGCGACCTGACGCAGGGCCGGAAGCCGCCGCCGTCGTCGTCGACGAAGACGCTGAGGCCGAGGTCGACGGGGGCCGTGGGGTCCAGCGGCTTCCGCGGCAGGTCCGGGCCCGCGGCCGCGGGGATGGCCTGCACGAGGAACCGGAGCTTCGTGTGGTTCGCCACGGTCACGTCGGCGCGCGAGCTGTCGAGGCGGACCTTCGCGTCGCAGCCGATGCCCGCGTCCTCCAGCAGGTCCGTCCGCGGCGCGATGTGCCCGTGAACGACGACGCGGATTGTGCCGGGCCCCGCGACGACGCCGAAGCCCGTGAACTTCTCCGTCGAGCCCATGAGCGGGCCCGCGGCGTAGATCGCGCGGCTCGCGACCCACGCGGCGACGCCGCCCGTGCGCCAGGTGTCCGGGGAGCTCTTCGGGGAGTCGTTCTTGCGCTTCTTCGGCGGGAACGCGCCGGGCCCGGCGACGCGGAAGTTCAGCGTCACGGCGACCTCGCGCGCCTCCAACCGCTTCGGGCTCCAGACCGCGCCGGCGCCGACGCGCGCGAGGGGCCGGGGGCCCCTGACCTTGTCCACGACCGTCTCGACCGCGGCGCCGCCGACGAGGCGCGCGAAGCGCTTCTTGACGACGGCCTCGCCGTGCGTCGTGTAGCGCGCGTACTCCACCTGTGTGGAAATCAAATCTTCAACCCGACTTCAATGTGCGCGTAATCGACCGAGTTCTGAAGTTTGGTGGGGACCCCCCAAACGAGTGGTTGATTTCCACACAGTACTCCACCGTGCGGCCGTCCTTGAGCTCGTAGGACGCGTCGCTCTGGAGCAGGCGCCGCGCGGCCGTGACCGTGGACCGCGCGAACGGCGCGCGGAAGCTCAGCGAGCCGTCGAGCTTCGGGGGCTTCAGCCTCGCCTCGTGCGCGTTTTTCTCGCGCTCGTTGTGCTCGCGCCACTGCTTGGGGTCCTTGCGCATCTTCTCGGCCTTGCGGTCGAACTGCTTCGCCGCGCGGGCCTCGTCGAAGGCGGGGTCGGGCCGGTCGCGGTGGTGCGGCGGCGGCGGCTTCTTGTGCTTCGCCGCGCGGGCCTCGTCGAAGGCGGGGTCGGGCCGATGATCCGGCGGCGACGCCTTCTTGTGCTTGTGCTTGCGGTCGCGCTCGAGGCGCAAGCCCTCGGCCTCCTCGGCGAGCTTCCGCGCGCGCTTCGCGGCGTCGTGCGCCCGCGTGGCCTGCTGCTGCTGCTCCTCCTCCTCCTCCTCGCCGCCGGCGTCGTCGTCGTCGTAGGCGTCGTCGTCGTCGTCTTCCTCCATGTCCTCGCCCTCCTCCTCCTCCCCCCACTCCCCGTCGTCGTCGTCGTCGTCGTCGTCGTCGTCGTCGAAGTCCTCCGAGCTGCCCTCGCGGGAGTCGTCGTCGTCGTCGTCGAAGCCCTGGTCGTCGTCGTCGTCGTCGTTGTACTCGAGTTTCTTGGCGGCTTCTTTCTTGCGCGTCGCGGAGAGGCGGGACGAGACAACAGAAAGCCCGAGGGCGACGAGCAGAAGCCGCGCGATCCGCCGCGGGAGGCCCATCGTCGCGTGCCCGCGCCGGTCCTGAGCGTCGCGAGGCGACCCTCGGAGCGAGACAGGCGCTCGCCAAGCAAAGGCGCGCATCTGCTGAGGCAAAAAGAGGGGCGAGACGGGCGAGACGAGCGATGCGCACTCGACGCGCGGCGTGCCGCGTCTTGCTCGATCAGTTCGGGAGCGACGTCTGGGGCGTCGTTTCCCAATACCTGATAAAAAACGAGATTTACCCCTTGACTCTCAACGAGAGCGACGGATTCGACGCACACGTCCGCGCTTGCGACAATGACACTCTGGTGCTCTTCACGAATCCGCGTTTCTTCGGCCCGAACTTCGGGGCGTTTGATACAACGTCGGAGAGCGACAGACTGCAACAGCTGCGCGACTTCCGAACTGTGTGCCGAGCATTCCGCGACGCCGTCTCGTACGCGAACCTCCGCCAGCTCCGCATCCGGCCGAACTGGTTCCCGCAGCTTCCAGGGAACTTCGGCGAGATGTTCGCGGGCTGCGAGAGCATCATTGTGAACGGGCGCGACTACTCGAAACCAGACCTGGCACCTCAACAGGGCACGATCCCCTCGGTGTTCCGCGACCTGCCCCGGCTCCGAGATATGATGTTCGAGTACTTCAGGGTGATCTTTCCGCCCTGGTTCCGGGACCTGGCGCTCGACGAGTTGGCGTTGGGCTATCGAACACAGATTGCTTTTAAATTTGAGAATCGAGATCAATTCTGGGAAGATCGCGAGGACGTGTTGCCGCCGTCGCTGCGCGCGCTGCGACACGACGCCTGCCACGATGCCATCAATCTGGCCCACGCGCGGCGGCTATCGCAACTGCAGGAGCTCGAGATCGGTGGCGAGACCTTGCCGCCGGACTGGTTCGCCGCCGATCTTGGGCAGCTTCGGCGGCTCTGGTCCTACGGCTGCGCCATCGCAGAGTGGGCGCCGACGTTGCGACAGATGCGCCTCGAGAGCGTCACTTTCGAAACTGAGAGCGTTTGCGAACAGTGGGAGATCGAGAATGCGCTGGAACAGATGGTCGGGCTCGAATCGGTTTGCGGCACGACAATCCGCGAGCTCGGACTGAGCGGCCAGAATTTGGGCCGCGTCCCCGACTCATTCCGTTCGCTGAGACTCCGGTCGATCGACCTGCAAGAATGCGACCTCCGAGAACTCCCTGACTGGCTGGGTGAGCTACCCCTCGTGGTGCTCAATGTATCGATGAACAAAAAGCTCAAGGCGCTACCAGTCTCGCTCCGGCAAGCGACGACGCTCCGCGTCATCTATTTGGATTTCACGTCATTGGCGGGGCCCTTCATTTGCGGCCACGAGCAAGGCCGGATCTGCATCTACGTCGACGGCGCGAGAATGCTCTACGATGAAGTGCCCGACGAGGAGATCTTTCGACGCGACGACGAGCTCCACGGCATCTCCGAAGCTCTGCCGGAGCTCCGCCTCCAGCTCCACCACCCCTCTGCCGACGATCGGGAGGACGTTTCCCCCGTGTGGTGGCACGCTCGCAGCGGCGCCGACTGGACTAGCTTCATCAGCCGCTAGTAACCGCGGAGATCTCGAGGCCGGCGCCGCAGCACGTGCGGCCCACCCCCCGAACGCCCGCGCCGCGCGCCGTCTCCCGAAGACCCCTACACGCGAATGTACCGTCATCGCCCCCGGAGCACGCCGAGGCGCTCCTCGTCGATGAAGTCGTCCGCGCGGAGCGGCGGGGCGCCGTCGTCGGCCGCGAGGCCGTCCGGGTGGTGCTCGAGGAGGTAGAGCGCGAGGAGGCACTCGCAGCGCTGCATGGCGACGAGGGGGTCGTCGGAGTCGAGGGGCAGGCCGAAGCGGCCCTCCTCCTGGTACTTCGCGACCCAGGCGGCTTCGGCGACGGCGTCGGCGAGCGCGGCCGCGTACGCGGCGCGGTCGACGCGCGCGGCGACGTCGCTGCCGGCGTCGCCGTCGAGCGGCGCCTGGCCGTTCTCGAGGCGCACGAGCGCGTTGACGACGGCCGGCGCCGACGAGCCGACCGCGGGCCGGAAGGGGTCGCTCTTCGCACTCCGGCGCGTCGCGCTGGCGCTGTGCGGCGCGCGGTGCGGCGTCGAGGCCTGGACGCGTCGCGGCGGCGCCCAGGCCCGCGCGGCGACGAGCAGCAGCGCTGCGAGGCCGCAGCGGCAGCGCATCACGGCTCTGCGGCGCGTTCGAGCTGCGACGACGAGCGCGTCGAGCGCTGCCACAGGCCGGCGCCGGTGGTGAAGGCGCTCGGCTCGTCGACTCGGCTACCGGCGTAGTACCGCGCGGCGCTCGCGGTCCAGCTCCTTCGACGCGCGCGCAGTCGCCCGCCCCTTCGACCATGGCGGCCCTGGCCCTCTCGGGCGTCCTGGACATCGGCAAGGCCGCGAAGCCCGAGGAGGAGGTCAGCGCGGCGGCGCAGCTCGCGTCCCCGACGTCCTTCGCCCTCGCGCCCGTCGTGGACCCCGCGGCCTACTCGGCGCAGAACTTCGGCGTGGGCTACGGCACGGACCACCACCAGGACGTCAAGTTCGCCAAGGGCACGACGACGCTCGCGTTCAAATTCAACGGGGGCGTCATCATCTCCGTCGACTCGCGGTCGACGATGGGCCCGTACATCGCGTCGCAGACGGTGAAGAAGGTCATCGAGATCAACCCCTTCCTCCTGGGCACGATGGCCGGCGGCGCGGCGGACTGCTCCTTCTGGGAGCGGAACCTGGGCACGCAGTGCCGCATGTTCGAGCTCCGGAACAAGCGGCGCGTGTCCGTCGCGGCGGCGTCGAAGATGCTCGCCAACACCATGTACTCCTACCGCGGGCGGGGCCTCTCCATGGGCACCATGGTCTGCGGCTGGGACGAGACGGGGCCCCAGCTCTACTACGTCGACGACGACGGCACGCGGCTCCACGGCAACGTCTTCTGCGTCGGCTCCGGGTCCACGTACGCCTACGGCGTCATCGACTCGAACCTGCGCGACGACCTCACGGTGCCCGAGGCCATCGACCTCGGCCGCCGCGCCATCGCCGGCGCCGCGCACCGCGACGCCTACAGCGGCGGCTGGAACAACCTCTACCACATGAAGGAGACGGGCTGGGAGTTCATCGGCGCCGTCGACACGAACGACCTCTACTACCACTACATCCACAAGGGCGAGGGCGGCGGCGCGCCGCTCCCGCCGCCCAAGCCCACGCCCTCCAACTGCTAGGCTCCGGCGCGGGACGGCGACGCGCCGACGAGCCCCACACCGCTCCGCGTCGCTCAAGGCATCCGCTAAAACTCGAGGAGGTCCGGCACTTCGCTGGGCGGCGGCGACACGGCGGCGTTGGCCGCGGCGTCGGGGTGGAGGGCCACCAGGGCCTCCGTGCAGGCCCATCGAAGTCCGGCGTCGAGGCCCAGCTCGGCGAGGAGCAGGCCCGGCAGCGCGTCCCGCAGCTCCGTGGCGTGGAGCCCGCGCCCGGCGTAGCGACGGGACGCGGCGGCGGCCGCCGCCGCGGGGTAGAGCTCGCCGACGACGCGCACGAGCTCCGGCGTGACGGCCCGATTCTGGCAGAGGACGTGCAGCGGGTACTTCCGCGCGAACCATTTCAGGTCTTTCACCGCCGCGCCGGGGCAGAGGCCGCCGACGCACCGCGCGAGGGCCGGGGTGACGGCCGGGTTGCAGCAGAGCACGTGCAGCGCCGTCCACCCGTTCTCGCCGCTCCTCGCGTCGGCCGCGGCCGGGTCCAGCGCCGCGATTGCCTCGACGAGCTCGACCGTGACCGCCGGGTTCGCGCAAACCACGTGGAGCGCGCCGACCCAGTCGTGATCGAGGTCGATGGCGCCGCACTCCCGCGTCGCCGCGGCCGGGTCGAGCGCGGCGACGGCGCGCGCGAGATCCGCCGTGACCTCGCGGTTGGCGCAGAGCACGTGGAGCGGCAGCTCGCCCGTGCGGCCGCGCTCGCTGGCCAGGGCGGCGTCGCTTGCCTGCACTTGCTCCACGGTCACGGACGGCGCCGCACACAGCGCGTGAAGCTCGTTGTCGCGCCATGTTGGATCGGCATGTCTCGCACGCTGTGCGCCAGCCTGCGGCGAACTCATGAAGTGCATGCTCACTCCCGACTAAAGCACGCCCTTGCGTGGAGGACTAGACCACGCCCTTGCTTGGAGGACTACTTGGAGGATTAAATTGTGCTCCATGCTGCATTCTCGAGCATCAACAACCACTCCAAAATCTTTCATATATCTGATGAGCAAACACCATCCATTTCTTTCGGCTTGGCCACATAAGCTCGTGCGCCGCATCCACCGCCCGTCGCGGCCCCGGTGCTCGCGTGCCTTGGCGCTGCGCCGGCCGAGGCCGTCACCAAACAAACACCCATGGCCCTGCGCTACGTCACGGAGGCGAAGCAGTTCGGCGCCGCGCTCTGCGGCTGCCACGCAATCTGCCGGGGCCTCTTCGGCAGCCACCTCGCGGCGCACGCCGTGCCCCAGTTCCTGGGCTTCGCGTTGCTCGCCGCCTGCGGCCTGCGGGCCTGGTTCGTCGACGGCGGCTACCTCGAGCTGGCGTCGACGCCCGGCGTGACGCGCGCGAGCGCCTTCGGCGAGCTCGCGAGCACGCTGCAGATCCCGTTCCAGCTCTACGAGCTCGCCTGCGCTCTGGGCGTGAAGCGGCTGCGGGGCAAGTCCTTCGAGCTCGTCGCCCACCACGCGCTGGCGCTGCTGCTGGCGGTCCTGAGCGCGCGCAAGGGCCTCTACTTCTACTACGGCGCGTACTTCATGGGCGTCTCGGAGGTGTCGAGCCTGCCCCTCGCGTTCGTCGACGCCTTCAAGATGTTCAAGCACCTGAAGCGCGACTACCCGACGGCCAACGCCATCGCGCGGCCGACCTTCGCCGTCTGCTTCCTCGCGCTACGGACGGTCTACTGGCCCGTCGTGTCCTACCACTTCTGGGCCGCGTCGCTCGCGCACGCCGGCGACGCCCTCGAGGTCAACACGTTCCTCGTCGTCAACATCCTCATGACGTCGCTCCAGGCCTACTGGACCAAGCTCATCCTCGAGGGCCTCTACAAGCTCGTCACGGGCGACCCGACCGCGGACGACGTCGGCAAGGACAACTGAGGGTGGGGTGCCGTAGGGGCCTCTCGGTTTTGTGTGGCGTCGTCGCGGGGGGTTGGGGACCGCGGCCGTCGCCGCCGGCTGCCCCGACGACGCGCTGCGGGTCTGGTGCGCCCTGGAAGGCTCCTGGACAACTCACGCTCGCCGATCGTCGAGCCAAGGTCTCTCACGCGGCAAATCCTCGGCGACCGCGCCGCTTCCTCGAGGTCTCGCGCGTGAATCATGATCGCGGCGGTGCTGCGCTGTATCACGGTCGCTCTCGCGATCGCGATAACGAACGCCGACGGCGACACGGAGAACCAGAAGCTCCCGCCCGTGGTCCTCAATGCGACGACGCTTCCCATCCTCCGCGGGTCGCCGCGCTTCGCCGCCGTGCGCTTCGCGCGGGCCGGCGACGGCGGGGACCCCTTCGACGGCTACTGGCAGCAGCTGTCCTGGAGCCTGCCGCCGGGCACCGTCTGGCGCGGCGACTGCGACGCGGAGCCGAAGGCGTGCGACGCGTGCGGCGACGCCGCGGCCGTCAAGGCCTGGACGGGCGACGGCTTCGTCGCCTACCCCGCCGACGCCCCCAAGGACGGCCCGTCGCTCATGGCCTGGCTCCAGGACCTCGACCGCGCGGCGCCGCCGCCGGGCGCGGCCTTGGACGGCGCGCCGCCGCGGGAGCCGGACAACTCGCGGCGCGTCCCCAAGGGCCGGCTCGCGCCCTGGACGGGCCAGGCGCTCCCGGCCCTGGTCTTCCGGCCGACGGCCAAGCCCGACGCCGCGGCCAAGAAGCGCAGGCGCACGCCCACGCTGCTCTACTTCCACGGCGGCAACGACGGACCGGAGTACGCCGCGAAATTCCAATCCGTGGCCTACTACCTCGACACGGACAAGCAGTTCGCCAAGGCCTTCCCCTTCCTCTTCCTCCAGCCCTGCACGGAATGCCAGCGCGACCGGACCATGGTCCATCGGGGCAACTTCCTCTACGCCGCGGAGGACGCGACGAAGCGACCGGCGTTCGGCGAAGTGGGCTTCACGAACCGCAACCTCGTGCGCGTGGACCGCGTCCTGGACGCCGCTCTCGAAAAGTTCCAGGGCGACCCGAAGCGCGTCATCCTCACGTCGACGTCCTACGGCGGCCGGGGCCTCTACCACTACGCGGCCAGGCGACGGGGCGTCTTCGCGGCTCTGGTCCCCATGGCCGCGTCGCTCTACCCGACGCCGAGCCTCGCGAGAAGCCTCTGCTGCCCGTCGGGCGCGCCGGAGTGCTGCCCGGCCGTGCGCCACTTCGTCGGGGCCAACGACCGGCCGCTCATGGTCGGAGGCCACGACCTGTGTGGAAATCAACCACTGGTTTGGGGGGTCCCCACCAAACTTCAGAACTCTCTATCTCGATCAAATCGAAGTCGATTCGGCTGATTTTTGGACGAATCGATTGCTCTCGTCGAGTTCTCGAAGCACAGCCGAAGAGTCCGACGCAATCCGTTCAATTACGCGCACATTGACGTCGGGTTGAAGATTTGATTTCCACACAGGCCACGACGCGTGGGACCGCGAGTACAAAAGCCAGAAGCGGCGCAAGACGGCCTACGCGTACACGAAATTCCCCTGGGCGCCGCCGCCGCGCCAGTCGGACTACGCCTACATGACGGGCCACGCGCCGGACCGCCTCGCGTGGCTCGCGAACGCGAGTCTGATCGAATGGATGCTCGACGTCGACTGCGACGCGTGCGCGGGCGCGGCGCCCTACTCGGAGGCGCTGCTCGCCATCGACGAGGTCGTCGTCGAACCGCCCGCCGTCGCCGGGCCGGCGACGCAGCTCCACGGGGCCGTCAAGTTCGGGACCCTGGAGGACGTGCGGGCGTTGGTGGACGCCGGCGCGGACCTCGCGGCGCGCGACGCGGGCGACAAGGAGCGCACGCCGCTCCACGTCGCCTGCCACCTCGCGCGCGACGACGTCGTGCGACTCCTCGTGGACCGCGGCGCGGACCTCGACGCGCGGGAGGTGCGGGGCTGGCGTCCCCTCCACGAAGTCGCGCACGCGGGGGGCCTCGCGACCGCGAGGTACCTCCTCGACGCGGGCGCGGACCTCGACGCGCGCGCCGACGGCGGCTGGCACGCGCTCCACCAGGCGTCGGGCAACGGCCATCCAGACTTGGTGCGGCTGTTCCTCGACGCGGGCGCGCGCGCGGACGTGCGGGCGGAAAATACGATGGAGCCGATCCACGCGGCCCTGCAGATGGTGAAGCCGAAGGTCGCCGCGCTGCTGATCCCGGCCCTCGACGGCGTCGTCGACCTGCGCGGCTACACGGTCGGCGAGCAGGGCATCCTGGCCCTCGCGGCCGCGCTGGGGACCGCGAAAGCGACGGCGATCTCCATCGCGAACGCGGGCTTCGGGCGCGAGGGCCTCGCGGCCCTCGTGGAGGCGCTCCAGGACCAGCCCGCGCTCGCGAAGTTGGACGTGACGCTCAACAACCTCCCGGGGCAGGCCGGGCCCATGCTCGCGCGGATCCTCGACGGCGCGCCGGCGCTCGAATTCCTGGAAGCGTCGGGCAACGGCCTCGGGGACGCGGGCGTCGCGGCGCTCGCGCCGGCGGTCGAGCGCCACCCCTCGCTGGCGCTCCTCGGGCTCCACAAGAACCAGCTCGGCGATGCCGCGGCCGCGGCGCTCGCGGCCGCGCTCGCGAGCGGCGCGCCCGCGCTCGCGTACCTCGGCCTGAACATGAACAGCGTCGGCGACGACGGCGCCGCGGCCCTGGCGGAAGGCCTGCCCCGGTTCAAGGCGCTCTCGACGCTCAAGCTCGACAACAACGCGCTCCACGGCGGCGTCGCCGCGCTCCGCGCCGCGGCCGAGGAGCTCCCGCGCGCGCTCGAGCTCCACGTCGACGGCAACCCGGGCGTCGGCGGCGGCGCGAGCATGCGGCCGGAGCTCTAGTTTAAGTCGTTGCTCGATGCTTGCCGGCGCGCCGCGGTGGAGGTTGAAGTCTAACGTCGGCTGCATCGTGGCTTCAATCACTCATTTAAAGCTCCGATCGATGGAGATGATGGGCGCCCGACAACCTTCGTTGGAGTTAAACAGGCGGGTGGAGCATTGCTAGGACGCTCGAGATGGACGCGGCGCCGGTCGACGACGACGTCGCGCGGAACGAGGCTCCGGACATTCCGTTCCATGATCCTCGAATCGAGGGATTCAACCGCGAGGACCGCGCGGCTACGCTCAAGCATCATGCCTACTACTGGCTGCGACGGCAGGATCGCTTCGGGGCCGCGCCTCCGGCGGAGCTGCCGCCTCCGCGGGAGCCGACGGCGCTGCCCGCCGGTCGGGAGACGGCGCTCGCGCTCGCGCTGTCGCTGGCGAGCGTGCGGGATCTCCTGCGATGCGCGTGCGCCTGTTCCGACTGGCGAGTCATTGCGGAGCGGTCGCTCGACGATCTGCTCTGTGGCGCGAGCGGCGTGGCCTGGGTGCCGCGGGGCACGATCGGCCGCCTCGTGGCCCTCGTCACGCCGGCGGACGCGCCGGACGAGGCCGAACGCTACCCGGGCGGGCGCCACTACACGTTCGGAGGGCTCGTCGGCGGCCTGGCGAGCGAGGACTACCGCAACGGCGACGTTGCAGGGATCTCGGGTTATATTGAGGAGGAGTCTCGCCTTCCGCGGTGCGCCTTCGAGCTGTCGGCTCGGCGGGGGCTCGGCGGCTGGGGCCTCCAGAGCGGCGCGCTGGGCACGTCCGAGGCGTCGCTCACGCGCGGGAACTGGCGGCTGATGGGGCCCCACTCCTTCGCGGCGTCTTCGGCCTACTTCCTCGAGTGCGGCAGCCTCCAAGGGAGGTTTATCGTCGAGCAGACCGTCGACGCGATCCTGGCGAGCGGCCTGAGTCTCGACGTGTGCGATGGCGCCGTCGAGGTGCGTGGTCCATTTCCCGCGCCGCTCGTGCCCGTCACGCGCCTCGAATGGAAGCGGGGGACGCGCCCCGGCACCATGACGCTCAGCGGCGACGCTCGACCGACGGGAGACGCGCCGCCGCGCGAGCCGGTCGCGTCCGCGCGCGAGCTCACGCGCTTCCTCGACCGGAGTCACGGAGAAGAGGTGTGCAGCGGGAGATACGCGTCCCACGGGTGCGCGTCGAGGAAGCCCGTCGCCTGGCGGCCGCTGAAGCCGCAGCCCATGGACCGGCGCCAGCGCACGTCCCTGCTCAAGCGCCTCGGCGGCACGCGGCGGCATGCCGAGGCGATCCACGCCGTCGAGGAGCACTTCTTCTGGGACCTCGCGCTCGTCGCGCACTTCGTGCTCGAGGGCGGCCGGTGGCGCCGGTCGCACTACAGCCTCCAGCGCGACGCGTTCGAGAACGAGATCCCGGAGGACCTCGCGTTTCCCTCGCTCACGGCGCTCGTCGCGTCGCTCGTATCCGACTGCGACTACGCCACGACGATGCTCCTCGCTCGACCCGGCGCGCGCCCGCGCGCGGCGCGCGGCGCGGTCGAACACGTGCTCCTCACGCTCGACGCCGCGTACTTCGACGACGACGAGGACGCCGAGGCGACGTTCGGGTACACCTACGTCCACCTCGAGCGCGGGCGGCCCCTGCGCTGCATGACGACGGCGCCCGGCGCGGACCTCAACGCGTTCCAGCCGTGCACCGTCAGCGAGCTCGACGCGAAGCTCGGTCCGACGGTCGAGCCGGAGCTCGAGCCGGGGGACGCGGACGGCACCTGGGCCTGCAGGAGCGTGGCCGCCGCCGAGCTCGTCGTCGTCGCCGCCGCGCCCCTCGCGCGGGACGCGCCCCACGCGCCCGCCGCTTAAAGTCCATGTTCTGTGAATTATCTGCCTCGCGCGCGGCACAAGTCTGCACTAGGATGTTAGCTCGCCGCCGCGGCCTTTCGCGCGGCCATGGCGGCGCGCACGTTGGCCTCGACCTCGGCCCGTTTGGCGGCGCGCGCGGCCTCGTCCTTGCGCCGCTTCTCCTCGGGGCTCAGCGCCTTCTTCTGGATCCAGGGCACGTCCTCGCCGCCCTTCTCGCGCGTCACGCGGAGCCAGTTCGCGTCGCCGGCGCCGCACGCGCCGCACGCCGGCGCCGCCGCGCCCGCCTCGCGCGGCAGCCCGCAGAAGCCGCACTCCCAGCAGACGGCCGCCCGGCCCATGGAGTGGCTCGACCCGTCCGGGTTCGTCGCGTAGATGTCCAGCATGTCGCTCGTCGTCTTCTGGAGCTTCTCGGCCTGGTCGACCATGCCGCAGCGCAGGAAGAGCTCGGCCGCGTTGTGCAGGTTCCGCGGCATGTTCTTATCGCGCGCCTCCTGGCCCGCCTCGCCCAGGACCTTGACCAGCGCGAAGCGCGTGTCGACCTTGAGGTGGACCTCGCGGAGGACCTCCTCCTGCGCCGCCATCGCTTCCGGGGGATCGCCGGGTTTTGCTGCTGGGTGCGGCGTTTGCAGGGTGACAGGGGCCGCGAAGGCTCGAGTTCGAGGTGGCGCGCGACGCTGGCACCCGGACGACGGGCTGCGCTCCCGTCGCCGAACCGAAGCTTCGCGAAGCTTCGACGTCGAGCGTGTCGAACGCTGCAAGAGCGCCGCCGGCGCGCGCCGCGCTGCCGCACCCCAGCCCATGGCCGCGCTCCAACCGAGCACGAGCAACGCCGGCAGCACGGAGCCCTTCGACGTCGTCGTCGTCGGCGCCGGCCTCGCGGGCCTGACGACGGCGTCGCGGCTGGAGAAGGCGGGCCGCACGGTGCTGGTCCTCGAGGCGCGCGACCGCGTCGGCGGCCGCCTGCTGTCGACGGACGACGGCGTCGACTACGGCGGGAGCTGGATCTGGAGCGGCGACTCCCGCGTGCGCGCGCTCGGCGCCGAGCTCGGCGTCGGTACGGTGCCGCAGAGCTTGGAAAACGCGTCGTCGCGCGTCATCGACGGCCGCGAGCGGAGCCTCGAGCGCATGGGCGACGGCCTCGCGCCCTGCGGGCCCGGCGCGAGCCGCTGGGTCGGCGGCGCCGCGGCGCTCCCGACATCGCTGGAGGCGTCGCTGGAGAAGAAGCCGAAGCTCGGCTGCCGCGTCGCGGCGGTCGTCGAGGAGGCGAACGACCGGCGCCGCGTCCACTACTACGAAGACGGCGCCGACCTGCCCGCGAGCGTCGCCTGCCGGCGCGTCGTCGTCGCGGTACCGCCCGCGGTGCACGCGCGCATCCGCTACGAGCCGCCGCTGCCCCGCGAGCGGCTCGAGCGATGCCGCGACGTCGCGACGTGGTGCGGCGACTGGTGCAAGATCGTCGCCGCCTTCGCCGTCCCCTTCTGGCGCGACCGGGGCCACAGCGGCGTCGTCGACCACCGCGACGAGCCCCACACGGTCTGGTGGGACGGCGGCGCGGCGAGCCTCGTGGGGCTGGCGGCGGGCGAGCGCACGCGCGCGTTCGCGGCCATGGACGACGCCGCGCTCCGGAAGCTCGTCGTCGAGGTGCTGTCGCCCGTCTTCGGCGACGACGTCGAGGCCCACCTCGTCCGGGTCACGGCGAAGGCGTGGATCGCCGACGAGGCCACCTACGGCGGCGGCAAGCTCCTCTGCTACGGGGACCCGCTGCTCCGCGAGCCCCACGGCGGCGTCCACTTCGCGGGCGCGGAGACGGAGCCGGGCAACGGCCACAAGGAGGGCGCCGTGCGCAGCGCCGAGCGCGTCCTGCGCGAGCTCGGCGTCGCGTGGTCCTAGGGCGAGTAAAGCGCCGAAGCTCCCCGCGGCGCTCGGCGACGCGCGCGCGGTACTGGCGAGATCTCTAGTGCCACGCGCTGTAGACGCTTTACGCGCGCTCGGGGTCGGGCGTCGGGGGCTGGCGGAGCGCGTCCGAGACGTCGGAGCGCGAGAGGCGGTGCCGCGGCGGGATCCACGCGTGTTCGTCGTGCTCCGAGTCGTCGTCGCCGACGTCGCGGGCCGCGGAGACGCGGCCGCCGAGCGCGAGGCGCCGGTGCTCCTCGACGCGGCGGTCCAACGCGTGGCGCGCGATCTCGTGCGAGTCCGCGAGGACCTGGTGGAGGAGGACCTCGCGCTCCGAGTCCGGGATGAGCCCCTTCTTCGCGAGCGAGAGGACCTCGGCGCGCTGGTACGCGACGACGCGCGCCGACACGAGGAGCGTGCGCATGGTCCGGCGCACGCGCGGGTCCATCGTCGCGAGGACGGCCTCCGCCTCCGCGAGCTCGCGCGCCGACTCCGCGCGGAGCATCTCCGTGACCTTTTCCAGCGTGTCGTGGCGGTACTCCGCGGCCATGCCGCGCCAGTGGGCGCAGACGTCGTCGACGACCTTGGCGTGCGCGCGCTTGAACGCGTGGAGGCACAAATAGGTCTGCTCCTGGACGCCGAAGCCGACGTCGCCGACGTTGCGCAGCAACTGGCCGAGCGGCCCGACGCCGAAGAAGAGGTGGATCATGTTCCACGCGCCCGGGCACGCGCGCTTGAAGTCGCAGCAGCGGTGCGTCGCCTTCGCGCGCGTGTGGTCGGGCACGACGCAGTGCTTCTTCAAAAAGGAGAAGTCGTCGAGCGCCGTCTCCGCGTGGTCCAACGCCAGGTCCGTCGACGACAGGAGCCACTCCGCGACGGCCGACCCCTCGGGGAGGCGGCCGTCCTGGACGAGGCGCCAGTACTCCGCCGTGAGCGCGTGGAGGAACATGGTCCGCGCGGCGACGAGCAGGTCGTCCTCGGAGATGGACGCGACGAGCCGCGTCGTGTAGGACAGCCCGTTGTTGGTCGACGACTCCCGGAGCTCGCGGAGGCTGCCCGGCGTCGGCGGCCCATCCGCGGGCGTCGACGGCCGGTAGCGGAGCACGCTGCAGAGCTTGAGCACCGCCGCCGCGTCGAAGTCGTTCTCGCCCTCGCTGCGCGCGCGCAGCTCGTCGAACATCTCGCGGCACCGATGCCCTACCGTCATCACCACAAATCGCCGCACGACGAGCGTCCGCGCGTCCGGCGTCGCGAGGCCCAACGCCCGGAGGAGCGGGCCCGCCGTCGCGCCGTTGACCGCGAGCGTGAGGAAGGCCTGGACCGCGACGTGGAAGAGCAGCTGCGCGCCGCGGCGCGCCTTCGCCGCGTCTTCGCCGTGATAATCGTGCGTGACGACGATCGCCAGCGCGAGGGAGATGGCGCCGCGGAGGCCGCCCCAGGCCATGACGCAGCCCTCCTTGCGCGAGAGGAACTTGCCCGCGCCCTTCGTTTTCGGGTCCTCGAGCGCGGCGATGGCCGGCCAGACGACGAGGAGCATGAGCGCCCGCGACGCGTTCAACGCCGCGTAGACCGATAGGGCGACGGGCAGGTCGCGCTCGAGGACGACGCCCGAGCGGTTCCTGATCATCTCCTTCATCGCCAGGACGCCCGAGAGCAGGAAGATCAAGGTATTCGCGACGAACTCCAGCGTCGACCAGACCGTGTGGATCGTGTGCGGGTTCGTGAGCAGCGGCGGCGCGTAGCGAGCGAGCACGAGGCCGCAGAAGACGCAGGAGAGGATGCCGCTCGACGCGCAGACGTGCTCGGCGACGAAGAACGACATGTACGCGGAGACGATCGTCGTCACGACTTGGAGTGTTGTATCGACTTCCTCGAAGCGGCGCACGGCCAGCAGCAATAGAAAGAGCGTGCCGAAGCCGAAGACGACGCCGATCGCCGGGCCGCCGACGGCCAGACGCAGACAGAAGCGGACGACGCGGCCCGGCTCGAGCGAGTCGCCGTCGACGACGACCCCTAAAAAGAGGAAGAAGAGCGCCGCGGCCGTGCCGTCGTTGAAGAGCGACTCGCCCATGATGACCATCGTCAGCGCCGGCGACGCGCCCAAATTCTTGAGCAGCGCGACGATGGCCACGGGGTCCGTCGCGCTCAATATGGACCCGAAGACGAGGCAGAACGCGAAGGGCCAGTCGTAGGGCAGGCAGCCGTACGCAAAGGCCGCGAGCGCGAAGGTCCCCAGGACGACGCCGGGGCCCGCGAGGATCAGCACGTGCGGCAGCTTCTGCCAGAGGAGGTGCGTGTTCACGGTCATGGCGTCGCCGAAGAGCAGGATCGGCAGGAACGCGTAGAGCAGCAGGTGCGGGTCGATCTTGCCCCAGGCGCGGAGCGACTTCGAGAGCGCGCCGAGCGGCAGCGGCCGCGGCGCGGCGTGGTGGTGCACGGCCTCGAGCATCATGCCCCAGGCGAAGAGCGCGAGCGTGTAGGGCGTCTTCGGGAAGAAGTGGTTGATGCAGAAGAGGGACACGAGGCCGAGGAAGAGGCCGACGCTGAGGAAGACGAGCACGAGGTAGCCGTTCTCGGGGACCGAACCCTCGTGCGCCGCGTCGTGCGTGCCGCCGTCGTGGCCGAAGGGCGTCTCCGCCAAAACGCGGGCGTCGTTTTCGCACGCGCCCCGCGTCCACCGCGCCGTCGCCCCGGCGCACCAGGCGTCGCCCCAGGACGCGTAGGTCCGCCCGTTCGAGCAGATGGGGTCGTCGATCGCTTCGAACTGGGCGCGGCACGCGTCGTCGGCTACTGTGGTGGCGAGGACGAGGAGCACTCCGATTGGAGTTCGGGGGATGATCATAGTCCGCGCCTCACACGACCGCAAGCTGATATTCGGGGCCCCGCTCGACGATGCGGGTGCGACGAGCGTTTTGCCTCAAGCGTTTTCGCGATCGATCGGGCGGCCGCCAGCGCATCAGCAAGCACGTGACGGCCGAAGGATGATAAGGATGGACACGCCGCGATGCGCCCTGGCGCTGCTGCTCGCCACCGCTTCCGCCCTCCAGCTCAATCGCCGCGCCTGCCTGCAGGCCGCGGGCGCCACGGCGCTGACGGGCGCCGCGCCGGCGACCGCCGCGGACCCGCTGAGCGGGTCGCAGTGCTACGCCGTGCTGGCCGACAGCTCGCTGGCCATGAACCCGCGGCTGGAGAAGCGCGGGTCGGCGGCGACGGTGGCGTCCTTCCGGAAGACGCGCGCCGTCTTCCTCGGCGAGCACCACAACTCCGCCGCGGACCACCAGTTGCAGGCGGACATCATGGTCGCCGCGAGACGGGCGGAGCCGCGGCGGCCCATGGCCGTGGGCCTCGAGGCCGTGCAGCGGCGCTTCCAGCCCGTCTTGGACGCTTACGTCGCCGGCGACCTGACGCTCGCGGAGGTGGAGAAGCAGACGGACTGGGAGAAGCGCTGGTTCTGGCCCTTTTCGCGCTACGCGCCCGTCTTCGAGGCGGCCAAGAAGAACAACTTCAAGCTGTTAGCGCTCAACGCCGATTCCGAGGACCTCGCGCTGGTGGAAGTCGGCGGCCTGAGGAACCTGCCCAAGGAGACGCTGAAGAGCTACGTGCCCTCGGGTCCGATGTTCCGCGACTTCGCGAGCACGACGGCTTTCAAGGAGTACATCGCCTACGTGATTCTCCCGTCCTACAATTCCCACAAGGAGATGGGCATCCTCCGGCAGACCATCACGGGCGAGAAGCTCGACCAGGACATGCCCTTCGTGAACTTCTACAGCGGCCGCATGCTCTGGGACAACTCGATGGCGACGACGTCGGCGGCCTGGCTCGCGGCGAACCCGACGGGGCTGCTCGTGAACTGCATCGGCGCGGACCACGTCAAGTTCGGCGGCGGCGTGCCGAACCGGCTCGCGTACGTCGCGGGGCTCGACCTCGACGCCGTCGCGTCCGTCGTGCTCAACCCCTCCGTCGTCGACACGGCGGGGCCCCAGCTCGCGCGGCTCGCGTCCGACGAGGAGCGGCTCCCGCTGACGCTCCAGATCCGCTACGCGGCCAAGGACGGCGACGGCGGCATCCCGGTCGTCGGCGGCGACGCGACGCTCGACACGGGCCTCGCGGCCGCGCGGAAGCAGGTCCGCGCGGGGTCCCGCGTCCTGCCCTTCGCGGACTACCTCTGGATGTCCGCCGCGCCGGCGTAAAAAACTTCGATCGACCCTTTTAGCTTTGCGGCAACGTCGCGGCAACATAGCTTCAACATACAACGATTCATATTCTTGAATCGTCCAATCACAGCCATCGACGCCGCGCAAGCCGCTGCACGCAACGATGGAAACGGCTCTCGCGCTCGCCGGCGTCGGCGGCGTCGCCTACTGGGCGTCGCGCAAGCGGCGGCGCGGCGACGACGTCGACGACGCCTCGCTGGCGGCGAGCAAGCGCGTCGTCGCCCGGCTGCTCTGCGACGGCCACGGCATCGCCGACGTCGAGGCCTGCACGGCGAAGCTCGCGGCCCTCATCGCCGGCGGCGCCGGCAAGCTCACCGTCGTCGCCGACTTCGACCGCACGTTGACGACCGCGGACAGCGCGTCGGCGCACGGCGTCCTCGCGAAAGCGTTGCCCGACGCGTTCCAGAAGACGGAGAAGGAACTCTTCGCCCACTACTACCCCATCGAGAAGGACCTGGACATGCCGCTGGAGAAGAAAATTCCGCTCATGACGGAGTGGTACGGGAAAAACCACGCGGCGATGGCGAAGTACGAGCTGACGCGGGCGAAGATGGCCGACGCCGTGCTCGAAGCGGCCGGCCACGACTTCGAGCTGCGGGAGGGCGCCATCGCGGCGCTGGATCTGTTGGAGACGGCCGGCGTGAAGCTGCAGGTGTTTTCCGCGGGCGTCGGCGACGTCATCGACGTCGCGCTCGAGGAGATGTACGGCACGCTCGCGGAAACGACGACCGTCGTCTCGAACCGCATGATCTGGAAGGACGGCGTCCACGCCGGCTTCACGGAGCCGCTGATCCACATGTACAACAAATCGCAGAAATCCGTCGGCGCCGCGCTCGAGAACGCCGTCCTCGTCGGCGACTCGCTCGGCGACAGCACGATGGCTGACGGCGCGCCGGCGGGGCCGGCCGTCGCGCTGAAGATCGGCTACCTGAACGCGCCGAGCCCGAGCGCCGACGCGCGGGCCAAGTACGCGCGCGCCTTCGACGTCGTCGTGCGCAACGACGACGACGCGACCATGGGCGCGCTCCGCGCCGTCTGCGGCGCGATCGTCGCGCCGGCGGCCTCCTCGCAGAAGCGCGCGAAGTAGACGACTTAGATCGACGCGGCGGTTCGAGGGGGATAAAAACAGTTCTCAGGAGTGCATCTTCGCGTCGTCGCGCGCGGCGTCCGCGGCCGCGGGCTTGGCGTCGAGGGTCACGAGGGGCACGGTGTCCGCGTCGGCGAGGTAGTTGGCGCCCACGCGGCCGTGGACCGCGCGGAAGTACGCGTCCGGCGCCGTCTTGATGTGCTTCACGTGCGGCGACTCGTCGAGCACGAGCGTTTCGACGTCGTCGCCGCGCGCGCGCCAGGATGCGATGATGGATTCGTTCGTGGCCACGGACGAGATGACGTCGTTCTTCGCGTAGATCCAGACGGACGGCGCGCGCGGCGCCATGGCGTGGAACCGCGCGGACGACTCCTCCCAGGCCGTCGTGTCGATGAGCGACAGGTAGCCGTCGATGGCCCGCTGGGCCGCGCCGGCGAGGGCCGAGCCCTCGCCGAAGACGGCCGACGACACGCCCTTGGGCACGCCCTCGAAGTCCACGGGGCTGTCGTAGACGCCGCAGGCGACGCGGCCGTGGAAGTCGCCGCGCTCCGCCGCGTCCGGCACGAGCTTCTCGAGCTCCCAGAGCAGGTTGCCGCAGCTGTAGGCGCCGGCGGAGATGCCGTTGAAGATGACCGGCCGGCCCGCGAGCGCCGGCGCCTCGTGCAGGGCCTCGAGGAGCTCCGCGGCGACCTGCGTCGACGCCGCCGGGTCGATGACCTGCCGCGGCGGGCACGCCCAGGTCACGCAGTCGATGCCGCAGGCGTGGAAGACGCGCGCGTAGTGCGACAGCTGCTTCTGCGTGCTGCTCGTCCAGCCGAAGATGAGCGCCACGGGCGCGTCCGCCGCGCCCTTCGTCGGGACCGGGCAGGGCGTCCACTTGCACGATTCCGGCAGGGCGGGAGCGGCGCTGAAGGCGCGTTTCGTCGCGAGGGCGCGGCGGGCGAAGGCGCGCGCGGCCATGTTGTTCGTGGACTGCAAAAGCGCGCACGGCGCGTGGATCCTCGTGCTCGCGTGGTCCTCAAGCGGGCGACACACAATCACGCTCGTCCACGACGGCTTCGCTGACCTCAAATGGGAGGCAGCCCGTAAGTGCCGTCACGATGGTCGCCCTGGCGTATCGATGATGCCCGTCCACAACGCGTGGCTGGCGCTCATCCTGTGCGCCGCCTCGGCAAAGCAGCCGAGCGCCTACAAGCGCAGCGGCCTCGCCTTCTTGCGCATCGCCGCGTCCATATGCGCACACTGAAACCGGCATCGCACGTCTCACACAGCGCGCACCCGCGCAGGCACATCCCGAAGTCCGCCGGCGCGACGATCGAGACGAAGACGGGCCGGCGCATGGCGCCGCCGGGCGTCAACTGGCACTTCCACGTGACGTACCCGGGCCACAAGGCGCCGCGGAGCTGCCCCTACTGGCACGTACCGCCGCGGTACCTCGGCAACGCGTCGACCTACGAACCCAACTCGACCTGGTGCGTCGTGAGAGACCCGGCGGACCGCGCGCTCTCGGCGTTCAAGGAGCGCGTGGCTCCGGACGCCGTCGGCGACGCCAAGCAGGCGAGCGCCTGGCTCCTGAAGACGCTCGCGCCCGGCGTCTTCCCCGTCGGCCGCCAGTGCCACCTCGTGCCCCAGTCGACCTACGTCTTCGACGCGGCCGGCGCGCGGACCTGCGCGCACGCGCTCCGCTTCGAGCGGCTCCCCGACGAGTTCGACGCGCTCATGGAGCGCTACGGCGTGCCCTGGCGCTGGGCCGAGAGCTTCGGCGGCACGAACCGCATGCACCACGCGCCGTCGAACCTCACGGTCGCCGCCCTCGAGCCCGCGGCTATCGCGAGGGTGAGGGAGGTGTACCGCGGGGACTACTGCGCGCTCGGCTACGACGCCACGGCTTGCGGCCGACGACCATGACCGTAACATACAGTTAGGACGGCAGTCCACTACGGCGTCATGACCGTAAGCACGCAGTTAGGACGGCAGCTCCACGACGGCCACGAAGGTCGCGCCCGCGGCGTCCGTGAGGGGCAGGAGGTCCGGCCGGAGGTCCGCGGCGCGGACGACGTCGAACTTCGCGGCGGCCGGCACGCGCCTCTTCGCCGCGAGGGCGAAGTGGGACATGGTCGTCCGCGCGTTGACCTCGAGCAACCGCACCTCGAGGCCCGCGGCGCCGCGGACGACGGCGACGTCCGCGCCGCACGTCGCCGAGCCGCAGGTCCCGGGCACGTCGAGCGGCTCTAGGAACGCCTCGATGGCATGCGTTTCAAAAACAAAAGCGTAGACCTCGGCCGAGTAGCGGTCCTTCGGGTCGCCGAGGTGCTGGCCCGTCCAGCGCATGTGGTCCACGGCGCACTGGCTCACGCCGACCCATGTTCCGCAGTCCCACTCGCCCGTGAACTCGGCGACGACGTCGTAGAGCGGCTCGGCCGTCACCCGCCCGTCGCGCCGGAGCTGGTTGGCGAGCCAGCGGAGCGCGGCGCCGCCGTCGTCGAGCGCGTCCGCGACCAAAGCGCCGAGGCCCGACGACGAGTACTCGGCCTTGAGCAGCGTCCGCCCGCTCCGGACCGCGGCGCGCGCGTCGTCGACGGTCTCGCAGACGGAGACGTCGCTCCGGTAGCGCGCGACGTTGGACCGCCGGAGGTGGGGGCCGGGCACGCCCCAGGGCCGCGGGACGGCGCCGCGAGGCGCCTCCGCGACGAACACCGGCATCTCCTCCAAATCGACGCCCGCCGCCGCGAGGCGCTCGTAAAAGGCCGGGCCGGGGAGTTCCTGCGCGACGACGACGTCGCCGGGCCCGCCGAGGACCCAGGGCAGGGCGCCGAGGTCCCGCCGCAGCGTCCGGAAATTCTTCGGCGGCTCGCGACCCGCGGCGACGGCCTCGACGCCGACGGCGTAGTCGTAGGCGCGCGGCGGCTCCAGGCACGCGAGGCACCGTGTGATATCGGCGTCGACCCGCCCGCGCCGCCGCGCCTTCGTGGCCGCCGGCGCCGAAAAGGCCGCGGCGACGGCCGCGGCGCCGCCGCACGCCGCCGCGACGTCGCCGCGGCGCGCCGCGGCCGCGCGCGCCGTCGCCGCGAGCGCCTTGGCGGCCCAGCGCACCGCGTCGGCCGTCGCCGCGGGCCCGGCCACCGCCGCGACGGCCGCGGCGGGCGCGCCCGCGGCCAGCGCGAGATCCGCGCGCGCGGAGGAGCCCTCGACGACGCACGCGTAGCACGCCAGCGCCGCGGCGACGACCCCCTCGTCGTCGGCGCGCGCCGCCGCCGCGGCGGCGTCCAGGGCCCCGGCGTCCGCCGCCGCGCGCCGGTTCGCCTCGTGGTCCCGCGCGGCGAACGCGACGGCCCGGAGGCCCGCCGCCGCGGCCGCCGGCGCGCGAAGGCCGATGTCCGCGCCGCCGCTCCCGAGCAGCGCCGCGGGCGCCGCGCCGCACGCGTCCTGCATGCGCGTCGACCGCACGCACAGGTTCCAGACGCAGTGCGCGCGCCAGCGGAAGTCGCCGTCCGTCGCCGCGGCCGCGACGGCGGCGACGACGGCCGCGGCGCCGTCGTCGCCGACGACCGCTTTGGCCGGATCCGCGTCGCCGCCGAAGCACGCGCTGCCCAGGCTGCGGCAGCTCTGCGTCGCGAGCGGCGCCTCGCGGCTGTCGACGCGGTTCACGAGCGCCGCGACGGCGCCGGACGCGACGAGCGCGCCCCGCGCCGCGCCGCCGGCGGCCGCGACGTTGCCGAGCGCCGCCGCCGCCTCGGCCGCGACGCCCGGCGCCGCCGAGTCGAGCGCCGCGACGGCGACGGCGACGGCGCCGCCGAGCGCGAAGGCCGGGGCTTGGACGCGGTCCTTTTCGAGTCGAATTGCTTCCGAGCGCAGGAGCCTGACGAGCTGGAGCTCGAGGGTGTCTTGGCCCTTGGAGGAGGCCCAGGCCGCGGCGAGCAGCGCCGCGCTCTCGTCGCCGCGCAGGTGTTGCACAGCCTTGCGCAGGCCGCTGATGAGCGGCGGCGGCTTCACGCCAGCGTCGCTGGGCTTCATGGAGCCGGGCATGATCGATCACTCCATGCCCACAGCTCGCTGAAAATTGAGGTAAATGCCGCAGGGAAAGTGACCTTCACCTCGAGCCTAGGGCTGCCACCTAGCGGTTTGGGAGGCGCAGAAGCTGAGCACGCGACGGGCGGGAGCTGCCTGCGAGCCGGTCCAAAATCCCCTGGGAGGGACGTACAAAACACCATGTCGCTCCTCGAGTCGATGAACGACGACCTCGTCGACGTCATCGCGGGCTTCCTGCGGGGCCGCATGGTCGCGTCGGCGTCCGTGGGCGTGCGGAGCTGGGCGCGGCTGCGCGACAACCAGCGCTTCTGGTACGGCCGCTGCTGCGCCGAGCAGAAGCTCGCGGGCTGGGCCTTCGAGGACGCGGCGTGCTGGCGGTCCGCGTACGCGCGGCTGGCCGGGGCGGTGCGGTCGGGCCGCTGGGTCGCGGGCCCCTTCCGGCGCCACGGCCTCGAGGACCGCGTCGCCGCGCCGCAGCTCTTCGCGTCGCGGTACGGCGGCACGCTCTACAACTACGGCGGCTGGACGCGCGGCGGCCCGCAGACGGACCTCCGATGGGTCGCGAGCGCGACGGTCGAATCGGCGGCGCGCGGCGCGGGCGACGCGCCGCCGCTCGAGTTCGCCTACTGCCGCAGCGCCGGGCGGCCGGCCGTGAACGGCGGCGCGCAGACGCTGACGCCGCTCTGGACGGCCGGCGGCGCCGGCGCGCCGTCCGACGGCCACGCGGCGAGCTGCCTGAGGCGCGGCGGCGGCGAGGACGTCGGCGCCGCGCTGTCCCTGGTCGTGGCCTACGGCGGCGGCGGCGGCGGCTACCGCCACGAGCACAACGACTGGGCCGTCGGGGTGCTGGAGGAGCCGCGCGCGGGCGGCGCGCTGGACGAACCGCGAGTGCGCTGGGTCCGCGCGGGCGGCGCCGCGGGCGACGAGTTCCGCGAGCGCTGGGCGCCGCGGCCGCCGGCGGACGGCGAGCCGCTGCCGCGCTGCGCCCACTCGGGCACCTACGTGCCGAGCCGCTGCTTCGCGGCGGGTTTGTTCGAAGAAGGCTGCGTCGTCTTCTTCGGGGGCCACAGCGCGAACACGGCCGTGACGCTCGCCGCGGCGCAGTTCCTGGACGTCAAGACCTGGACCTGGCTCGCGGCGCGCGACGACGGCGTCGCCGAGGGCGACGTCGCGCCGCGCGCGCGCCACGGCCACTCGGCGTCGCTCTACGAAGCGCCCGAGGGCGCGTACTTGATTTTCGCGGGCGGCGGCGAGGGCATCATCCTCGACGACCCGCGGGAGTGCGTCGACGCGTCGGACGCCCAGGCGCTCTTCCTCGGCGACGTGTCGTTGGACGCCGGCGCCGTCGAGGGGCTCGAGTGGCTGCCCGTCGTCGACCTGCGCCACGAGTCGTACGCGCCGGGCCGGCACCACACGGCGGCCCCGGTCGGCGAGGCGCAGGTGGCGCTCTACGGCGGGGGCCACCGGCCCGACGGCGCGCTCGTGCGGCTGGATCTGGGCGCGGTGGTGGCGGCGGGGCGGCGGCCCGCGCCGCCGCGGTCCGTCGACCTGGTCGACGTCGACGGCGGCCGCGCGGCGCCCAAGCCGACGCCGCGCAAGTTCCACGCCATGGCGTCCCTCTACCCGAAGCTGCCGCTCGTCGTCGTCCACGGCGGCTGGCGCTACAACCCCCACTTCGACGATTTGTGGATCGCGGCCGTCGCGCCGGACGACGCGGACCTCGCCGGGTTCCGCGAAGCGCGGCGCCGCGTCCGAGGGGGGCCACTCGTCGCGGCGCGCCCGGGCCGCCTCCCGGCCCTGTTCTTTTCCATCTTCGCCCGGCTGCGCGGGCTGCGGCGCTTCCCGCGGCGATGACGGCGTCCGGTAGGCGAGCGGCGACGACGGCGGCGACGACGCCGAGGACGAGGACCGCTACTACGAGATGACCATCACCTTCGCGCCGCCGGGGGGCGAGCCGCGGGCCGTGCGCATCAACCGGGGCACGCTCCTCCAGCTGCTGGACCAGGGCCGCCTGCGGCTCCTCGAGGACGGCACGTTCACGCTCGACGACGACGACGACGACGAGAGCGACGACGACGACGACGAGAGCGACGACGACGACGAGCGGCGGTCGTCGACCTACGAGGACCACGTCGTCGACGACACGGACGACGACGACGACTTCCGCGCGGCCGAGGAGGCCGACGACCTCGACGACGACGACGACGACGACGACGACGTCGGTCCCGACGCGCCGCCGACGCCGCCGACGCCCAAGGCCGCCGTCGCGCCGCCGACGCCGCCGCCGGGCCTCTGACTTTGGGCCTTTGGCGGCGTAGGAGTAACCATGATTAGGCGACCCGGCGATCCCCCGCGCTCGCTAGTCGACGCCGTTCTCCTCAAAATTCTTGAGCGCGAAGGACGAGCCGCAGCCGCAGGCGCTCTCGGAGTTGGGGTTGTGGCTCACGACGAAGGCGCTGCGGATCATCTCCTCCTCGAAGTCCACCGTCGCGCCTCGTACGAATTCGATGCTGCTGTCGTCGACGACGACGTCGCAGCCGTCGCGCGAGAAGACGAGGTCGTCCTCGTCCGTCGGCGCCACCGCGGACTCGATGGTGAACTTGTACCTGTCGGGGACCGGGTCGGACACGCGCGCGCGCGCGCGAGGACCGTTTCGCGCGAGACCGCGGGGACGCCGGCGCCGCGCTCGAAGCCGGAGCAGCCGCCGCCGTCGATCTGGAGCCGCAGCCGCGCCGCGCTTCCGTCGTCCGCCGTCAACCGACCGATGCGCTGCGAGGGGGGGCGGGTCGTCGGCCGGGGCGCGGGGCGCAGGAGGTGGCGGCGCGGGGGCGCACCTTCGCGGCGCCCTTCGTGACGATGACGACGTCGTCGAGGCCCTCGATGGGCGCCTGGCTGAGATGCCGCGCGACGGGATGTCGGAGAGCGGTGCGGCCGAGCGCGGGCGCGCGTTGCGCTCGTCGAAGAAGCCGGAGGGATGGGAGCATCGTGGAGCTGCTGCTTCGTCCCGGCAACACGCGACGCGGTCGCCGCGCCGGCCGCGCCGCGGCCGCGGCGTCGCCCCGCACGCCGTCGGTGCGCGCGGCGCTGGAGCGCACGACCTCGGCCGAGATCCGCCCACCGCAGCGCCGCGTCAAACTACGAGTTACTAAAGGCGTCGTTGAGCCACGTTTCGGCGGTGGCAGCGCCGCCACGATAGGCGTCGTGGAGCCACGTTTCGGCGGCGTCCGAGGCGGCGCTGCAGCACGCGCACCCGCTGCACGAGCCGCCGTCGTCGAGGGTCTTGTTCCTGAATGCAAAGGTGAAGCTCCGTGGTCGAATTGCACCCAGAGTGCTACCGTTTACCCACGCCTCTTACGCGCCGCCGGCCTGGGCCGCCCCGCCGCCGCGCGGCCCGCGGCGGCGAGCGCGTCCCCGTCCGCCGGCGGGCCGAAGGCGCGCGCGGCGGTGACGGTCGCGGCGACCTGGTCCGCCGTCTTGCAGCCCGGGATGGCGACGACGCCCCCGTGCGCCGTGAGCCAGCGGAGCGCCGCGGCCGCAGGCGCGTCGCCGAGCCGGCGCAGGAGCGGCTTGAGCTTCGCGTCGTCGGCGCGTCCGAAGCCGCGTTTCGCCGCGTTCGGCAGCGGCGGCCGAAGCTCGCCGTCGACGACGCGCCGCGCGAGGCGGCCCGACGCCAGGGGCGCATAGGCGAGCAGGGCGACGCCGCGCGCCGCGCACCAGTCGTGGACGCCGTCGCGCGCGAACGCGTCTTGCGAGAGCAGCGACGCCTCGACCTGCGCGGCGCCGAGCGCGACGCCCCGGCGCTCGAGCCGCGCTCGCAGCCGTTCGAGCTGGGCGACGTCGTGGTTGCACGCGCCGACGGCGTCGCAGAGGCCCGCCTTCGCGACGGCGGCGAGGCCGTCCGCGGCGCGCTCGATCGGCTCGCAGACGCTGTGCAGCTGGTAGAGCGCGACGCGGTCGACGCCCAGACGCTCGCAGGACGCCGACGCGGCGGAAACGAGCTCCGAGGGACGGCCGCCGCCCTTGGTCGCGACGAAGACGTTCGTCGCGTTTCGCGCGAGCCCGGCGCCGACAAGCTGTTCCGAAAGCCCCGCGCCGTAGTCGTCGGCCGTGTCGACGAGGCCGCCGCCGCCGTCGACGAACGCGTCCCAGGCGCGCAGCACGCCGCGGCGCGTGAGCCGCGCGTCCCAGGTCCTCCAGCCCCACTTGGCGGCGCCCCAGCTCCAGGTGCCCAGGCCGACGGCCGGGACCTCCAGGAACGCGTCGTCGAGCGCGCGGCGGATGCGCACGGTCTCCGAGGCCTGTCCATTGTCACCAGCGCTGCCCGAGGTCTTCCCATCGAGCATCATCTCGTCACCATCGTTTCCCGCTTCACGGCAACATTCAACTCTCTTTTTGGTTGACGTTTTTGTGCGTAGCTGAGTGATTTCGGGCTTTGCCTCGGCGCATCGTCGGTCGTCAAAATGCCGCCGCGCCGCATCAAGAAGGACCCCAAGGCGCGCCGCGGCGTCCCGTCGCCATCCGCATACCACCGCGCGCCCGCCGCGCGCCCTACCACCCCCGCCCCGCGCGCCCGCCGCCGCGCCGCGCGCCATGGAAAACGCTCCGTCGAAATCGCTCGCGTCGGCGGAAAAACGACCCCGCTCCCTTAGGCGGACTGGCCGCGCCGCGAGGATGGGACCATGGTCAACCCGAACACGGAGGAGGGCCTGCTCATGAAGGGCCTCATGCACAAGCTGCCCGTCAAGGGCGAGGTGCCCGACTGCATGCTCATCGAGCCGTTCACGGAGGAGGTCGTGCCCTGCAACGAGAGCGCGGTCATGGCGGCCATGCCCCACCCGACGAACGGCGTGCTCATGTACAAGAAGCTGCCCGGCGACTGCGACGTCTTCAAGATGCACATGGCCGACGAGAAGTTCCCGGACCAGGAGCCCATGGTCGCGGTCACGTGCGACTCCGACGACCTGGGCAAGGTCATGGAGTCCCTGATGGGCAAGGGCGAGGAGATGCGCTACAAGAACCCGAAGACGGGCCTCGAGTTCGAGTGGACGACGATCCCGCCGGGCTTCTACCGATCCAACGAGGGCTGGAACAAGTCCAAGTTCGCGTCCGACTTCGAGGAGGAGGAGGAGAAGGAGTAGGGCGACGGGTCGAGATGCTCCGTTTTTTTCCGCCGGCGCTCGCGGCTCCGGGACCCGGAGCCGCGGGCCCGGCCGCTCCGCCTCCGCCGCGCGCGCGGCGGTCCCTCGAGCGCCGCGCGCGTCTTCTTCTTCGACACGTCCACTTTAAGTTACACAACCCGTAGTGACGGGGCGAGACTATTTTAGGGAGCGGCGGGGAACTACTACAGGCTGGCGATGCGGGCCGACGGTAAAATCGAAGCGAAGAAACACTACAGGCTGTCGACTCGCACGGACTCGTCGTCGCTGTGGCCGACCTCGTCGAAGCCGAAGGACTCGATGTGCTCGCTCGTCGGGAGCGCCTTGCCGTCGGGCCGGCTCGCGGGGTCCGACGCCTCGACCGCGGCGTCGATGACGCGCTCCTTCTCCGCGAGGAGCGGCCGCTCCATAACGCGCTCGATGATGCGCTCGTCCTCCGTCGTCAGCGTCGACGCGACGAGCGGCCGCGCGGGCGGCGGCGGGCCCGGCGGCAAGCCCGCCTTCTTCTCGGCGCAGCACTGGAAGAACATTTTTTGCTCGGGGCTGCCCCCGGCGCCGCGGCGCGATCGAGCCGCGCTCTGCGGGTCGAGGGGCCGCACAATGAATGATCCCGCGGCGGCGCGGCGTCGGGAGACCGACGACAGCGGCAGGAGAACCTCCCTCCGAGGTGCTCTCCCAGGCTCGACCCAGCTGCTGCACTCGACGACGGCACTGTCCGGTGCTCGTGAGCTCATGTTTGCTCTCGGTAGGATTGGGTCGCGTGAGCTGTGGCAGAACCTCGTCGTCTGGATTTGCCAATGCCGTCGACGCGCCGCGCAAAACGGGCGGCGGCCGCGGTCTACTCGAACCGCGCCCTCGCGGACAAGAACCTCGTGCGGCTTCTGGCCGAATATGCCGGTCCGGGGCGAGATCATCCTGTTCATGCGACCGATGATCTCGAGGATGCTCTTCGCGAGACCGAGGCGACCCACGCGACGCCTCTGGTGTTCGCCGTGGCCGTGGCGCCGCTTCGGCTCGTCTCCAAGGACTGGGCCCAGGCCCTCGCGCCGGGCGCGATTCACGGGCGCGCGTTCGCGCCGGCGCGCCGTCTCGCGGCGCGAATCGAACTTCCGACGGGCCTCGCGGCCATCGTCGCGAGGGACGTGCTCGCGTCGGGCTGCACTGAGGAGGAATGCTGGGATTACATCTTCACCGGAGCTAACCCGTGGGAAGAAGAGGAGTTCTACGTGACGTCGTCCGTGCTCGCGTGGGAGCCGCGACCCGCGACCGAGGAGCTCTTCGCCCGAGCGCAGGCGGGCATGGCGTTCCAGAGCGCGGCATCGACATGGGGCGGATCATGTGAGTGCTGCAGCGGCCCTCTGATCTCTGGGCTGCGCGGGAGTTTCGCGGACGCGCTCGTTCAGCGGGAGTGGCTCGTGAACGTGTCCAAAGTCGTCCTCGGCGATCGGCACCACGGCCAGGGGTCAAGCCTCGCCGCAGTTTGGGATCGGCACGCCTCGTTGATCCAGTTTGCGCGCGAGCTCTTGCCTCAAGGTAGCATCATGGACGAGCCGCCCCCGGCTGCCCAGGGCGGGGCGCCTCCGCCGAGCGCCGCCCCAGGAAATTTCTCGATACACGCCCTCCGCGCCAGCGCCATGCAAAACAATATACTGACCAAAAGTTGTGTCAACGATGCGTTTCGCGTGATACCGCTTGCGTTTACTACCGGTGATCTGCGAATGGAAGAAGCATACGCGTCTGAGTACGACGAGCGCGAAAGCGTGTGCTTTCCCGGAGGCTTCGTCCTCACGGCCGCCGGCGAGTGTGTGCCTTCGGCGTCTCGTGGCTGGGAGGGAGGCCCCGTGGGCGCGGCGGCGGCCCTCGAGGCCGTGGCCGCGACCGAGCAAGACGCACTGGACGAATTAGACGTCGCGGAGTGGGACGCCGCGCGTAGCATCGAGGCGCTCGCTGCGAGCCGCGCGGCCTACACTGCTATGGCCGCCACTCTTCGGCGGTCGTCCCAGACGCCCGCTCTCTACGCGCTCTGCTCGATGCGCGCGCTCGTGGTGGCGCGGCGCGCGGAGCCCCGTGGAATGTCTGGCGTTGGGCTGCTTTGTCGGGCGGATTTACCGTTGGACGTCTTTCGTCTTTCCGCGAGTTTCATCGGCGACAGTGGCGCCGGCGCTGGGCATCAAGAATCATTGATCAGACTTGACAGCGTGGACATCGAGTTCCGTCGCGTCCCACGTTCGACGACGCATCCGCAGGAAGGCAACTCGGAAGACTATTATGGCAGCGAGTCGATCGTCCCGCGAGTGGAGATGATCTTCCGCCCTGAGTCGCCGACTGACACGCGTCAACTCAGGATCTCAGGCTGGCTCTCCGGTTTCACTTCGTATCATGATTATGACTACGACTTCCGTGACGACCGATCGCCGGACAAGAAGGCGCGCGTGCTCGAGCCGCGGTCTCGACGACAAGTTCCGCGCCTCCGCGATGCCGCCGCAGGTGGACCGGCAGTACCTCGATCGGCACTGGTAGCACTAAGACATCCGGTGATCGAAGTTAGGAACAAAGCGAAAGCGAAGTCTCCGAATTGTCAGTGCGGCCGCGTGCGCGCCGAGGTCGCGGCGCAGAGGCCCGCGAGGGCCGCGCCGCGGCGCCGCGAGCGCCGGTAGCGCCCGTAGCCGAAGTCCTCCTCGGCGTCGAGGTCGAGGTCGACGTCGGCGTCGTCGCCGAGGACGGCGGCGAGCTCGTCGAGGGCGTCGTGGTGGCTCGCGGCGGCGCCCGGCGGCGCGGCCTCGTCGAGCGCGACGCGGAGCCGGCAGCGGCCGTAGGCCGACGGGTCGACGCCCAGGGCCCGCGTCCCCCGCGGGTTCGGCGGCAGTTTCGCGAGCGCGCGGCCGAGCAGCACGCGCGCCTCGACGTCGCGGCCGCCCGCGCGGAGCACGCGGCCGACCGCGAGCGCGCGGTACGCCGCGCACGCGGCCGCGAGCGGCGGCGGCGCCCCGTCCAGGGCCAGGGCCAGCGCGACGGCGGCCTCGACGAGCTGGGCCCGGGGCGTCGGCGCGCCGCCGGCGCCCTCGGCGTCGTCCGTCGTCCACGGCGCGCGCGCGCGCGCGTCGGCCCAGTCCTTGGGAGGCGACGGCGCCGCGAAGGACCAGCGGGGCCTCCGCGGCGGCGCCGCGG